GCGATCTTTTATATTAGGTGGTTACCATTACGGAAATTCGGCAGTTACGGAATGTCTGTTTCTTAACAGCATGAATAAGTGCACTTTAAATCTAAATCATACATCTACTTGTAGTTAGTGCCTGTATTCAGGCTTGATATCAGTGACAGATTGAGCTCACATTCAATGATGATTCTATACGAAATGATCCTTACATTCACACACGTCTAGGTCACAGCCTATATCAAGTGCCTTCCAATCGAAATTTTCCAACAAATTCACCCCTGAATTATGCAAACCACCCAAGAACCCTACTGTGTACCTACTCTTTTTGTAACCACTTTTTGAAAATATGGCTGTATCAAACGGTTTCAGTCAGTATAATGGTGTAAATTTGCTATCGGAAACAAACTTTTATTATTATTCCGCCGATAAAACCTTTTACAGTAAATGTGGTATATGTATGTGACTTTATCTAGACTGTACACTTGCAGGCCTGCTTTAACATGCTGTTATTTGGGAATAAATATATTAGTATTGTTGTATTCATAGGAGAAACGTGACTCCGGAGGAAATGGTTGAGTTCTTAATCTCCTTCAGCTATCAGTATTTTCGTTTGACAATTTTTACCTCTCGGTATCAAACTGTCTTAGCGTATATATGTCTCCAGAAGTCGTTTTGTGAAATCGTACACCCGTCCGTTTACTTCCGTTTGATATGGGTTACTTATACAGTATCTAGTGAACAGGGGTAAATTTGGGATCTCTGACACGTATTAAGAGCAATTGAAATCTCATTCGGACACCTTCTGAAGTATCAAATATTGATACTTTACGGCTCTCTCAAATCCTAATCTTCTGGACTAGCCAGCACCTCTACCTATGTCTTTCTAACCTTATCTCACTGAATTATATTTTTTGAATAATATCTTCGAACCCTAGTCTTCTTTATTAACATTAATACCTCTACTATCTTTATCACTATGGGATTCGATTTGACATTTGCGTCTCTGTGCTAATAATGTGGTATGGCAACATGAACTTATGTACATACGTACGAAGTTCTACGTTGCAACTGACTGACTGACTGACTTTACGGCTGTGACTCAGCAAGTTTACGTCTTAATCTTACTTAATCTTATGCAAACTTATTCTCTAATAAAGACGTGTTGCACAGATGATTACACCATCAATAAAATAATGGACTGTCGAACTTAGTTTGACTGTCGACAAACGGGATGGAGTATGGTGCAATATCAGATGCTTAAGACCAGGAATTTTGTGTGTAGAGGAATTATCTTGTCACAGCACTCTACGCACCAGTTCTTTGTTAATGAGTAGTTCAAGATAAAAGGCCAACCTTTCCTGAAGCCCTATTGTGCTTCAGAAAGAAGTAGACAAAGTTTCTTATGTTTTTATCGATATAGAAAATTTATTGTGAAGACAGAAGGTAAAATTTTCATATTCCATTTATATTGACCCATGTCGATATGTCGATCTTTTTATTGATTGATGGACCAGATACCATTTGTACTTAATATGGATTCAAGGATTTAAACATAATAAGATGAAACTTGTTTCACATTGAAATGGATACTTGAAATTTCGACAAACTCACTTGTGCCTTTTCGGTTCGTATTTCAACTCTTGATTGCTAGTATATATGTCCGGGTTTTTGATACGTATTCCAAATACAGCAAGTTCACCCTTGTTTATTGTTTTTTCCTTGGTTTCCATACTGATTTATACAGGAAACTTAGTCAGAATTGATTCCAATACACCTGTTATGATGGTTTACTGATCATCCTGAAGCTTCTGAGATTAAAACTTATCGGTCATCTTCTAGTGTCAATAATATTGTCCATATGACTGGAAGAAATTACAGTTTTTACTCACCGTTACCCTTTTGACATTGCTTTTATTCTTCGTTTATTATAATTTCTAGGTGTTGTAATTATTATATTTTATTCGGTATAACAATAATTTTTTTGGAAGTAGTGATTGTTCACTGTACGACAGTGTTCGTAATTTACGAATGCGATATATATTTCGCAAGCAAATTGTTTTTATTACGGAACGCACCTCACCACATCAGTTGATAAGATTGAAGTATTACAAGCCCACCTTGTTAGGTAAACAAGAGCGAGGAGCGATGATCCGGCGACACAACAGGCTACCCTAATCTGAGCATCTCAAATCCTTTACGAGTAAGGTTCTATGAGTGCCTAATCCTCTTTCAAACAAATCAATCAGAATTTAGGGCGATATTTCTTCTTCCTTCAACTCTGTTTCACTAGAATAAGATTTCTGCATGATATCTTCGATCCCTTGACCTTCCGATTACCTCTCTGATATGACTTGAGTTGCAGCTGGCCACTAAAAATGACTAGTAAAATTCTGTCGATGCTGCTGTCTAAAGAGATATTCTTTCTGTACAGAAAAGTGGATCATCATGTTCTAGAATCTATATTTTAACATTTGTTTGAGAATATATGTTGGTCCATTATGTAAACCTTTCTCTGCAAGCTGCTGAGCTGGGTTTGCGTGAACTAAGTTTAGTCTTCAGCGGCACATGACTTCTTTCTGAAATGTATAAAACCATTTTACCACTCTTCATTAAGGCCTAAATTTCTGTGGTTATTTATGTATTCGCGATTTTCTCAAGATAGTAGTTTCTCTGGAAACCAGTGCTAAACATATTTTGAGATCACAGACAGAGTTCTAATGCTAACGAGAAAATGAATCTTTAAAGTATCGCGCAAATTCATTGTTATATTATTTGTCACAACATATAAAAGGGTAGAAATGTAAGTATAAAGCAATCAAGAAAGGGAAAAAATTATTCAGATGATCTAAGGATAATAGCAGGCAAGTTTTGTGTCAGGTATCATACGGAACTGATGCAAGTGTAAGATATTAGTCCGTGTTTGAATATGGTTGATCAGGAATTCATTTTAATCCATCCATTGAAAAACCAGTGGTCATTTTGACTGTGAAAACATAAGAAGTGTGAACAGCTGTTAGTGTGAAGAGCTGGCGATGCACCTATGGTTTTACTCCTCCATATGCAACCTCTCGATGCTTGCATCGGTTTTGATGGTGTACAGGCCTAATACTTGTATCAGTGTGATTCCGCGTACTTTATATATTACATGCTATTATCAATTGAACTCTTTTTGGGACTGGCGTCTGGACTCTGCCTTTATAAATTATAATCTTTACCCACTCAGCCATTTAGTTGCTCACCTCTGGGTCCGAGAGATTTATGTCTCTCTTAAGTAGAGGAGATGCGACACTTAGTACGCTTAAGAAAGAGCAAGGATCATCTATGGGCTGATCCCGTCATAGCAAAGTGGAAAACCACATTTTTCTTGATTATATCCTCTACTTAATTTGAGCTGATCCCCAAGCTTCTTGTGCTTATTAGACTAAGACCATCCTATGCGGAGACACTTGGGTGGATTTCAATAGAGGAATTAAGTCGTTTCTGTGACGTGGGACACAGTGTACATGACATGATATTTCTAATGGTTAAATTTTCACTCACTGTCTACTGCCCATGCTTTATTATTGAGATGTCCTTCAGAAGCGCCAGTGAATTTTATATTGCTTCTTACCTGCAAAGAGTAGCAACTCCGAGCTAACTCTATCCATGTCTATAGTCAATACAAGCAAAAAGAGTGGATCTTAGGTAGTTCCTTGTGAAACTCCTGATCTCGAGACCTGTCGGCCTGATAGCACATCACTTACTTGCTCTCTATATAGTCCTGCACAGATGCCGGGGAGGGGTAATTGAAACCCACCTTCCAAACCTTGGCCATATGTAGTATGTCGCAAGATTTGGTGAAGTCAAAGGATGCTAGGTTTACCGATATTGATTCCAGTAGGTTGTCCAGACGTCCCATGCCGTTAAAACATTGAGTGCACTGGACATCAACTTCATGGAACATGTCGTTTCTTTCCAAACGTTCCCACATTTGTCACGTAACTACTCCTTTCACTGGCTTCAACAGTATTGAAAGTGATGTAACTGCTCCATAACAGGCTAGGTCGCTACTGTCGCATCTTTTAAACATTGGAAACGGAGAAAAGCTTGCCTTCATTCAGCCTGAAGTTGTTGTAACACCAGTCAACTCCTGAACAAATTACATACCGACGAAATGATGTCTTTCGTCGGTTAGGCATTAAATTTAATAAGTGCTGTGCACTTGTGGGTACGTACTTCAGCCGGCGACTGAAATCGGCATTGAAGATATCAGAAATCTTCAAACCAACAATATGAACCCTCGAGAGCAATTATTATTGATAATGATATTTTATTCGCAAATAACAATGTGTTGCGTGTTGCACGCCGATTCGGATTTTAAAATTTCTTAAAGATGAAATATTTCCAGCTTGTTTGCACCTTGGCTTCTTTCTTGATCTGGAAATAAATTCTAATGTATCTATGCTTGTTACTGTATCCTTTTATCAGTGCCAAGTTAGAGCTACCAAGAGTTGTGTCTCGCGTCCTGCACATCACTTCGCAACAACTAACTAGCCTAGATGTCGCGCGTCTTGACATATTGATCATCTACCAAACGTACGTTCGAGTTCCTTTACTCCTGAATTACTGTTTCACTGAGTTTCAGGCACTTCATGAGAAGTTTATTACGGACAAAAGCGTTGCCGGACACACTTTCACATATGTTAATACTGAGATTTCAGTGAAAAAGCTCTAGTTGTCAAAAAATAACTCATCAAAAGGCGTGGTATAACATATTGAACCAAATGTCTTATCGATTCGCTTTCTGTTGAAATATATAGTAGTTCTTTTGACCAGTGTTAATTCTTTAGTTTAGAAATACAAGAACGATCTACGGTCTTCATTATATGTATATTATAAGGGATGAAACTCCCCAATGAATAAAGAACAGAAAAATATGAAATAAGTAATAAAATCTCGTTGAATTGGATCGCAAGCATAAATTAACTTTATTCACAATTGTTAGAGTCCGTGTGTAGCACAGTTGTTGAGTACTCCGCGTCCTCCGCACTTCTCAAGTGTGACGCTACGCTCGTGATGGATAATGTTTTTTCGAGCCTATTGCCCAAGAAACAAATTAACTCTGATATTTTTCTGAATGAAAACGCTGGATGTGATGGCCGCGCCACTAGGATTGCGATTTGGGACACGGGTATCGATCCGACTGCTGCGGGTCTTCAAGTAAGTAGATTATTTTACTCCATTGTCATGCATTTTATCGACGATGTCAAGTATCAACTCGAGAAATATCTTTTTACCTAAAAAATATGTCAGTAATTTAATATCCTGCCAATAATTAGTTCTAGTTACATTTCTGTTATTTCAAAATTCTAATGGATATGCTACATCAATCTCATCCCTTATTTATTCTTCTTAACTAGGCGCTTCATCACCTACTCTGAAAATCCTCTCAGTACTAATATGTAAAGCTTAATGAGCGACCTAAGGATTAGGAGGCCGTATTTGTTCGAAAAGTTATTGTAGTTTATATTTCGCCTAATAATTCAACACTTGGTTGACTTTAATACAAAAAACTGAAAATTTTACTGTCCAATGTATAACAATAATTTGTGTATTCAAAATAACATTTTTTGGCTAAAAATAATGACTATAGATTCAATGTCAGTAATATATATCTACTACTCTTCGATTTGCTTCAAAACTTTCATTTCACTGTGCTAATGGGATGTAAACACTTGCAAAAATACACGCACGTACCAGATTCCATTCAAAGACTGTCTGATGAATGCATTCATTCGTTCGCAATTAAAAATGGTTACATACACTTTTGAGTTTTTACTTATATTCTTACTGTTTAGAATTTTTAGCATTAATGTGGCTTTTATGGCGATTGAATAAATTCATCTGTTTCTTGTTAGAGCATTGCAGGTTAATATCGTATTCACTATACCAATAAAATAACGTGATAGTTAGAAACTAACAATGACAGAATGTTTACAGAAAAAAATTGTGATGGTATATCCAACGTCAATAATAATAGACGAACAATCACTGTGCAGTGGTTGTACAACATCCCCACCGTACCAGTACATTTGATGTTATCTATGTTAGTATCATCGACGAAAGTAGGCTTTACTCTGTCGATGATAATTGTATTATTAAATTTATTGGACATGGCCTTCCCGAGGTACTGCATCTTGAGTTTATATTTCAATTTACTTCTAACATACAATACATAAAAGGCAGTGAAAATGACTCTGGAGATGCATTATTTAAGTAACTAAAGAGTACTCTTATTTCAACAAGATCGAAAAATTATTAACGTTACTAGTGAATGATAACGAGTTATTTTGTATCATATTCGGGGACATCTGTAGTTTCGACAGTTTCAAAGTGGTATGCAACATCTCTATAGGACAAAATCAACCTTACATACTACGGGCGATGAAACTTACTATCCTTAAATCTTCCACAAAATATCCGATCTTGGCGTTAAAGCTACCATCAATCTAGTTATATAATGCTTTGCTTGATCTCACTTTCAATGAAACGTTCTTCAGCGAACACAAATATTCAATAAATGTGAAAAAGTTAACCTTAACTGTCCTTCTGTAATCCCAAGTCTAGATTTGAACACATAAATTTGGACATTGTTGAAATCTAACCCTTTTCAAATGATTCCAGCTATATTTTGGCTTGTGTTGTTAGATTCACTTGATGATGTGTAGTATTGTTACTAGAGAACATTTCAGCTGAAGTTGAAGGCTCTACTTGAAAATGGATTTATTGTTATGGAGTACCAAGAAGTATTATAACTGGTAGAAATTTGCAATTGGAAAGTTACCTTTTCCAACGGTTCACAACTTCATTGAATCAAACGCATCTCTATGAAATCGTGTCATCCTATATCTAACGATATATATACACGTATATAGAAAGCTTTGCAACAACCCTACATTATTTTCCAACCAGGGACATTAACACTAGGCTGAAGCTACACAATTTTTTAAAGGTTTAAACTTTGCATATAAGTATACTATTGAGGTGTTCGTTTTTTACTTCTCAATTCCATATGCGATCATTGTCATCATCCTTATGTGATACAAGCCTTGATAATCTTCTGTTCATTTTGATTATCTCCTCAGATTACACCTGATGGAAAACCAAAAATTGTGGATATGATTGATGCTTCAGGTTCTGGAGATGTAAAAATGAAATGTAAACGATATATTAATCAGAAAAATCGTATTATTGAAACACTGACTGGTCGTAAAGTGAAGGTATGCATTCGTTTGTGTTCTCTGTCCCCTATGTTAATTTTGATTACAAGCGAATTTATTGAGAACAAGCTTTACTAACTACAGAAGTCAGAGCGAACTGATACAATCACTAATATGTTAATGTTTTAGCAGAGTTGATTGATCTAAATACAACAGATTTTACGGATTAATATCATATATGTAACTAAAAATTAAGTTATTCAATAATTTAGTAGATTTGTCTCCGAACCATTGCTCGTGTATCATGGGACAACCGAGTAAGCAATGCTGTTGTTAATAAACGGGTACTAGGTAAGGATGGCAGGTCAATAGCTGAATTATCGAAACTGCATTAGTTGGGGTGGTGGGGACATGTGCTGCCTATGCCTAACCACCGACTGTCTCGTTGAGCTATGTTTTGTGGTGTAGGAGTAGATTGAAAGAAAGCTAGGGGCGGCCAGACCAAAACATGGCAGGAATCCATGAAGTCACTGACAAGTGAACTGAGCCATGTTGGTAGATGTAGACTACCTGGTTGGGATCTGTGAGATGATAGTAATCGATGGTAAGAGACTTTGAATGACATGGCTCAAAACCGTTTGCAATGGCGCAGATGCATTCATTCTTTGTGTTCTCTCAAATCCTAATCTTTCGAAATCCTCATCACCTTAATCCTTTCCTTTTTAAATTTATTTCATTAGATCCTACTTCTTGAATAATATCTTCGAACCCTAATCTTTCCGATTACTTACTTTTACTACCTCTACTACTATGGGATCTGAAGTGACAGTTGCATCTCTGTGCTAATGTGGTATGGCAACTTGAACTGATGTCCGTACATACGAAGTTCTACGTTGCTGTTGATCGATTGATTGATTGGTAGATATAAACATTAATTTTAAAGTGAATTTTAGTTTGTCTGGTAAAATCTTATCCAATTTATCGTCGCCTATGGAATAACGAAATCTTAAAACGATAATTAATACTCATCAGTGATATAAAAAAAGTCCATTTAAAAAAATAATTCATTTTATCCCAACCTAACTGTTTAATGACTCAATCAACTGATCTTCTTCAAACACTTTCATTTCAAGGGTAAATATAAATTGACTCACTTTACAATTACTTAAGCATGACCTACACGATATTTCTGAGCGTGAATCAACCAAAATTGAAAAAAGTCAAAACGAAATTTGAATCTGGAAACTATGCTTTCATCACTAAAAGACCGCTACGTAGTATGTTTTTTTCTATAGGCCTTTAATTAATTGACTGCCCAATGAACTTTTAATGGTGTCTTTGAAACTTTGACTCCCGTTAAGTTTAATTTTTATTATCGTCTATGTGTCATATAAGTTATTTGATTTATTCTAAAACTTTTGACGTACACTATTGACATTATTCGTTAGGTAGATTTATCTTATTTTGTTACTAATGCAAAAGCTAAGTAGTTTCATTATCATAGTCAGTGGTTTCTGAATACTTCTAGTTTTGTCCTTCTAAACTTATCTAACTGAATCATATTTCTTCTTCTAACACCTTTACTCACCTCTACTACTATTGGATTTGAATTGACCATTACATCTCTGTGCTTATGTGCTGATGTTGTGCTATGGCAACATGAACTGATGTACTTACGTACGAAGTTCTGCGTTGCATCTGACTGATTGACTGACTGAATATTCTAGTTATTTACTTCAACTGCATACATGTTACTACGTTAAAAGAGATTTCTTCTTTTATTTTATTCTAAATCTTAGATTTTGATAATTGATCCATACATCACCAACCAAAGATAGTTTGTGGGGTCCGATTATCTGCGTGTTCGGATAGCTCGGTAATTAGCTCATCTAGACAATCGTCACTAAGTAGCGTCTGACGGTTTATAAATCAGAAGGCGAATTCGAAATATGAATACGTTTATATTTTGGACACACTACATAGCGAAGTTGAAAAGCAGCGAAAGAAGGAGCGAAGGAAGCGAACGAATAGGCGAAGTGCATTGGAGAAGGCTAAGAGCCAACTCAAAGAAACAGAGCATGACTAAGAATATATAGTCAGACAAATATAAGACGGACATGCAACAAGCAAAATAGGCACACATGAACAAAGCGACGAATGATTGACAAGGTCAAATGACGCGTCATGTGAGCTCATACAAACCAGACAATAATAAGAACGAATGGGTACATATAAGTTGTTGCCACGCAAATGGCTTTGTTAAATAAATTAATCGAAAAGGGCTTAACCAAGTTGGATGTAAGCGAACTGGAATATGTGTGGAGGCACTACAAGTTTAATCCTCATATAAAAGTGGTTTAATGTTGAATACATTCGTACCTAATAATATATTCCATTGATAAGATACCATTTAGTTGTGAAACAGCACAATATATTTGTAATATTTGCACATAACCTACTATACTGTATATATATATATATATATATATATATATATATATATGTATATATATATATATATATATATATATATATATATATATATATGCATATCCTGTAACCTAGATACCGAGTCATTGGAATCCATCAGATGGTATAATACGAATTGGAGTGAAGCCCGCTTCGGAACTATTCCCAAAACTTTTGCTACAACGATTGCGTAATGAAAATCGTGATAATTTTTGGCGACCATATATTAAACGTTTAGCTGCAAATTTAGCTTGTGATTTCAATGAAGCTGAAGAATATTTAAACCAAATAACACAACATTATAAATGTATATCTAATTGTGATGAGAATAAAAGTCAGTGTATCTTTTTTTCATATGTTTTTGTATTTATTTTCTGTCTAAAATCATTATGCATTTGTATTTTCCGTCATACAGCAGTTAAGATGTCTGTACTACTATCCGGAGAGCTTATTGAAGTTCATGTATCAGTTAGAGCTACACCGTAGAACTTCATACGTATGTATATCTGTTCAAGTTGCGAGACCACATTAGCAAACAGATCGTATTGTCAATTCAAATCCCATAGCAGTAGAGGTAGAGGTAATAGTGGTATTAAAAAAGATCAGTAAATGAAGATACCATTCGAGAAGTAGATCCCAACATGGCTCAGTTCATTTATCAGTGACTTCATGGATTTGTGCCTTTGTTTCGGTCTGGCCGCCTTTAGCTTTTTTGAACCTACTTCTACATTACAAAACATCGCTCGTCGGGTCTGTCAGTGTTGGGGCATACGTGAAACATATCCTAACCACCTCAACTGATGAAGTTTCTATGCTTCACCCATTGCACTGCCATCCTTAACTAGTACCCGTTTCCTAACAACTGCATTGCTTACTCCACAGTCCCATGATATACAAGCAGTGCTTCGGAAACACCTCTGATCTAATACTGATAACCTACAAATGTCCTTCACTCCTCTCGACCATAGCTGCTACCTTGGGGTGGTGATCAGGCTTGCTTATCATGATGACCCAACCGAGTTATTTTGGCTGAAACATACGTTCCTGTAGATCCTACCATGCCAGGCAGGTCGATTGGAGAACAGTAAGATTAAAAGCAGCAGCTGAACGTCTGAGGGCTAAGTCTTACTGCTAACTGCAGAGAGGTATGACATCAATAAGGTGTTTCCCTCGGACAACCAGCATCTGCAGAGATGCTGGCTTCTCACAAGGAAGGAAGCGGTTCGAAAAGGTCGATCCTAAAGGTGTCACAGCTCACCTTACCTCACGGATTTCCGTCTCCAGCAGTAAGGCCTTTTAAACAAGGGCGAAACTAGTACTAAATAATACCCATAAAAAGGCCGTGCGTGACCGGCCTCAATCAGTTGTCCATTGGACTCTGCAGTCACGCTCCCAGGTCTCTAAGACCAACAATAATATAGCTTCCTTTTCAGGTTCTTCAAGAAACAGCCTTCCACGGTGTGGGCAGCCAGAAAGTGACATCCACCCTCACACCCGTAACAACAAACGAGACCAAATTGGTCACAATCAAATACCCGTACCCCCCTTCACTCTTACTGGCCATGTTTCACACCCATATAGTAGGACGGAGCGGACTGCTACGCAGTACACTCTTTTCGTTAGCAAAAGGATATCTCTTTTATGCTATAAGTGACGCAAGTTGGCAAAAGCCAATCGAGTCTTCTGTATCTGTGTTGAGATTTCGTCAGTGACCAGGTCATTAGCACTGACAAAACTCCTGAGATAAGTGAACGGATCGACACGCTCAACTACTTCACTCCCTATCGCTAGCTCAGATGCCGATTCAAGCCAATCGTAAAGCAACACTTTGAATTTCGAGGAGGAGAACCACATCTCGAACATGATCGTTTTGTTTCTTAGGGTGTTCAGATGACTGTATTTTGTCATCTGCATATTCTAAGTCAACAAGTGAGTCTCCTAGCAGAAGGTCAACACCTGAGAAGCCACACTATGATAGTGTTATCTGTAAAAGCATTTCAGTGATAAAGTTAAATAAGAATGCAGAAAGTGGACAGCAATGACGAATACTGATTGAAGCAAAATTTCATGCATTACTAAGTATAAATGGCTGAAGTCAAACGACTTGACTTACTTATGTAATTTCAGGAGACCAGGAATGATGTTTCATGAGCTCATACCATTTGCTTCAGCGGCGCAAGGTGACAAACGATCTACAGAAAGATTAGTCGAGGAGATAAGAGAGTTATTAGGAGGTGTAAAAAGGATTTGATTGTGACCGATTTAGGCTCGTGTGCTTTTATGGGTATGAGAGCGGATGTTACCTCCTGGCTGCCCGCACCGTGGAATGGTTCTGGAGTATTGGCCTCATGACTTCCGAAGGAACTCGGCTTTCATCATAAGACGTCATAACTCTTCTAAATGAAGACGTTCTAGCTCCCAGAGCAAGGTTTATATGGTTAGAATTATTTTTTTCTTGTTAGCGTTTTTTAGTGAGTTAGTTTTTTGTGGGATGTGGTAGCCAACCCCAATCCCAACCCTCTTCCTTTATCCAGGCTTGGGACCGGCAGTAGCCCCGAAGAGTCTACAGGCAGATTTACGCTAATACACCTACCACACTTTATGTAATTCAAATTTTAGCTTAAAAAAGAAATAAAAATTAGACTTTTTTCTTCTATTGTGGTGTGAGCTACTTATAAGTAGTAAATGACGTGAGTGTAAACGTAATGTCCGGCAGCATAATATGGGGGAAGATCAAGAAAGGAAGAGTTAGAAGAACACAATGGAATTTGTATGAAACGCATGAATAGTGACAATGGATTGATGTTTTGCAACAGGAACAGTCCAGTTCGATAGGATGGACTGATATTTTGCGAATTAACGATTTACGATATGGTTTTCCGATTTTACTGAGTAACTCTGTAATTTTCGTTAAATACAATCCGGTTGCCCCACCCGTGTTCTCATTCACTACACTATTAATTTAGGTAATCCTACAAAATCAATTAGATCGGATCCAATTAATTCGCCTGATAAATTGAAATTAATCAATCAAAATCTAAATACTGTATCACTTCAAACAAATCCTAACTTGAATCCACATTCCCAACAGAAAAATGGATTAGAATGCAAGCAAGACAAGTTTGATTTATCTGTATCCAATGCAAAAGTAAGTAAGAAAAAAGTGCTTTTTTTTAAAAAAAATATCTACTTTATCAATTATGAATGTTTATTGACTGACAGTTATTCAATCTATAAGGAGTCACTTTAGTTCGTATTGATTTTCAGCTGAATACTTTTAAGTTATCAGTTTAGGTTTCTTTTATTTTAGTTATTATAAGTATTACTACTGTGTATATGAGTTAATTTTCAACAACTGGTCATTTCATTGTCGGATAATGTTTTTTATATAACATGGATCCACATATGATACCTTTTATAGATCATTTTCAATGAGATTTATGCACGTTGTCTTTTCTGATAGATATAATGCATCTTCAGACATACTTACTTACTTACTTAATTACGCCTGTTACCCCAAATGGAGCATAGGCCGCCCACCAGTTTCCTCCAACCAACTCTGTTCTGGGCTTCCCTCTCCAGTTCTGTCCAATGTTTGTTCATTCCTCTCATATCTTTCTCTATTTCTCGGCGTAATGTGTTTCTTGGCCTTCCTCTTTTCCTTTTGCCTTGAGGGTTCCATATGAGGGCTTGTCTCGTGACGCAGTTAGGTGCTTTTCGTAATGTGTGTCCTATCCACTTCCACTGCTTCTTCCTGATTTCATCCTCCACTGGAATCTGGTTTGTTCTCTCCCACAGTACGTTGTTGCTGATGGTGTCTGGCCAACGAATTCGAAGTATTTTGCGTAGACAGCTGTTCAGACATACTGACTACCCTTTGATTCACAGGTTTCATATGGTCAGTAGGAAAAATGGAAATTTTGCTCTAGTGATCAACACGTGTTCCGACTTGAGACAAAGGGTAATAAATGTGTTTGAGCTTACTATCGCTACCACCATTGGATTTGAACTGACAGTTGCGTCTCTGTGCTAATGCGTTATGGCAACTTGAACTGATGTATGTACGTACGAAGTTCCACATTGTTACTGACTGACTGACTGACTTTCTGTGTTTGGGCCTATTTACGTCAAGCTGGGCTGCATCGTTTACTATTCTCTGCTATAAGATGTATATACCATTAGCTATATTGCTACATAGAACTGAAGGTTTCCCGTATGAGATGAGAGGTTCATTGTAGATGTTCATTGTAGATTGCGATTACTTTGACAAGTTTTGCTAATATTTCATATTACAAATTTGGTTTGCAGCATGAACGATTTTATTGATACTGGTGGTTGTCTCACAACATTCCTGTGGGCCATTGTCACTGGGCCTCTGTAATGCATATCACCATTGGTAATAATAATGAGTTTGATACTGATGTAAGCGGAATGGGTCGAATTGGCTTGTTCATACTGTGCATACTGAGTTACGTGGTCATGGATTGCAAATCATCACTACATGTTACATAAATGGTGTGAATCGTCCTCCAGGCTGTCACGTACCTGTGTGCAGGTTGCGCCACAGAATTGAGCTGTACTGTTCAAGTTGTTTTTTTTAACACCTGGACAGTTTCTGGTTCTCTTGAAAATCAGTGTAAAACTACCTTCACCAATTGACAATAAATTACCATATTTATGAATACAACTTCACACAATTGAACACTTAAAAATAATTTCCCCTCAACACTTATGTGTATACAGGTTTGGTGACATAATCAACACATTGAAATCATGAATAAATCATTGTCAGACCTCTAATAGAAAACTGAAAACACTGGACGACCGTTTCGTTCCATAGTATGGGACTAGCTCATCAGCAGTGAACATCCATGACTCCTGCTACTCGCAGGATTCATTCATGATTACAGCATGCAAAACCTCAGCGATGTCAATCCATTTATAAGGATTACTTTTGTGATCAAAAATATTTCTATTTTAATTCGAATTTTTTTTATTGATTTAATCCTTATAAATAAAAACTATATAACCGTTTATTCCAAAGTGGGAATCGATTAGGCGTAACGTTGTCAAAGTTGACGTTCATGTTGTGGGGTGAACCCAGTGGCTTTTGGTTCGAACGCTAACTAGTTATCTACTGAAAATCCACATATCCACTGGTTTACACAATGGAGAAGAGTCATAGTTTAGTGATGACCTTTGAAAAAACAAATTATTTGAGTTTCTTTAAAGCACATAAACATTTTACTACGTTTATTACTATTCACTGCCTTTCTCTGTGATAAACTACTGTTCTGATGTATTAAATAAACCATTGTATAGCATTCAATAATGAAGATTGGTGTTTGAGATATTTTTCTCAATAAATTATGATGCTTGTGAATTTGAATACGTCTTTTATTAAGAAAAAATCTCTCATCATACTTTCAATATTGAACATTCAGAATATTCAATGTTCAAACGCAATTATTGTTTAAAAAAAACTATTTTTTTTGCAACAATTATAGGTTCAATTGAAAAATGCTGCTCGTCACTTAGAAGAAAGTTTAATTCTATTCGATCAGTATTATTCACCTATGGAAATTGTCTATGATTGTTTTGTTTTTCATAATGGCAATGATTGGGTGTAAGTTAAATTGTCAAGATTTTTTGTTTTACTAAATGTGAATTTAAGACAGAAAGAAAAGGGTTTTTTTTAGTGAATAAGGTTTAAGAGTCCCGAAAAATCTTACTACACATCTTTTTGTTAGGATATTCACCAAATATCCTAAGAGCACTATTTTTGAAAGTATAATCCTATTGGTCGAAAATTATGGTCGTTTTAACTGTCAAAGTCAAATACTTCAATGTTGTCTCTTATTGGTCAGCCGGACTGTCAATGTCATTTCAAATGTACTTTCCTATTGGTCGTCCTAAACTGTCAATGCCACAGACCTAGATGCTCTTTCCTATTGGAATATTTGAATTCGGACGTCGGTAGCATTTGAATAGCTACGTAGCAGCATTATAACACTTTTATTTGTCACTTTGAATTTGTTCAATAGGGTCCATATTATTAAGGATGCTAGACCCCCCAGAAATCGCTTGGTAAACCTCTTAATTTCGTAATCTATTTTTGTAAATTTGAATTTCTTATTTTCGCGCCAAAAACGCCCCTTATTACCTTCAGTTTGTATTTCCCCATTTCAAAGAACCTCATTGGTTAGCTCTTTCTTTTAGTGTGCTATTTTGTAACTTTGACCAGGACGCTTCTTTACTGTATAAATTACGCTTGATTCGGATGCTTGCTAATTTGTTCATTCTGGGCAGTTTGTAGATTGTACATTCTTCCTACTGACCTTGAACTTCTTGGTCTAGTTAACTGAGCTGAGCTGGGCTGGGCTGGGCAGCACAGAATAGATTAATTGTCCTGTTATTGTGTCATCGGTGTACGTTCCGTTCGCCAATATCAAGTTGTATCTGAACTAGAGCAAATATATATTTTTCCTATATGAGTAGTTTAAATTAAATATTCTTAAGAAGATATATTATTGAAAATGAAATATATACCTAAAGAATCATATTGGTAGATACTCTTAACAAATTTTGTTAATTGTAGTATAATTGGTGATCATTATAGGCGAATACAAAGGTTATTATTTAGAAGAAGAAAGCTCACATTAAAAAAACATATGAAGTATTCTTGATTTTGATGTACTGCTTTCTACTCATTAATGACGACTTAAATATTCTCTCCGTTTGCTTTGATTTATATTGCTTAGCGCGTTCGCGCGCAAAGCCGAAAGTTCTGGGTTAGATTCCTGCGAATAGCAGGAGTAGTGGATATGCACTGTTGATGAGTCCCATACCAGGATGAATCGACTGTCCTTCAGTGTTTCCAGGTTTTTAATGGTTGTCTAATAATGATTCATTCATGATTTCAAAGCTTGTGTTTATTATCAGCTGTCTTAAGTTCAGTAGCTAAGTTGATGACGTGATGGTTACTGAAGCGGATTGTACTGGGTTTAAGTCCCTGAGTGTACATCAACTCTGAGATGTGGTAGGTACATCCAGCTGCCGAGTCCTATACGGAATGGAACATGAGTCTTAAATCCTACTGCTAGACACATTCCATTTTTTCTATGTAAACTTCTATCATGATATCTACGTCGAAGCAATCCGCATATGATGCCCATATGTCAACCAAGAGTGGTCAACTGTCAGAAAAAATTATCTAAAAAACCATTTCAAGTTGAATTATATCTTGGAAAATGTTTAAGGGATTTGTCGTGAAAAATCGCATTATTTTCTTTATAACTAACTAAACGTCATTTACTTACTTACTTACTTACTTACACCTGTTACCCCCAATGGAGCATAGGCCCCGTAACAGCATTCTGCAACCTACTATGTACTGGGCCTTCTATTCCAGTTTGATTCAATTGCTGTACATTCTTTTCGTATGTCTCCAGTTCTCAACGTAATATATTCTTCGGTCTTCCTGTTTTGGCCTCGAGTATTCCAAGTGAGGGTTGCCGTCTGACACACAGTTGGGTACTTTTCCCAACTAAAGCTTTTTCCTGATTTCTTCCTCTGCTTGGATCTGATTTGTTCTATCACTCAGTAGGTCGTTGCTGATGATATGTGCCCAACACATCCCTAGTATCTTGCATAGACAACTGTTAATAAACACCTGTATCTTGTGGATGATGGCTTTCGTGATTCTTCAATTTTCCACTTCATACAGTAGAATTTTATTAATGTTTATGTTGAAAATTCTGATTTGGTTAGTAGTTTTGAGTTCCAGATGTTCGTCAATTGTAGAAATGCTTCACCTTGCTTTGTCAATCCGCGCCACTTCATATCCACATTAAACCGATCTTCCTTAAATTATGACTTAGAGTTCAAACTTGACCAACTAACTATTCATACACACACCTATCAGTAAATACACAGATTATTCATTTTCTAACTTAAATTTTTTTCTTCCCAAGTGCTTGTATAGATACAAGTCCGTACAATTCAAATACAACATTATCTGACTTACCATTATTACGTGATTTTACAATTAATCATGAGTATGCATCATTCGGTGAACAAAGTAAGTATTATGGTTGAAATAATATTTCCAATATACTCATTATTGATAGTATAAAATCAATAAAGGTTGAGCGAGATCCTTAGATTGATCAAAGTTAGACATTAACACTGTTGAAGGCCGGCTCAGTGGTCTAGAGGTTAAGCGTTCGCGTGCAAGACCGAAGGTCCTGGGTTCGCTTCCTGCAAGTGACAGAATTCGTGGATGTCCACTGTTGATGAGTCCCATGGTAGGACGAATCGTCTGTCTAATGCTTCTACTTTTATGATGGTGGTCTAACATTGATCGGTTCATGATTTCAAAAAGATTGAAGAATTAACATATAATTACTGACCTTTGACCTCTAGGTTCAACCCAAAAAGCAGTGGAGCAATGTTAGGAAACGCATTTCCATTTTTTAATCAGTGATCAACAATAGATTCATACTCCAATTTATCCCTTCAACATCATTGGTTTTGAATCAGGGCTTTCGAAATCGCACTAAATTCGGTTTAGGCGTTGGACTTTGGCTGATTGCCTTCTCAGTTGTGTATAAAACATCTTTACCACGATAAAAAATTTTGTAGAACTTCACAGGCTGTGGCTATATACACGGGTAGCCTTATAAAAGCATTTGTAAAGGGAGACCTGACTGCCCTCGCGCTTAACCGCAACAGGCCATTGTGGGAACATTATTTTGTTTAATGTCTACAGTGAGTGATAGATTTATGAGCCTGTTAGCTACATTAGATCCTCAGAACTCACTTGGAAATGTCCTAATTTTGTAATTTTATTCTGAAATTTTGAGTTTCTATGTTTTCGCGCCAGTTGACCTTCAACTCGAATTCCCCCCTCGGAAAGTCCTTGACTGTCATTGGTTGATGGATTATTTTAGTACGACATTTTGTGGTTCTCTCAAGGGCGTTTCTATCATTGTATAAATAAGTTCGATTTGTGTGCTTGTGAACCTCAAACTTTGTGGGTGCCTGTAGAATACATTTTCTACGCCTTATCAAGACTTCTTGATCTAGTCAATGGGGCATGGGACAAACGGATTAGAATAGCCTATCGTGTCATTGCTGTCGTTCCACTTACCGGGTAAGGTGAACTCGTAGTAGCATTCAAGCATACTATTTAGCGAGCGTATCAGAGCCAGAGTCTTGAAGAAAATCATTGCTTAATATGCAGTTGCATTTATCATGTTACAACAATTATTTAACGGTATCAAATGTATCTAATCTCATACGATCCCTATAGCATTTAAGAATTTACTCGTAGAAAAGACACTATTCATTGTTTGCAAATTCAGAAAGAAATTTTTTTGACGAAAAGTATTATGACTACCAAAATAACCCGACCGTAGCTGCTACCCTGACGTGGTGGTCGGGCTTGCCTATCGTGATAACCCAACCGTGCTATATTGGCTGGAACATATGTTGCTTTAGGTTCTACCATGCCAGGGAGGTTGACTGAAGAACGATGAAACTAAAAAACAGCTACTCAAAGTCTGAGGGCGAAGTGGTACTGCTGACTGCAGAGAGGTGTGACAGCAGTAAGGTGTTTTTGCTCCGGACAACCAACATCTGTAGTGATGCTTTCTTCTCACAAGGAAGGAAGGGGTTAGAAAAGGTCGACCGATTTCATCAAAAGGCCATGCGTGACCGGCCTCAAGTAGTTGTTCCTTAGGCTCTGTCTCTAAGACCAACACTAATCTACCTTCCTTTTCGAACTAGTGATAGGGAGTGAAGTAGTCGAACATGTAAACCGCTTCACGTATCTGATAGCCTGGTGACTGACGAAATCTCAGCACGGATACAGAAGGCTCGATTGGCTTTTGCCAACCTGCGTCACTTATGGCGTAGGCGAGATATCCGTTTGCTGACAAAAGGACGAGTGTACTGCGCAGTAGTTCGCTCCGTCTTACCTCATGGTTGTGAAGCATGGCCAGCTAGGGTAGAAGATATTCGTCGGTTATTGGTTTTCGATCATAGGTGTCTTCGAAGCATTGCTCGTATATCCTGGGACACCGGAGTGAGCAACGCTGTTATTAGGAATCGGGTGCTAGGTAAGAATGGCAGATCAATAGATGAAGTAATGAAACTTCATCAGTTGAGGTGGTTGGGACATGTGTTGCGTACGCCTAACCACCGACTGCCTCGACGAATAGGTTGGAAGAAAGTTAGGGGAGGCCAAACCAAAACATGGCAGAAATCCATGAAGTCATTGACAAGTGGACTGAGCCATGTCGGTAGTTGTCGACTACCTGGTTGGGGTCCTCGAGATAATAGTAATCGATGTTTAGAGACCCTAAATAACATGGCTCAAAACCGTTCGCAATGGCGCCTCTGCATTTAATCTTTGTGTTCTCTCAAATCCTAATCTTCTGGATTCTTCAACCCCTCTAGTTTTGACTTTTTAAACTTTTCTCATTGAATCATACTTCTTGAATAATATCTTCTAATCCTAACCTCTCCGATTACTTTTAATACCCTTACTACCTCTACTACCATTGGATTTGAATTGAGAATTATATCTCTGTGGTGATGTGGTATGGCAACATGAACTGATGTACTTACGTACGAAGTTCTACGTTGCATCTGACTGACTGACTTTCTTTTTAGGTTCTTCAAGAAACATCCTTCCACGGTGTAAGCAACTGGGAAGTGACAATCGCTCTTATAGCCGTAACGGCACGCAATACCAAGTTGGTCAAAACGAAGTCCTTCCTGCTACCAAAAAAACGACTAACTCAGTTCTCACATTAATTATAAATTTTTCTTTTGAAAATAACGTCACATCAGTTATTTCTGTGCAAAAAAACAAAGATTGCTCAAAATCTTTTTTTCTTCTAAATTTTTGCCTTTTTATATATATAAGCGCAACTATATTATACAGTGAAAATTTTCAATAATGGCAACTTACTACAAATTGTCACAAATAACAGTAGTCATGGTACACATGTTGCATCGATTGCTTCAGCTTATTTCCCTAATGATGATCATCAGTTGAAAAATTCTCCGACTGGTATGTTCTGTTTCGATCGTAATGGTGTTGCACCGGGTGCAGAAATTGTAAGCATCAAAATTTCTGACAGTCGTTTAGGTCCAATGGAAACAGGAATTAGTTTATTACGTGCTGTAAGTTATGCGTGTGTGTGTGTATGTGTGCTACTCTGTTTTTTGTTTTGTGAATATTGTGTGTTTTTGTTAGCGTGAAAAAAAAGAAAACTTGACTGGATGTGATTTCTTGGTGAACTTGTCTGCGTAAGCATTCGTTTATTAGTATTTGAAATGTCATTGTTTCGATGAAACGGCAGTAGTACATTGTCATCCAGGATGTTTCATTTAGTTATATATATGTATATATGTATCTTAGCAAGTCAAAACCTGACCATTACCATTCCAATTACAAGCCTGTAGTTGTGTTGGGATATTCACCAAATATCCTACAAAGAATTATTTTGTAAGTGTAAATTCTATTGGTCAATATTATGGTCGTCCTAACTATCAGTGTCACATACTTTAATGTTGTCTCCTATTGGTCGTACTAACTGTCAGTGTCATTTCGAGTGATGTTTCCCACTGGACGTCATAACTATCAATGTCACAGACTTCAATGTTGTTTCTTATTCGACCTAACTGTATAAATGCGCATTATCTGTAACGTTTTATGACCCGGACCCGGGTCCCTAGTCCGGGATCCTGATCCTCTTCTGGTCTCGGACCTCGTAGTTTCTGGATGTTTGTAGAATACAGGTTCTACTCCATATAAACTATTCTTCTTTCACTCAATGAGGGTTGGGATACTCAGATTACACTAGCATGTCGTGTCACCGAATCCTCGATCCCCGCTCTCGTTTTCGACTAAGCATATCAAATGATATGTTTACGTGCATTCGTAACAAGTTGAAACCACTTTTTCTCTACTACGATGTTTCAACTGTATTTATGCGATAAAACGTCATAAGAGAAAGTTACTTACTTTCTTACGCCTGTTACCCCCATGGGAGCCTAGGCCGCCGAATTGGATTTCTACGGGATAGAGTCGCTAACCTGGATGATCTTGGAAAACTAGCTGATTTATATTTTTTTCTAAAGTTTAGTCGAGCAATGTGGAGACTCTTACACCTGCACATAAACACGTCATTTTGATATGCTTGAACTGTTACGAGTTTACCTAGTCGGAAAACGAGAGCGAGGATCGGGCGACACGACATACTACTCAAATCCGACTATCTCAACCCCCATATTGAGTAAAAGAAGACAAGACTTGATATTCACTAGGACCTGTATTCTACAAACATCCAGAAAGTACGAGGTCCGAGTCTAGAAGAGGATCAGGATCCGGGACCGTGTCCTCGTCCTGGCCGTGGTCACAAAACGTTACAGATAATGCGCATTTGTACATTTTGGTCGAATATGAAACAGCATCGAATTCTGTGACATTGACAGTTAAGACGACCAATAGTAAGCAACATTGGATCACGTGACATTGATATCTACTAGGACGACCATAAAATTGACCAGTAGGAATTAACCAATAGGAATAGACCAATAATTCTCTTAGGATATTGGATGAATATCCAAATAGATCCAGCGAATTTAGAATGTTTTTAGCATTTGAATATTTCATAGGAAAGAAAGTTTTGAAGATATTGGCATAGTAGTGTAAAAACATTTGACTCTTCTTCCAACACAAGTACTAACTATATCTCATCAATATTTACGTGATTGGTTGTCCACTAGCGTTTATAATCTTTATACACCAAAGGCGAGTACGTAACACTGTTTAACACTCGACATGTTCTTTAGATCTTCAGCAAATAAAACAAATAAAATGATGTATTTTTTTGAAAATTCAAATTTATGAAGTTTACAAACCCCCTGTGTTCACTTTGATGACAGTTAATTATTAGATAATATTTCTTACTACTTACGTATTTTCGCTTGTTACCCCCGATAGCACATAGGCCGCTGACGTAATGGTTGCTCTAGTTGTTAGAAAGGTTATCGGCTTTGTGTTTTCCGAAGGAACTCGACTTTCATCATGAGACATCATAACTCTTCTTAAAGAAGACCTAACTCCCAGGGCAGAGTTGAAATGGTTTGAATAATTTTTTCTTGTTAGCGTTTTTTCAGCGAGTTAGTTTTCTTCGGGATGGAGCCGCCGATCCCACGTCAAACCCTCCTCCCCTATCTAGGCTTTTGACTGGCAGTAGCCCCAGAGGGGCTTCAAGTGGAGTTTACATTTGTCATAGATTGAAATTATTCAGGCTGTGAGTATAAATCACAAGCACTAACCGCCTGTTTTATCTCTGATTACGAGCTTCACATGCACTGACTCATACTGTTAGTTTAGTCGTTGTGATGAACGCTTAACTTTTGGTTTACATTCCAATTGTCAATCAGTTCATCAATATGACGAAATCATCACCTTAAGTCAACAATTTTATTTTTTTTATTTATTTAAATACATGTTTATTGGTACGAGGGGCACCTGAATATTCAGGAACAGCACAAATCATTGAATTTGTGAGTGGGTGGGACAATGCCCAGATGCTCATACTAAAGAAGATGGTTTTCTTAGTGAACCTTGTTGCCGATACAGTTAGGAGATGCGATCCCATGGTAACCAGTGACCAACAATAGGTTCTTACACCATTTATTCCCTCAGACTTTAAAAGCCCCGTGTGCAACATGCGTTCGGAACCAGGATTTTTCTAGCTTCCTTAGATAAATTCTCTGTACTCATCAACCCGGTTTGAGTCCCCATCGGACATTGCTTTTTTGTCCTCTCAATTGTGTATAGAACACCCTTATCAAAAAAGGGAACTATGTAGTTTACCCCAGATTCCGTGGTGTGACCAACAGTTAGGAGTGTCTGTGCTCTCTCCAAAATCTTTCATATGGCCATGCGTATATAGCCACTGTCAATCAAGTCCTACTAACTGTATGCTCGTGTTGATGGTGTTATTTACTCAATAGGAGCGACGAAAGTGAGTGTCCGGAACTTTAACCGGGTTAGTGGGTACAAAGGATCCATCTGTGGGAATCTGAAACGTTCACTCCAAACCAATAGTAAATATGGGTGCTAAGATCCTAATGGAACGAATGGTGTGTGAACCTACTGTTGATCACCTACTACCAGTGGACTGCATCTCCTTACGTTGTTCCACCGACTTGTGGACTAGACGTTTAGGTAAAAGGCTCAAAATGTCACCCTCTAAGAAAACCACCTGTATTGGTTTGGCCACCCAGGCAGTATTTGAATAAAAGATCAAATCATAGTCTGTAAGATTTCTCCAATATATGTAATGGTTTTATTTGCATGGCCATATAGATAGCATTTGGAGAGAAAGACAAAAGACCGTCTCAAATCTTGACTACCCTATCATGTCATTTGGAAGCTAATAATAATGACTATATCATTCATTCATTCATTCATTCATCATTTCTTCCTGAAACTGGTAGAAATTGGAAAAAAACAATTCACTATTTTTGCTTACATCATAAACTAGTTTCAATGAAAACTTCATCTACTTTGCAATTCATTTAGATTCGATGGACAATTGAACTAAAATGTGACATTGTGAATTATAGTTTTGGTGAACAAGTGATTTGGCCAAATATTGGGTATGTTGTACATAGATTTTCATATTTTTTTTTTCCCAATGAAAGAAAGATAATGTTTTTTTTTGAAATCTAACACCCTATATTTTATTACTCAGTAAACACATTATTTCTTAACCTTTGAAACGCATTGAAATACTAAACACATATACTAAGCGGATAATTTATGAATAAGATGAGTGCATGTTACCATTAGGATATTTATCCAATATCCTAAGAGAATTGTTTGTAAATTTAATTCTATTGGTCAATTCCTATTGGTTGTCCTAACTGTCAATGTCACAGACTTCAATGTTGTTCCTATTCGAAGGAACTGTATAAAAATACGCATTATCTGTAATGTTTTATGACTCAAACCCGGGCCCGGATCTCTAGTCCGGGATCCTGATTCTCTTCTGGACTCGGACCTCGTACTTTCTGGATGCTTGTAGAATACCGGTTCTACTTCATATCAAGTCTTGTCTTCTTTTACTCAATGGGGGTGTGGTACTTTCGGATCCTCGATCCTCTCTCTCGTTTTCCGACTAAGGTAAACTCGTAATAGTTCAAGCATTTCAAATTCGTAACAGTTACGCATAAATTTAGTTTATCGACTTGTTCTATACTTTATAGTCCAAGTTGCCATATACTGGCATTAGCCAAACGAAATAAAATTATCAAGACAAAGCTCAGGGTGATTAGAAGTATTACCATCTAAATATTTATGCACTACACAAATTACTAGATTTGTGAATATGTCCGGGATACTTACTATCCAGACCTCCAAATCAAAGCAGGTAGCATTCTTAGAAAGGCCACACTTGGAGCTTTTAATCTAAAAGTCGAATCCAAAAAGTCAGTGGTTCAATATAAGAAGAGAACTGATGACCAATAACAGATGCATTTGTAATTTGTTCCCCAAGGATCCTGGCACCTATGTTCATGACTGTTTTTTGAAGTGACGGTTTTCAAAACCCTTAGATAGATCCTCAATACTTACCAATCCATTTCAAGCGCTGGACATTGGGGTTTTGCTCACTCTCTTGCGTAAAATGCACCCTCGCCACGAGAAAGTAGTGAGCAGGAGTTCCGTCGCAGTGGTTATGTACTCATGGGACCATATGAGAGAGAGAGAGAGAGAGCAGACTTACCTCACTCTCGGCCTTTACCATAGCCATCTGATAGTTCGTGAATGATGTCTAAATTACGTCATAATTAAATTGTTTTTCATTGAAATTATGAATCAACCAATGTTAAGCCACCATTAGAAACTGGGAATCACTGGATGGCCGTTTCGTCCTAGTATCAGACGCATTAGCGGTGCGCATCCATGATCTCTGCTCGCGATAATCGAACCCAGGACCTCCGGTTTTGAGCGCAAACGCCTTAACTCTAGACTACTGAGTGATGTTCAACGGTGTTAATGTCTAGCTGTAGTCAATCCCTGATATTGTGGTGGTCGTAGATGCGCACAGCTGATGACTAGGATGAAATGGTCGCCTAGTGCTTCCATATTTCTAATGTTGGTTTAACAGTGATCGATCCATAATTTCAATAAAACCCAATAATCTCCATAATACTGTACTTTTCATCAAAAAAATACTTTTTTCTACTTTTACAGACGTATCTCAAAGTATTTGAATCGAATGATTCATAAATATGGTATTATTATGGTTGCAAGCGGTGGCAATAACGGACCTAGTTTAGGCTCTTTAAGTTGTCCAGGTGGTACAGTTCAAGGTGTAATTGGTAAGTTTCTGCAGTATATCTATCTATCTATCTTACTTTTCTAATTTTGTTATACTACGAATATTATTATTATTATTGTTATTATTCGACAGTATGAATTTTTCAAGATGGTTGAATTTCATTGAAATCATCTAAATTAGACCACCAATGGATATCTCGAATTGCTAGACGGTCGTTTTATCCTACCGTGTAAGTCTTGTGTTTTATTCTGATGTGCCCGTTCGTCGACACACACTGTTGAGGAGTTCCACACTTACACGAAACGCTCGTCTAGTGCTTTCAGGTTTATTCAGTGGCGACCGGTTCATATGATGTCTGTTAGGATATTCATCCAATATCCTAAGAGAATTATTGGTCTACTCCTATTGGTTAATTCCTACTGGTCGGTTTTATAGTCTTCCTAGATATCAATGTCACGTGATCCAATGTTGTTTCTTATTGGTTGTCCTGACTATCAGTGTCACTTCAAATGTTGCTTCCTATTGGTCTTCTTAACTGTCAATGTCACAGACTTCGATGCTGTTTCCTATTCAACCAAAATGTATACATAAGCATTATCTGTAACGTTTTATGACCACGACCAGCCAGTATAGCTCGGTTGGGTCATCACGATAGTCAAGTCCGACCACCACGTTAAGGTAGCAGCTACGGTCGGGTGTCATATGCATTCTAAAGAAATATCTTAACTAATTGTACATCAGTAAAAACTCAATCGTTCAATAAGAAATTTTATTCAAAAATATCCTCTGGCATTCTCTGGAATTGCCTATCACCGTTGGATGTCTAGTTCAGTGGTGTAGAGGTTAAGCGTTTGCGCGCGAGGCTGAAGGCGGCCCTAGATTCCATTCTCTTGAGCTGGAGTCGTTGTTGCGCACTTCCAAAGTGTCTCATAACAGGAAGAAACAGCTGTTCAGTGCTTCCAGGTTTCTAATGATTGTCTAACAATGATTGATTCATGATTTCAATAACGAAGATGTTAACATCTATTTGTTCTAAATAATGGGCTAGAACGTAAACCTTTGACCCATAAATCGATTGTTCGAGCTTTTCTACTACTGAGCTGCAACTTCACTTCCTAATTAATATGCATATTATCGACTAGGCCTTTTGTTATTAGTTATAATACAAAGATAATGACGGTAATTTCTACACTAAATATATATCTATTCTCAGACAAATTAACGACTAGTTTATGTTACACTTTGATCAGTAATTCTGAACTTAACGACTCCTTTAAACCTGGAGACATTATAAAAAGAACAAAATAAAAGCTAATTCTTTCCCAACAGAGCTAAGCTATTACGACTCTTTCTGGAGCCCCTCTGGGGCTACTGTCGGCCACAAGCCCGGACACAGGAGGAGGGTAGGGCTTGAGTTGGCGATCTTATAGGTATCTCCGAAGCACTGCTGGTGTATCCTGGGCCACCCGAGTAAGCAATACTTTTGTTAGGAATCGGTTACTAGGTAAGGATGATAGATCAATGGATGAAGTAGTGAGACTTCGTCTTTTACGTATGCCCAACCACCGCCTACTTTGACTGGCGATATAGGAGTAAGTTAGGAGAAACCTAGGGACGGCCAAACCAAAACATGGCACAAATCCATGAAGTCACTGACAAACTGACTGAGCCATGTTGGTAAGTGTAAACTACCAGGTTGGGGTGTGCGAGACGATAATAACCGATGGTTAGAGACTTTAAATTCCATGGCTCAAAATCGTTTGCAATGGCCCAGGTGCATCCACACTTTGTGTTCTCCTAAATGCTAATCTCCTGAATTCCTCATCATCTCTATCTTTCTCTTTCTAAATTTATCTCACTGAATTATACTTCTTGAATAATATCCTCGAACCTTAATCTCTCCTATTACTGCTAGTATTTCTACAACCTCCACTACTATGAAGTGACAATTGTGTCTCTATGCTAATGTGCTATGGCAACTTGAACTGATGTACGTACGAACAAAAATGTACGTTGTAACTGACTAACTAACTAACTGACCGACTGAATGATTACAGCTCTTAAAAAGAATGAAACCGAAAGCTCATCTAGAATGCTTATCATGATGTAGAGTCATCACAACATTGCTTTCAGATCTGAATGCTTGTATTTTTTTTTTCTGGCCTATTTAACCAAATTGGCAATGAATACTTTACAAAGTTAAGATTTTTTTTTTTGAAACTTATCTCTTTTTTTTTTAATAATAAATTTCATTGCAGGTGTTGCACCTCTAGTATTCCCTGATATGATGCACTATCTATATTGTCAACCATGTGATGTCAACTGTTCATATGATAATCAGTCTTCTGTTGTGGAAAATACTAAACCAACAGCTTACAATTGGGGTAGTCGTGGTCCAGCATTGGACGGTGCTTTAGGCTTATGTGTTGCTGCTCCCGGTGGTGCTAATACGTCGGTAGCTAGTTGGCAATTGAAACCGGCTAGTGTTCTAAGTGGTAGTTCAATGAGTGCACCGATGGTCAGTGGTGGAATTAGTAAGTACTACTCTTTTTGTGTGAATGCATTACTTAATTACTTACGCCTGTTACTCTCAATGGAGCATAGACCGCCGACCAGTATTCTCCAACCAACTATCTCTTGGACTTCCCTTTCCAGTTCTGTCCAATTTTCGTTCATTCTTCGCATGTCTTTCTCTATTTCTCAGCTTAATGTGTTTGTTGGCCTTTCTATTTTCCTTTGATCTTGGGGGTTTCAAGTGAGGGCTTGTTTTGGGACGCAGTTGGGTGCTTTCTGCAGTGTATGTCCTATCGACTCCTATCTTCCTCCTCCGCTGGAACCTGGTTAGTTCTTTCACACAGTAGACTATTGCTGATGGTGCGAATTCATACCGACAAAAAATATAATTGTATTCCTTATAAAAGTATACGTATTGTCCCAAATGTTCTGATGGTATCACTTTTCGATGGATTAAAATTATGCATACATTAAGGTTGCATACTGATTTAGTAAGTTTACAGTACCAGAAATAAATATACCCCATTATAAACAAACCTATTCCGTCTCATCAGAAAGTGAATCACTAAAAAACTAAAAATGGTAACTTTATCAAGAAGTCAATGTGTTAGGATGTTCATCCAATATCCTAAGAGAATTATTGCTCAATTCCTATTGGTTAATTCCTACTGGTCAATTTTATGGTCGTCCTAGATATCAATGTCACGTGATCCAATGTTGCTTCTTATTGGTCGTCTTAACCGTCAATGCCACAGAATTCGATGCTGTTTCTCATTCGACCGGAATGTAAAAATACTCATTATCTGTAACATTTTATGACCACGACCAGGACGAGGACCCGGTCCCAGATCCCTAGTCCGGGATCCTGATTCTCTTCTGGACCCAGACCTCATACTTTCTGTATGTTTGTAGAATACAGGTTCTAGTGAATATCAAGTCTTGTCTTCTTTTACTCAATATGGAGGTTGAAATAGTCGGATTTGAGTAGCATGTCGTGTTACCGGATCCTCGATCCTCCCTCACGTTTTCCGACTAAGATAAACTCGTAATAGTTCAAGTATATCAAAATGACGTGTTACGTGCAGACGTAACACAATGAATGACACTGAACTTCCAATCAATAAGCTTCAGTTTTTACTTAATGGAGTTGTAAGTGTACACTGCTTAAGTATCACTGACGAGAATAAAATCTAACCAATAGTTATCTGATTCATTTCTATTCATTGTTTGAATGTTCTCATTAATATTTTAAACTTCGGTTGATCAATCTCATTCAGTATGTGTGCTCCCAGTATGGATTGTCTCGATATTACTACTAAGTCTCGAACGTTTTAAGCAGAGATGAATAATGGCATGTTTTCGATCATAAGTATCTTCGAAGCATTGCTCGTACATCCTGCGACACCTGAGTGAGCAATGCTGTTATTAAGAAACAGGTGCTAGGTAAGAATGGCAGATCAATCGATAAAGTAATGAAACTTCGTCAGTTGAGGTGGTTGGGACATGTGTTGCGTACGCCTAATCCTCGACTGCCTTGACGAGGTTTGTTTTGTAGTGTAGGAGTAGGTTGGAAGAAAGTTAGGGGCGGCCTGACCAAAACATGAAAGAAATCCATGAAGTCATTGACAAGTGTACTGAGTCATGTCGATAGTTGTCGACTACCTGGTTGTTGTCCGCGAGATGATAGTAATCGATGGTTAGAGACCTTGAATGACATGGCTCAAAATCGTTTGCAACAGCGCAGGTGCATTCATTCTTTGTGTTCTCTCAAATCCTAATCTTCTGGATTCTTCAACACCTCTAGTTTCGACTCTCTAAACGTATCCCACTGAATCATACTTATTGAATGATATCTTGTATCCTAACTTCGCTGATTACTTCTAATACCTTTACTACCTCTACTACTATTGAATTTGAATTGACAGTTATATCTCTGTTCTGATGTGATGGCTTGTGCAGTTGAATAGATTTCTATTCATTTGTATCGGTTGTTTGGCTTTTCCGATGTCCTAGGTCTAACAATCTCTGTCAGTGGAAGGAGCGTCTTCTGCTTCGAAAACTTGGTCCGTCAGAGCTGGACAAGTATTGCGACTTCATCTTATCGCAGAACACACGAAACCGTTCATTCGACGCTACCGTTTAGTCTCTCTCAGCAAAGTTTTTGGTGATCAGCACTCTCTTTTCAATACTCATTACCACTGCTTAAAACTGGTCATGAATGAGTCCAACGACTTATTGACCCATGTTGGCATTGTCAACCGTGAGTGCGAACGGTTCAAATCGGATCCCATTTCCGTCGCCAATTGTTATCCTCGTCTCTAGGTATGCTTGAAACTATTACCAGTTCACCTTAGTCGATAAACGAGAACGAGACAATGAACCAGCGTCCAGGTAGGCTATTCTGATCCGTTGACCCAAAGGAACTAACGAGAAGTCTTGATATAGCGTAGAAAGTGTATTCTGCAAACACCCAACAAGCACAATGTATGCAAGCACACAAATCACGTCTATTTATACACCACAGAGACGTCCTTGGGAGAGTCACAAAAATAGCACACTAAAATAACACAATAACCAATCACAACAAAGGCTTCTGGATATCTAATATCCCCAACAACATGCTTTCGATCGTACAGCTAACCGACATTCGTCTCTGCTAAAAAAATAATCATCTACGTTTGCCCAAATCATGAAAGTTTATCCATCCATTCTCCTTGTTTTTCAGGTCTACTCCTCTCTGGTATACGTCATCGTTATAAGTGTACTGCTGATAAGGAACCATTGAAGATTCCGCCATCACTTATTTATCATTGTTTAATGAATACTTCGAAATCATGCGAACATTTGTCCTATTTAGATCAAGGTTATGGTTTAATGCAAATTGATGCAGCATTCAACTATTTAAATACTGTATTACATAAATTATATCAACAAAATCAATCAATAACCACCAGTCTATGTACAAATGTCAAGAATATAAATGGTGTAGATCATGTTGATGATAATGAGGATGATGAAACATTGTCAATGTCATTGAATGTGAAAAAGTAAGTTAATATTTATTTGAATGGAATTATATTAGTTATAAATATCGTTATAGTTCAATACAGAAGAATATCTGTCTGCTCCCAGCCATAACTGTTACCTTGTTGTGTTGGTCGGGCTAGCCTATCGTGATGATGCAACGGAGTAGTTATATTGGCTGGAACATATGTTCCTATAGGTTCTACCATGCCAGGCAGATCGATTGGAAATCGATGAGACTAAAAGCAGCTACTCAAGGTCTGAGGGCGAAGTCGTACTGTGGTGTGAGCTACGTATAAGTAGTATATGATGTGAGTGTCAACGTAATGTCTGGCAGCATAATATAGGGGAAGATCAAGAAAGGAAGAGTTAGAAAACAATGGAATTTGTATGAAACGCATGAACAGTGACATTGGATTGATGTTTTGCAACAGGAACAGTCCAGTTCGATAGGATGGACTGATATTTTGCAAATGAACGATTTAGGATATGGTTTTCCGATTTTACTGAGTAACTCTGTAATTTTCGTTCAATACAATTCGGTTGCCCCACCTGTGTTCTCGTTCACTACAGTACCGCTGACTCCAGAGGGGTGTGACAGCAGTAAGGTGTTTCCCTCGGACAACCAGCATCTGCAGCGATGCTGCCATCTCACAAGGAAGGAAGGGTTAGAAAAGGTCGACCCTAAAAGTGTCACACCTCACGGATTTCAGTCTCCGGTACTAAGGCCTTTTAAGCAAGAGTGGAGCTAACACTTCAAAAACGTCTCATGAAAAGGCCGTATGTGACCGGCCTCAAGTAGTTGTGCGTTGGTCTCTGCGGTCACGCTTACTGGTCTCTAAGACCAACACTAATCTACCTTCCTTTTCAGGTTCTGCAAGAAACACCCTTCCATAGTGTGGGCAGCCTGGATGTTACATCCGCCCTCATACCTGTACCAGCACGCGTGACCGAATGGGTCACAACCAAATCCTTCCTACACTTCTACTATCTCTATCACTATGGGATTTGTACTGACAATCGTATCTCAGTGCTAATGTGGTACCGCAACCTGAACGGATGTACTTACGTACGAATTTCTACGTTTTAACTGACTGACTAAATGTCCGTCTGCTAACCAAGCGACGAGTTTATTGTACAGCAGTTTGTTCCGTTCTATTATACGGGAGTATAACAAGGCTAATGAGCATAGAGTATATCAATAGGTTACTAGTATTCGAACATAAGTGTCTTCGAAGCATTAATTGTGTATCTTGGGACCACCGAGTAAGCAACGCTGGTGTTCAGAAAAGATAAAAATGGCAGGCCAGTTGATGAATTACTGAATCTTCATCAGCTGAGGTGGTTGGAACATGTATTACTTATGTCCAACCACCGACTGCCGCTCAACGAGCAATGTTTGGTGTAAGAGTAGTCTGAATGAGACCGTGCTTTTAGATGCGACACTGGCATCATCTGAATTTTCAGGAGTTGAACGTTTAGCTGGAGATTCGTTCGTTGACTTAGAATATGCCGATAACATAGTTCTACGTGGTAGATGGCCATCTATACTTGAAATCTTTTTCTGTGCTAGAAGTACATTTTTGTTACCAGTCTATTATTTAGTTTTCTGAATTCGAGTAATTATACTCAGCAGTTTACTTCTGATGTCCATTTCATCACTATGATTGTCTTACTCAAAATGTAGGTTAATATAACTGAGTGCAATTTTTGACGTGAGATTATCTACTTGTCTATCAATGTCTGTGTGTTGTATCTGTTTGTGTATGTGTGAAATCTCACTAATATATCGAGAATTTCAAAGTATCTGCTATAAAATTTCTATGACTATTTCAACTACTATTATTAATGAATCCGTCATGTTTGTCAAGTAATCAGTGTCAATCATTTGAATAAATTCACAAAATCACATATTGTGAAATAAAGAAATTAAGATTTTCATTTGTAAAGATTGTTGAATTTTATTGAAATGATGAATTGATCAAATGTGCCTACTGGTGACTAGCTTCGTGAGGAGATTCTAGGAAACTGTGATCAGTGGATTTCCACCATGTCGGGTGTAGACGGTTAACTACCGAAGACAATGGGTGTTGGTTGTGCAATGCCTTCCATTGATCGAAATTAGACATTAACACCACTGGATGCCTTTTCAGTGGTCTAGAGCTTAAGCGAAGCTCCTGGGTCCTGTTCCTGTGAAGGGGGGGGTCGTGGATGGACACTGCTGTTGAGTCCTATACTAGGACGAAACAGCTGATATTGAGTGGGATACGAAATATTCACTCTATAAAATAATATTAGTATTATTATTATTTTGATTATTTAAACAGACAAATATTTGTACGAAGGAGCACTTCAATATCTATGCACCACACAAATCAATTACTTTTTGTTTAGACTGTTATGCTGTTCCCGTACCCATCCTGAATTTGGTGGTCTTTTCCTAACGGGCCATTTCATCGAGCTTTTCAAGTAGAGGTCTAATCCACACAGCAATGAAGTCGTGTCAGGATAATGTAGTATAATGACAGGTGATCATAATATGTCATTTTGTTCCATCAGGATATTGAAGCCCTCATGTGCTGCTGTACCATTGATTTGGAATGAGGGTTTTTCAACTCCACTGCCGACCGTACTAGAGCACTTGGGGGGGGCATCTATAACAGATAAGAATAATCAAATTAACTTAGTAACAATACATGGTTAGAGACCTTGAATGACATGGCTCAAAATCGTTCGCAATGGCGCCAGCGCATTAATTATTTGTGTTCTCCCAAATCCTAATCTTCTGGATTCTTCAACCCCTCTAGTTTTGACTTTTTAAACTTTTCTCATTGAATCATACTTCTTGAATAATATCTTCTAATCCTAACCTCTCCGATTACTTTTAATACCCTTACTACCTCTACTACCATTGGATTTGAATTGAGAATTATATCTCTGTGGTGATGTGGTATGGCAACATGAACTGATGTACTTACGTACGAAGTTCTACGTTGCATCTGACTGACTAAATGAGTAACAATACACAGTACTACTGGATAATATTTGCCGATCAACATGCAAAATACAAAATCTGAAAAATTCTTCACAAATCCTTCTGTATTTATGATAATCATTTGTTCAGTACTGAATTAATTTAAGATGCAGGTCGTATAATTCCAATGAAATACTGTGTATATGTGTGTTATAATTGCTGGCCAGTTATTATTACCCCACTATGTGGCTAGTCGAAATCCTACCGATTGACCAAATTCAGATATTTCAGTACGTCCCGCAATAGTGTTTCATAAATCTTCAGTATATCAGAACACAACACCGTTAGATGAAAGTTGTTTATGGTGTCCGAGTACAGAAGAAGGAGATGAGGAGCATAAAACTTTACAGATGATGCATATTTATACAGTTAGGACGACTGTGAATACTAACCAATAGGAAATAACATTGAAAAGTATGTGAACTTGATATTTAGGACGACCTGAACTATTGACCAATAGGAATCGACCAATAGAATTAGACTTGCAAAATAATTTCTTTAGGAGGCAACCCGTTTAAAAAGGCATGTCCAAATGACCTAAACTGCAGCTTCCTTTAAATAGCTTATTAGTCAGTCAGTTAGTCAGAAACGACGTAGAACTTCATACGTATCTACATCAGTTCAAGTTTCCATAACACGTTAACACACAGAGATCGAATTGTCAATTCATATCCCATCGTGGTAGAGATAGTCGAAGTATTAACGGTAATGGAGAAGATTAGTGTTCGAAGATATTATTCAAGAAGTATAATCCAGTCAAAAAAAATTTGAGACGAGAACAATAGAGGTAGGTGATGAGCTATTCAGAAGATTAGAATTTTAGAGCAGACAAAGAATGGATGATGACGTATCTACGCCATTTCAAACTATTTTCAGCCATGTCATTTAAAGCCTCTACCCATCGGTTACACCATTGCCTCATGGATCCAAACCTGGCAGTCTACACCTACTAAAATGACTCACTCCATGCCCAACCCTCCTCCATTATCCGGACTTGGGTTAGGCAATAACTTCAAGAAGGCTACAGGTGAACCTTACCTTGGTATCTAATAATCAAATTACTTTTAATCTTTTAAGAATCTCGATTGATTTAGATGTCTCATGGACTTCAAACAATCTTTTTGATATCCATAATGTCTACAGCAGTCGTCATTGAATAAGTTTCCAATCAGGTCTTCTGTTGACTCATTTACACTAGACTTCATGTGTATTCTTTTATTTATTCATACGATATCATAAATTGATATTCATTCTAGTGTTATGAAGATTGTTGTTTTCCATTGAAGTCATGAAAAGTAGACCTTTGTAGATCGATCAAAGTTTTAGACATCGACACCGTCGGATCGCTGCTCAGTAGTGGTCTGGACGTTAGGCATTCGCGCGCGAGACCCCGCAAGTGAGGGTTTGTAGATGCGCACTTCTGAAGAGTCCTATACTAAAACGAAGCGACCGTCTAATGCTTCTAGGTTTCTAATGGTTGTCTAACAATGATTAATTCATGATATCATAAATTAATTGATCAGAAATCCCAATGCGATTATCATTTATTGTATAGATTTATATTTACTTCAAATACTGTTTATTAAGCTCCTCAAGAAAATTATTACCGATACCTGATCCATGTATAATGTATGGTTGGCATATTCGATTAACTGTTTCTGGACCTGGTTGTACGTTACAAAATCGTGGAATTTGGTTAAGACGTGGTTGGTTATTGAGTCCACGAGCTGTGGTTGGTGAAGCGCCTTTACCGTTGCTACGTTACACCATAAATATGAATATTGAGTTTGACGAGGTTAGTGTTAGTTTCATTTGAATCATTACTGTTTCAAAAGAAAGCAAATAATCTTGAAGATATAACGTCTTCTAATTACCATTTTTATTCATCAGTTTATTACATGTTTTTGAAACCTTTTAATGATAACAATGCTAAAAACAGGAACAACTAGGAAAACAGTTAAGCAGCCATGTAGTAATTGATGTCCACTCTGAGGCAGCTTGGAATGAAAACGGGGTCGGTTTCAAACCCGGACGTGGATGTATAGAACAGATATGCACACTTCGGTATGTCCTAGAACAAAGACATGCTTTCAGACGTCCCACAGTAGTTGTATTCCCTCACTCTGAGACAGCATTTGACTCTGGTGATCGTGAGGTTCTGTGGCAGTGTCTGTCATTGAAAGGTGTACCAAAGAAGTGTACTAACCTTGTACAAGATCACCACTCGAACACTACAGGGTGAGTTAGGGCTTATGGAAAACTGTCATCGGAATTGATTACTTCAAGTTATGTCCGTCAGGGCTGTCTACCCTCTCCATTCATGTTTAACTTTGTCGTAGATATGCTTTTAGAGTTAATATTATCATCGTCTGACTTTTCAGAAGTGGACCTTTTACGCTTACTGACTTAAAGTATGTTGATGACATAGTGGTATTTGATCAAGATGCTGATAAAATGCAGTATCTCCTGACTACCGTAAGAAAAAATGCACACATGTTCGGGATGCGATTCTTCCCGTCGTAATGCAAAATGTTGCTTCAGGATTGGCTTGTATCGGCACCTGAACTAGTGATAGGGAGTGAAGTAGTCGAGCGTGTTGACCGCTTCACGTATCTGAGGAGTCTCAACAGTGCTGACTGACGAAATCTCAGCACGGATACAGAAGGCTCGATTGGCTTTTGCCAACCTGCGTCGCTTATGGCATAGTTGAGAAATCCGTCTTCTAACAAAAAGACGAGCCTACTGCTCTTCAGTTCGCTCTGTCCTACTATACGAATGCGAAACATGGCCGTTAAGGGTAGAGAACTTCCGTGGTTTACTAGTCTTCGATCATCGGTGTCTCCGAAGCACTGCTCGTTTGTCCTGGGACAACCGTATAAGCAATGCTGTCGTTAGGAAACGAGTTCTAGGTAGGGATGACCAATCAATAGATGAAGCATTGAAACTTCATCAGTTCAGGTGGTTTGGACATGCGTTACGTATGCCTAACCACCGACTGCCTCGATGACCTATGTATTGCAGTGTAGGAGTAGGTTGAATGAAAGTTAGGGTCGGCCTGACCATAACATGGCAGAAATCCATGAAGTCACTGACAAGTGGACTCAGTCATGTTGGTAGATGAAGGCAACCTGGTTTGGGTCCACGAGACGGAAGTCACCAATGGTTAGAGACCTTGAATGACATGACTCAGAATCGTTTGCAATGGCGCAGGTGCATCCATTCTTTGTGTTCTCTCTAATTATAACCTCCTGAATTCCTCATAATCTGGATCTTTCTCCTTCTAAATTTATCCTCCTGAATTATACTTTTCGAATCATATCTTTGCTCCATAATCTTCTCTATACTGCTAATACTTCTACTATCGCTATCACTCTTTGATTTGAACTGACAGTTACGTCTCTGTGCTGATGTGGTATGGCAACCTGAACTGATGTACTTACGTACGAAGTTCTGTGTTGTATCTGTCTGTCTGTCTGTCTGTCTCACCTTAGTCGGAAAACAAGAGCGCGGATTGAGGATCCAGTGACACGACATACTACTCCAATCCGATTGTCCCAAACCCCCCATTGAGTGTAAAAGAAGATTTGATTTAAAGTAGAACCAACCAACAGAATTAAACTTAAAAAAATAATTCTCTTAGTATATTTAATGAATAATATCCTAACAATTTTCCTTTGCTTTCACAAATCACTCTATTTTACAGTATGTACCGATTAATATTCGACAAAATATAGAATTACATTTAAGTACGGAAATAATTTCAGATTTCAATAAATTCGCCAATTCTAATGGTTGGTTACAAATTGCCCCACTCATAACTATTACCAATACATCAAGACTGATTCAGTTTGTGATCGATCCGAATAGATTTAATCAATTATTGTATGAAAAAGTGAAAGAAGACCTTTCTGATCATCTAGTCAATGATCATCATCATCATCAGCATCATCATAACACACAACACCCTATCGAAGAACACCATGATATATCTTCATTATCAGAGGATCAACTACAATCAGACGTATGTACAGACCACCGCCGCCAACAACCACAACAACAGTCACAAAGTCAATATCATTTGCAACAAAATGAATTAACCAATTTCTGTTGGCCATCATCAAAGATCAATGCTTCCATGAAACATCAGTTTAATGCAATGCCAATTCATAAATCTCAAGAACCATATGTGAGTATAATTCAATTCAATGCTATAAATTATCCAGAATTACACTGTTTGGCAAATTTACCTATCATTATACAAATTCCATATAAGTAAGTAATAGATTATTTTTTTGTAAATTTATCTCCTATATATGTTAATCAATTTGTAAATATTTGGTTTTTTTTGCAAATACCTCCTCGTGGTCTTGCCAGGCAACGTGGCGTTGTTTACAGCGCTGCGGCTAAAAGCCGTTCCGAACGCTTAGGATACTGTGTCTAGCATGGTCCAGAATAATGGTACGTGTTCATGCTCACAAGGCTGTGGATGCGGTTAACCACTCTGGAGGATTAGGACTTAACGTCTCTTAGTCTAAATCTCGTCCTTCGAGTGTAGGTAAATTCCGATAATGGTTTGAGAACTTGTCCTCTATCATTCCCAAGTAGCAAATACCTTGAAAGGGATGTAGCTTTCCAGGATGATTAAAGGCGGCCCTAGACGTTCTGTTTGGGGAAGCAGCCGTAGACATCCTGGATTATTGACACTGATTCCATGTGGTTATTCTGAACACTCTGGATCTCGGCGTATTGTGTAAACTGGCGTCAAGGCCCCTTAAACGAGGGTCTCGAGTTGGGTTAAGTGATCCGGTGCTAAAGGGTACTGGACGCCAATGATATCTGTCCGTTTTTGTAGGATTAACCCAACTTAGCAGAGTGCTTGCACTTGGTTGAATCCATGATATCTTCCCCATGGGAGTGTGTACGTTCCGGCTGATCTTGTAGGACAAACCCGATCTTTAGCTTCATGTGGGGTCTGAGGGCTCCGGTCGATTGTATCAGCGCAAGGAAGTTGGAATGGCTGTTCGTTAGTGCACTGCTGGGTGGCTCGGTAATCCGTTCAGGGTTCCAGGTCCAGCTGGATAAGCCAGCCTTGCTGCCCATGCTGATTGGCGATTTAGGGTAGTGGATTGGTGGAGGGATCTTATTGATTCATAAGTGCCTGAACGAGGGCCACTGTTCGTGTGCGTGCTTTTTGGACGTCCGACCTGCTTGCAGGCCAAACTGGACAACATGTATGTTCCCGATTGGGGTAGGAGTGATCACTAAACGGCTAATGTGAAAGTCCTTGTGTTGCCTAAAAAAGCAACGATGTACATGTGCAGCGGGCTTGTCGGTTAACCAAGTATATTGGTCAAGTTTTGGCTTAACTTACTTACGCCTGTTACCCCTGGTGGAGTATAGCCCGCCGACCAGCAATATGTGCTTTAATCTATCTCGTTTCCTTTATCCTTAAAGATTCCAAGTTAAAGTTTGCTTGCTCATTGCTTTTTGTCATGTGTGTCCATTACGCCTTCAGCATGTATTTAGTGATTTCTTCCTCAGTTAGAATCCGGTGTCCGACCGACGGATCCACAACTTCCTCAATTTTTGCAGAGATCAAAATAACTGTTTATAAATGAGTTAGAGACTTGGACGAACGTTTAAACATAACAATCTGTTTAATTCGCTCCTGGACATCATTGTTTTCATAAGTTACATGATATGTGCTTACTTTTCATTCGCTTAGATTCAACCTACAACGCAATGATTTTGAATTGTAATGAGTTGGTTACTGCTTCGAGCCATTAATGGAACTCAAGTAACCATACAAGTTCTATGTGATCTTACTCAGTTAGGCCCGTTAACCACAATTGAGCATAAGCCGCTAATCAGTATCCTCCAACCTACTCTGTCCTGCACTTCCCTTTCCAGTTCTGTCCAATTTTTGTTCATTCTTCTTATGTCTGTCTCCATTTCTCGACGTAATGTGTTCCTTGGCCTTCCTCTTTTCCTTTGTCCTTGAGGATTCCATATGAGGGCTTGTCTTGTGACGCATTTGGGTGCTTCCCTTATTGTGTATCCTATCCACTTCCAGTGCTTCTTCTTAATTTCTTACTTCATTCTAATCTGGTTTGTTATCTCCCACAGTAGGTTGTTGCTGACAGTGTCTGGCCAACGGATCCAAATTATTTTGCGTAGACAACCGTTAATGAATATTTGTATCTTCTGGATGATGGCTTTCGTAGTTTTCCAAGTTTGCGCCCCATACAGTGTAACTGTTTTGACATTTGGTGTTTGCTGATAGTTGTCTTGAGTTCTAGATGTTGTTCACTTGTTCACCCAGTCTTGAAGCAACATTTTGCATTTCGAGGGTGAGAACCGCATCCCGAACATGCTCGCATTGTTGCTTATGGTAGTCAAAAGACTCTGCATTTTGTCAGCGTCTTCACCGAATAGAACTATATCATCGGCATAGTCTAGGTCAGTAAGCGATTTTCCTGGTAGAAGGTCAACCTCTGAAAAATCTGACGAGCTTAATGTTAACTCTAAGAGGATGTCTACGACAAAGTTAAACATGAATGGAGAGAGTGGACAGCCCTGACGGACACCACTTGAAGTAAAGAATTCCGGTGACAGTTCGCCATAAGCTCTCACTCGACCAGTGGTGTTCGAGTAGAGAGCTTGTATAAGGTTAACGTACTTCTTAAACCTTACAAATATATTCTTTGAAACGGTGAAAAACAGAATGAATTCTTGTTAAGGCAATCTAATTAAGCGTTTTTGAACATACTACTATTTTTATGTGTACAGCTGTGTAGGTGGTTCAGTTTCATTGTAAACTCCTGCCGACCCTAGTTGAACAACTACTGAATCATACTTCTTGAATAATATCGTCAAACTCTAATCTCCTTCATTACCGCCAATACTTCTACTATCTCCACCACTATGGGATTTGAACTGACAATTGCGTCTCTGTGCTAATGTGATATGGTGTGATGTGCAAGGTATCACTAGTTTCGTGACGGTTGGTATCCAACGTGTTCTTAGGCTTCGTAATTAGCTCGTCCAGACAATCGTTACTAAATAGCGTCTGACGGTTTATAAATCAGAAGGTGAACTCGAAGTGTTGAATACGTTTATTTTGGCACACCAAAAATCGATCAGCAGACTATAAGCACCCAAAGATAAAATCGTCATGCGAGCGCCGGTAAGCAAGCAAGTGAGCGAATTGGCGAATGAACGGATAAAGCGAAGGGGAGAAGGCTAGCGAGCCAACTCCGAAAGATAAAGCATGACTAAGAATTTATAGTCAGACAAAAATAAGACAGACATGTAGCAAGCGAGATAGGCATGCACACACATGAATGAAAGCGATGAATGCTTGACAAAGTCAAAAGACAAATGGGACAAGTCATGTGAGCTAGACATTGAATGACTCACTACAATGACAACCTGAACTGATGTACTTATGTACGAAGTTCCACGTTGTAACTGACTGACTAAAAGCACTAATCGTCCATCTTGTAGTCGGATGGAACTTAGCTGCAAGCGTACCAAGTGACGAACATAACAGTACTTATTTCTTTCATTTTCAATTTCATTTGTTCATTCTTTTCATAGTTTCTTCATTGTCGCTGTTGTTTTCTCTTCTGTTTATTTATTTACAGATTGGATAGAAATTGTTGTTTAGAACAACCACGTTTCTTGTTCTCCGATCGATTTGATGTTGACAATAAAGTAAGAAGATGGTTTATTGAAGTACCGCATGGAGCTACTGCTGGTGGTAAGTTGTAAAAAACATTTTTCTGACTTGGTCGTTATTTTGTGATTGTCATTTCCTTTTTTGTGTAGATATTAATATAATACTTTTGACATGACTTGTTCAGTAATAGGTTCAAGTTAGTGAGATAAAAATACGCAGCCTGGAGCCCTTCTGAGGCTGCTGTCGGCCACAAGCCTGGATATCTGATTAGTGTGAACAGAATATAAAGTTTGTAAAACAAAATACTTGACGGCCCATTTCGGTTTAGTCTGGAACTCTAACTTAAAGCGATTCACGATACGAATGAGCTCCATTGGTCATGGTCTCTTAATAGAATTCAGAAAATTCCCTCACGATATTCACCAGTTCAACACTGTTGGCTATAAAGCAATTATTCACCGAAAACAATGGCTTGTAGTCATGCAATATCATGGATTGATTCAAGTTAAATGTCAACTGTGTTGGATGTTGGATCATGATATGATCGATTGGTTAAATGTTAACACGTCAGTCTGAAGGTTCACGGTTCGATTCTCCTTTGCGACGTCGTGAATGCGCATTGCTGATGAGTCCCATTGTAGGATGACACAACCTACCAGTACTTCCAAGTTTCCAGTCGTGACCTAACAATCTTCACAGCTGTAAAATTGACAATTGTTTATATTTATATTTGAATGGAGATTATAATATCTCACTGGCTCATTTCTTATTCCTGTTGTTATGTAACTAGTTGTAACAATTAATCGACTCAGTAATTTAGTGTTATTTTCAGTTAGAGTTTTGGGGATTTGTGTTTTTACACATTTGGAATCATCAATCAATCATTGTTAGACCACCATTGAAAATCCGGAGGCACTGGACGGCCGTCTCGTCCTAGTATTGGACTCATCAGCAGTGTGCATCCACGACTCGTGTACCGTGCAGGATTCGAACCCGGAACCTTCGGTCTTGTGCGCGAACGCCTAACCATCGGACCACTGGGCCGGCATCCAACGGTGTTAATGTCTAACTCTGATTGATCAAGGGATTTTGCGTGACCTCACCCATTTGTCTTAGGTAGTTACTGCCTACTCCCGACAGGGTTGAACTCCATTGGTCACGTCATCTCACTAGAACTCAGAGAATTTCCTCACGAATTTAGTGTTAGTTTTAAATAGTATATCCGTTGAGTTACTAACTGGTTCAATCAATCAGCTACAATGTAGAACTTGGTACGTACTTACATGAGGTCAAGTCGCTATACTACATCAACAGAGAGAGATTGAATTCGTAATTTAAATTCCATAGTAGTATAGTTTAGTTGCAGTACTAGTGGTTATGGAAAGTATTAAGAATCGAATATATGATTCCAGAAGTATAATCCAGTGAAATAAATTTTTAAAAGAAGAAAGAATAAGGTGATAAGGAATTCAGAAGATTACAATATGAGCGAACACATAGAATGGATGACATATCTGCGCCATTAAAAAGGATTCTGAACCATGTCATTCAAAGTCCCTAACCATCGGTAACTGTTGTCTCGTGGATCTCAACCAAGTAGTCTACACTTACTCTCATTTAGTAGTCGATAACTTCATGGATTTGTGCCATCTATTGGTCTAGCCTTTCCTAGCTTTCTCCCAGCCTACCTCTACCTACACCAGACATAATCGCACGTCTAGACAGTCTGTCGTTAGGTATACACAAGACATGTCCCAACCACCTCAACTGATGAACATTTTCTTCATCTATTGATCCGCCATCCTTACCTAGTTTCCTTGTTCCTAACAACAACAATGCTTACTCAATGGTCCCAAGATATTCGAGCAATGCTTCGACAACACCTATGATCGAATACTAGTAACTTACGAGTATCCTCTACTCTTAGTGGTTATGTTTTACACACGGATGGAGAACACTGCTGCGTCCTCGTCCATAAGTTGCCAGACAGAGATCTCGCATCCGCCAAGTTAGCAAAAGTCAGTTGAGCCTTCCATATCGATGCTGAGATTTCATAAGACTGTATGAATGATTTTAAACGATGATTCTAAAGAATTTGCTTGAACTTAATGTTTCAGGATTAAGCGTTTGACTGACTTTTATAGTGTTAGGATATTCATCTAATATCTTAAGAGAATTGTTGGTCAATTCCTATTGGTTAACTCTAACTGGTCAATTTTATGGTCCTCCTAGATATCAATGTCACGTACTCCAATGTTGTTTCTTATTAATCATCCTGAATTTCATTGTCACTTCAAATGTTGTTTCCTATCGGTCATCTTAACTGTCAATGTCACAGACTTCGATTATGTTTCTTATTCGACCTAATTGTATAAATACGCATTAGTTGTAAAGTTTTATGACCAGAACCCGGTCCCGGATCCTTAGTGTGTGACCTTGGTCCTCTTCTGGACTCGGACCTCATACTTTCCGAATGCTTGTAGAATACTTGTTCAAATCAAGTCTTCTTCTTTTTATTCAATGGGGGTTAGGGACATTCGGATTAGAGTAGCATGTCGTGTTGCCGGATCCTCGATCCTCTCTCTCGTTTTTCGACTAGGTAAACTTGTAATAGTTCAAGTATATCAAGTTGACGTGTTTACGTGCACGCGTAACATGTAGACATTTAGATAACGAGGCAGGGTAATTTTCGGGGATACACTTCGAAAAATATTGCTTTGTTCAACTAAGATGATCACGTATATACACACTATACATTCATAGTTCAAAACGAATTGATAATAAATATTTCTTCATTTCACTTGTACTTTTAATTAAACTGTTTATTGTTTCATTTTCCCTATTATTTCTTTCTGTAATTTTCAGTTTTACGTTTAGCTCGGTTAGATGATGAAGGTGATAAGTCGTGTGAATTCACTATTACGATCAATTCGCCATGTATTGGTATGGAGTTAGATAGTCAAGAAATTCGATGGACATCTATTGAATTGAATAAATGCGGTCAAACAAAATCAACTATAAAACGTGCGTGCGGTGTTTTATATGTTTAAATTAGTTTTGTTGATGTTCAGTATATACATATATGTGTTGCTTTTTCTGCGCTTTTCAACATTTTTATATGTTGATTTAATTGGTACACACATATCTGTGACATGCCTCACCTTGATGTGATAGGGAGTGAAGTAGTCGAGCGTGTTGACCGCTTCACTTATCTGGGGAGTCTCATCTATGCTGATAGCCTGGTGACTGACCAAATCTCAGCACGGATACAGAAGGCTCGATTGGCTTTTGCCAACCTGTGTCACTTATGGCTCAGGCGAGATATCCGTTTACTAACCAAAGGACGAGTATTCTGTGCAGCAGTTCGCTTCGTCCTATTGTACGGATGCTAGACTTGGCCGTTAAGAGTAGAGGACTTTCGTAGGCTACTAGTCTTCGATCATCGATGTCTCCGAAACATTTTTCGTGTATCATGGGACAACCGAGTAAGCAATGCTGTCATTAGGAAACGACTTCTAGGTAGGGATGGCAAACCAATAGGTGAAGTAGTGGAACTTCATCAGTTGAGGTGGTTGGGACATGTGTTACGTATGCCTAACCACAGACTGCCTCGACGAGCAATGTTTTGCAGTGTAGGAGTAGGTTGAAAGAAAGCTAGGGGCGGCTAAACCAAAACATTGCAGAAATCCATGAAGTCACTGACGAATAGACTGAACCATGTTGGTAGATGTAGGCTATCTGGTTGGGGTCTGCGAGACGATAGTCACCGATGGTTAGAGACCTTGAACGACATGACTCAGAATCGTTTGCAACGGCGCAGGTGCATCCACTCTTTGTGTGATTTTTAATTCTAACCCTCTGAATTCCTCACAATCTCTATCTTTCCCTTTCTAAATTTATCCCACTGAAATATACTTCTCGAATCATATCTTTGCTCCATAATCTTCTCCATTACTGCTAATACTTCTATTATTGCTATCACTGTTGGATTTGAACTGACATTTGCGTCTCTGTGCTGATGTGGTACGGCAACCTGAACTGATGTACTTACGTACGAAGTTCTGCGTTGTATCTGTCTGTCTGTCTGTCTGTCCTCACCTTGATGATAATGGACTGTTTCTTGTGGAAGTGTAGTTTTTATTTTGGACGTTATATTTTGCAAGTTCTCAATTGTCTTTAATTGCCTTTATCATCGCGATATATAAATTGATTTTTCGCTACAGCAACATTTTCATTGTAAATGGTTTGGAATAATGCCAAATTTTTAACAATGAAAATTCTAGCGAAAATAACACTGCAATATGTAATACTTACTCATTAACTGAACAAAGAAATGATACATAGTGCTGGCTAGTTATTATTTTTAAAGTTCGTGATCATTGAGGACGTTGTGGATCAGTTGAAACTATTCGAAACATATGTTTCTGTAACTTCTTGTTCTAGTGAAGATTAATTTAAATTTTGAAAATAGTTTTTTATTGAAATCTTACATTAGGGAGTACTTTTGAAAACTCCGCCTGGATCTCCTCTATGGTTACTGCAGGTTGCAAGCACGGATAAAGGAGAAGAGGGTTGGGCATGGGGTTGGCAGCCCCATCCTATGAAAAAAAACTAACTCGCTGAAAAGAAACGCTGATTAGAAAAAATAATCCAATCTAGGCAACATTAGTCATAAATTGTTTTGAACTTAGAGAAAGCTGATTTCATTTAATGTGTTGTATAATGAAGTGATGTCATTCCTCGTAGTTAAATCTTTTGCACTCTATTTGTCAATTATTTTATCAATTTTCTTTCCCATCAAATAGGCATGAAGTTAGAAACAGATAAATAATGCTTGTAGCTTTACATATTAAAATCTGAAGTCAGGATAACTGGAAACATCATTGTTTATTCTTAATTACTTTCGCCGGCCGCTGACCACCAGCATTCCTCAACCTGCTCTGTCCTGGACCTTCTTTTGTAGTTCCACCCAGTTGTTGTTCATTCTTATCATATCTGTTTCCGTTTCTCGACATAATGTGTTCTTTGGTCTCCTTGTTTTTCCGTTGCCCTTGAGGATTCTAGGTGACGGCGGCTTGTCTTGTGATGGAGTTGGGTGCTTTCCTCCTCAATGTGTTTTCCAATCCACTTCCAGCTTACTTACTTACTTACGCCTGTTACCCACAATGGAGCATAGGCCGCCCACCAGTCTTCTCCAACCAACTCTGTCCTGGGCTTCCCTCTCCAGTTCTGTCCAATGTTTGTTCATTACTCTCATATCTTTCTCTATTTCTCAGCGTAATGTGTTCCTTGGCCTTCCTCTTTTCCTTTTGCCTTGAGGGTTCCATGTGAGGGCTTGTCTTTTGTCGCAGTTAGGTGCTTTTCGTAATGTGTGTCCTATCCACTTCCACCGCTTCTTCCTGATTTCCTTCTCCACTGGAATATGGTTTGTTCTCTCCTACAGCAGGTTGTTGTTGATAGTATCTGTTGTCCAGTGGATCCAAAGTATTTTGCGTAGATAACTGTTAATAAATACTTGTATCTTCTGGATGATGACGTTTTTAGTTCTTCAAGCTTCCGCTCCATACGGCAGAACTGTCTTGACATTTTTATTGAAAACTGTGACTTTGGTGTTGGTTGATGATAGTTGTTTTACGTTGCAGATATTGTTCAATTATAGAAATATTGCCCTTGCTTTGTCGATCCGTTCCACTTCAGTTCATTCGTATGCCGGTGATTGAATTCAGAAAATAATCTTGTTAACTTTAATAGTGACATTTGAAAAAAAGAAATCTATTAACTTCCTGTGCTTTCCTCTCTCACTCTTTCGCTGTCTATCTATCTGCCTGCCGCCGCGTCCCAGCAGCGGGAACTAGTAGACGCTACACGTTGGATAGATGCCGTACCCATTCCAGAACAATGACCGAAGTGGTAATCCGGCATACTGTAGGGCGTCACGGAATACGGTAGGTGATATTAACTGACCAGGGTCCCTGTTTTGAAAGTGACGACAGCTTAATGAAAGGGGGGACGAGTGTGATGCGAGCTTCTTATAAGTATTATATGACGTGAGTGTCAACGTTATGTCTGGCAACAGAAGATGGGGGAAGATCAAGAAAGGAAGAGTTAGAACACAATGGAATTTGTATGAAACGCATGAATAGTGACATGGGATTGATGTTTTGCAACAGGAACAGTCCAGTTCGATTTGATGAACTGATATTTTGCAAATGAACGATTTACGATATGGTGTTCCAATTTTACTGAGTAACAATCCGGTTGCCCCACCTGTGTTCTCCTTTCCTGGATGTACTAATCACCAAAAAAATCATCTCAATATCTATCTATTTATCGCTGTGTTTTTATTTCATTTATTTTTTTTTAATAGGCAGTAATAAATGCGGATCCACATTATTAAGTTCAGATGATTTCGATTGTGCATCACAATTTGGATTTCCTATTAAATGGGAAACAGATTGTATAGAATTAACTATCGCACAAAGCTGGGGCTTAGAAATGCCAGCTATTGTAATTGGTGAATTGTATTTCCGTGGTCTGGAACCAAGCTCCAAAAATATTGTATTGGTAAGTTTACTGTTGCCTAGCTAATTTGATTAAGGTACTTGATCATATGTGTGATACACTTGACTGTTCAGTCAAGAACAAGAGTTTATTCGCACAAATCGAATGCATTTAGCAAGTTAGTTTTAAGGTAAGATGATAAATTGTCGTCTGAACATCATTATTGATGAGCAAGTTGGATTTGATTCAGATATGAAGGAACGGATTGGCGAAGAAAGGGTAGCATTTCTACAACTGAACAACATCTGGAACGAGAAACAACTATCAACAAGCACTAACGTCTGAATTTTCAATACAGATGTCAAGACAGTTCTAATGTATGAGGTGGAAACTCGCAGAACGACGAAAGCCACCATCCAGAAGATATAAGTTTTGATTAATAGTTATTTACGCAAAATACTTCGGATCCATTGACCAGACACTATCGGTAATAACCTACAATGTCAGAGGACTAACCAGATTCCAGCGAAGAAAGAAATCAGGAAGAAGCGGTGGAAGTGGATAGGACGCACATTGCGGAAAGCACCGAACTGAGTCACAAGACAAGTCGTCATCTAGAATCCTCAAGGTCAAAGGAAGTGAGGAAGACCAAAGAATAGAATACGCCAAGAAATGGAGACAGATATAAGAAGAATAAACAACAATTGGATAGAACTGGGAAGGAAGACCCAGGAAAGAGTAGGTTGGACGATGCTGGTTGGTGGCCTATACTCCATTAGGGGTAACAGGCGTAAGTAAGCAAGTAAGCTGTAGGCCGCTCATCTTCCAAACATTTGAAACCTACCTGTTAGGTCCTAATCTTTAAAAACTGTGTCCGAATGTAAAATCATTTCAATACAAAGGCACAATTGAACATAAACAGTTGCCCTGTCTATGCATCGACCACTAAAACTTCAATCATGTAACAAATCTCCTTCACCATTTTAATTGGGAATTTAGACAATTAAACCCCATTTCTAAAGTTGTCACCAAATCAATAGCATATTTTATACAAATATTCGTCGTTATTGAAACAAATGTGTTTACAGAAACTGGATACCCAGTAAAGTATATATAGAAGGTATATTTCATGAAAATTATCTTGAAATTTGAGATTATGTCAATGTTTCATCCAAAAACACTTGTCTAGACTTCTTCAGTATAACACTAATCAAAATGATCAAAAACTACAATAATCTATAATAGCCATATCAAATCTCCATATAAATCGTTAATATATTTTCAAGCGTAAATCGTTTGTTACAAACGATCAGTAGGGAACTATTGGAAACCATGAAGTATTCGACAACTTGAATACTATCACAAGTTCATCTTACTCAGTAAACGGAACGAAAGCAATGACTCAGTGACACAACAGGCTATTCCAATCCGTTTATCGCAGGTCCCGCTATCTAGATCAAGAAGTCTTGGAAAGAGAGAAGAGAATGTATGCTACAAGGACCCAGGAAATACAAGGTGGCTAAGCACATAAATCATGCTTATTTATACAATGATATAAGCGCCCTTGGGAGAGCCCTTAAAATAGCGTACTAAAATAATCCATCAACCAATTGCAGTCAAGTGTTCTTTGAGGGAGAAGTTTAGGCTGAAGGTCAACTGGCGCAAAAACATACAAACTCAAAATTTCAGAAGAAAATTACAAAATCAGGACCTTTCCAAGTGTGTTCTAAGGATCTAACGTCCCCAACACTTTAGTATTCTATTTTTCAACAGTGTACGTTCATATCTTCATTTTGGATCAGACACAGACCTCTTTGAATATCCGGTTGCTTACTTACCTACTTACCTATAGCTGTTATCCTTGTCGGTGCATAGGCCACCGACCATGATTTTCCTACCTACTCTACCCTGAACCTTCTTCTTTTTCAATCCCACCTGATTGCTGTTCATTATTTTCATGTCTGCTTCTGATTCTCTCCGTAATATGTTCTTTGGTCTTCCTCTTTACCTTTGACCTTGAGGACTTCAAGTGAGAGCTTGTCTTGTCATGCAATTGGAACTATTACCAATTGATTTGTCGATTTTCATCAAGTTTTACTGATCGTTTTTTGTTAAAATTACATTTCTTTTTTTTTCAGAATACAAGTGATCGTTACTGTCGTATTGGTTTACGTTCTAATTTTATGAATGAATCTATACAACCTGATATATGGTTAACTCATTGGTGTTTACCAGTCAAGTAAGAAATAATGAATATTGAACAACGTGTTTTTTTCTTGGTTATTTTACTAGTTTGTCTTTCATATTGATCATTTGTGTCCAATGAAATCATTTTTTGTAGTCATAAAAACCACATCATTATCTCATCATCATCTCTATAAAAACACTAAGTAGGTGTGACAGTTGTTAGCCGGACAATATCAGCAAAAAACCTACTACGGGAAAGAAAAAATTTCGACTCCTAGCAGAGGATGGAATCAGGGACAAGGGCTGAAAGTGGATTGGACACACACACTGAGGAAAGCATCTAACTGTGTCACATGACAAGCTCTTACTTGGAGTCCTCAATGCCAAAAGGAAAAGAGGAAGACCAAGGAAGTACATCATGGCGAGGATCGGAAACAGACATGAGAAAAATGAACAGCGATCAGACACAACTAGAAACGAAGGCCCAGGACAGAGAAAGTTTGAGAATGCTGGTCAGCGGCTTATGCCTCTGTTCGGGGTAACAGGCGTAAGTAAACAACTGTGATAGTGTGATTGTTTTCCCATCCCAAATACCATTGAATCTACAGAGCTGAAGCTATTCTTCTTACCTTGTTACCTCACACCAGAATCTTGTTCACAAGTACATTTCTTGAATTCTGTCCGTTCACAGTTATCTGAACAAATGAATTAACAGTTTTAAAGAAATATTTACAACAAGCGATTGTAAGCATTTAATTTCCTCCATCAACACAGAATATCGATCGTCACCATGGATTTTTGTTATACCTGCATTATTTAAGATGCAAATTCGTATCAGTGAATGGAATATATAACCAGTGACACAACAATGACACATGCTAAGATATTCATTCATTCCTCTGCACCCAGCCTAGCTAACTACACAAAGAACACTATAGCGTAGAAGCTAACCGAAGCGAAATAAAGAAGGCGAATGAGCCGACTGAATGCGATAAGACCATGTCTAAATATATATAATCAGGCAAAAATAAACTGAACATATGATAATTGGGGCTAGTAATCTACAACTAAACTTATGTGCGAATAATCGACAATATCGTAGGGCATGTTGATAAATTACTGAGGGTAGATTAATTAATTTATCTAAATGCTGAGACAAGCCTTGTAAGCTCGACATATCAGTACACACACACGCACACACACAACAAAGACCCTTATACATTGTATTTCAAAGAAGTCTTGACCGTGTGACTAGTTAGAGCACAACATAGATGATAAGCGAACGAAACTGTTCTCAATTAGATCTTCATCAAGCTTTACTCTAATATACATGTGTGGGGTTCATTTATCTGCGTGTTCGGATAGCGCCTGATGGTTTATAAATCAGAAGGCGAATTCGAAGTAATGAATACGTTTATATTTTGGACACACCACATAGCGAAGTTGAAAAGCAGCGAAAGAATGAGCGAAGGAAGCGAACGAATAGGCGAAGCGCATTGGAGAAGGCTAATGAGCCAGCTCAAAGAAATAGAGCATGACTAAGAATATATAGTCAGACAAATATAAGACAGACGACATGCAACAAGCGAAATTGGCACACATATGAATAAAAGCGACGAATGATTGACAAGGTCAAATGACACGTCATGTGAGCTCGTACAAACCAGACAAGAATAAGAACGAATGGGTACATATAAATTGTTGCAATACAAGTGGCTTGTGGTTAAATAAATTAATCGAAAGGGCTTAACCGAGTTAGATGTAAGCGAACTGGAATATACGTGGAGGCACTACACACATGAATATTTATGTATGAAAATGTGAAACCAATCAAGGCAATTTATGCGTCAATAATTACAGTGAAATCGAAATTACGTCACTACTACTACACACCATAGGTAAAAGTACAGGTTGACACATTAGGAAGATTAAGTAAGTATTCTCGCCATTTCCATATAAAAACATCTTTACTAACACTTTTCACGTATTTTTTTATTTTTATTGTTTCATTGTTTTTTTTCAGGCCGTATGATTCGAAGATTTTTTATTTAGGTCATGGAAAGAATGAATTACTTCTTAATGATTGTGGTTCCTATGCACTACGTTTAATGTATCGGTTTAGTTGTGTACGTTTTTGTTTTCAAACTGTTATACGATTTATACATAGATAATGAATTTAAATAATGTGTATGCTGTTCAATATTTGTCGTCCTTGTTCAACACCTTTAACTGTGTTCGTTCAAGTAACGAAATCATGTGACATTGAACACATAACACAGCGTTGTGATATAGTGTAATGGGTAGCCATTTGTAGAGAGGTGGTGATGGGAGGTGGCTGGTGAATTGAGTGAATGTCACACCCCCCCCGACGCATGTCTAAATAGAGTAAGCTGCAAGTTGGCTCTGTCAACAGTGGCCATGATGCCAACGTTGCTAAAAATCGGCTTACTCCTTTATGCTATCGGTTTTTGGTTTAGACATCCAGGGAGTATCTCCTAAGCCAGTGCATAAATTCATTAGTTTGTGTAGAGTGCATAATTATGTATATGCCACTTTGCACCAATGATCTTTCTCTCTGTTAAATTTACATCACTGAATAATGAATAGTCTATGAATAATGTCCTCGAACTGTAATCTCTCTGATTACTGCTCATACTTTTCTACCACATCTCTCATTATGAAATTTGAATTGACAATTACATCTCTGTGCTAATGCGGTATCAAGCTCGTTCGGGATGCGGTTACCACCCTCGAAATGCAAAATGTTGCTTCAAGATTGGGTTGCATCGGCACCTGAACTAGTGATAGGGAGTGAAGTAGTCGAACGTGTAGACCGCTTCACTTATCTCGGGAGTCTCATCAGTGCGCATGGCCTGGTGACTGACGAAATCTTAGCACGGATACACAAGGCTCGATTGGCTTTTGTCAACCTGCGTCTCTTATGGTGTAGGTGAGATATCCGTTCGCTAACTAAAGGACGAGTGTAATGCGCAGTAGTTCGCTTCGTCCTACTTAATGGGAGTGAAACATGGCCAGTCAGAGTACAAGATATTCGTCAGTTATTGGTTTTCGATCATAGGCGTCTTTGAAGCATTGCTCGTATATCGTGGGACACCCGAGTGAGCAACGCTGTTATTAGGAATCGGGTGCTAGGTAAGAATGGCAGATCAATCGATGAAGTGGTGAAACTTCATCAGTTGAGGTGGTTGGGACATGTGTTGCGTATGCCTAACCACCGACTGCCTCGACGAGCTTTGTTTTGTAGTGTAGGAATAGGTTGGAAGAAAGCTAGAGGCGGCCAAACCAAAACATGGCAGAAATCCATGAAGTCATTGACAAGTGGACTGAGTGATGTCGGTTGTTGTCGACTACCTGATCGGGGTCCGCGAGATGATAATAATCGATGGTTAGATACCCTGAATGACACGGCTCAAAATCGTTTGCAATGACGCCGGTGCATTTATTCTTTGTGTTCTCTCAAATCCTAATCTTCTGGATTCTTCAACCTCTCTAGTTTTGACTTTCTAAACTTTTCTCACTGAATCATATTTCTTGAATAATATCTTCTAATCCTAACCTCTCCGATTACTTCCAATACCCTTACTACCTCTACTACTATTGGATTTGAATTGACAATTATATCTCTGTGCTGATATGGTATGGCGGTATGAACTGATGTACTTACGTACGCAGTTCTACGTTGCATCTTACTGACTGACTGACTTCATATTTTGAACTTTGATCATGAAAAAAAACACTATAATTTAATTTAATATCGGTTGTTGATTTTCTGACTACAAATGATATTCTTTGTGTCTTGGCATTAAAACTTTGACATGTCTAAGATTATCAGATATCTTTGTTTGAATACTGAATTACTACTAATATTTTGTCTGGTTAGAAAATAAAAATCATTTAGGTTATCGGGATTCATTAAAATCAAGAATTAATCATTGTTAGTTCACTATTAGAAACCTGAAAGCACTGAATGGCCATTTCTTCCTAGTATTGGGGCTCATCAGCGAGCAGTACAGGAATCGAAACCACGGCCTTCGTTGATGCGCGCGCGGACGCCTAACCCTTAGATCACTGAGCCGGTGTTCATGTTTGACTTTGATCAATCTACGGTCTCGCGCAGCTAGAATTCGTCACACAGATTGAACATGTGGTCCATATACTCATTTAGCGTACACTGGACTGAACTCGTCATCTAGATTAATTAACCTGTCATATTCGAGAGTTACTGTTCACCCTGGAACTCGTATACGGTAGCTTTCAGCTTTATTTTTGTTATGTTCGTCAGTAGGTATGCTTGAAGCTATTACGAGTTTACCTTAGTCGATAAACTCGAACGAGACAATGAACCAGCGTCCAGATAGGCTACCTTGAATCCCAAACTGTAAAACAGAAGTCTTGATAAGCGTAGAAAGTATATTCTACAAACATCCAGCAAGCACAATACAATCAAGCACACAAATCTTGTTTATTTATACATCATAGAAACGGCCTTGGGACAGTCACAAAAATAGCACACTAAAATACACAGCAGCCAATCACAGCCATGGGTTTTCCTAATGGGAAATGAAATCTCAAGGTCAACTGACCAGCCCATGCTGGCAAACGTGAAATCCAGCGAGTTTCGGGGGATCTAACATCCCCAACAAGTACATTTTGTTGATACCTTCTTGTATTTCAATCTTTTTAGGAAAAAAAAGTAAACATTGTCCAGCCGTGACAGCTTTGTATATTTTTGATGCGATTAATGAAATTGACCATAAAATTCAACATTTTTTCTTATCATTATTATTGTTTATTTATTTTCTGTTTAGCCATTCAAAACAGCGACAACAATTATCTCGTTGCCTTGGTTACAAGATATGCTTTATACTAGTGATTATTTAATTCATATATTTCATATTTATGATCATTGTGGACGATTTATTGGTGCTGGTGAATATGATGGAGTAAGTGTATTTACATTTACGTGTGTGTGTGTGTGTATGTGTATGTGTGCGCGCGTGTTTGCTAGTCGGTAAAACTAAGATTTCAACTTTCTTTTTCTCTCTATCATCATTCTATGTGTTGCGTCATGTCTACAACGATGTATAATGATGTTTATTACAATTATAGAGTTTGAAGTAAAGTACGTATGTGCTGTGTGCTACTTATATGAATTCGGCAAACCCCGGCACAGCAGTCTTGTCAACTCCACAGCCAGCACGAGTGGGTCGCCATCGACCGTCAATCTCGCCTCTCGGAACTTTTAAAGCGCGTCCTTCCTATCGGCCGGACTGTCGAACTCCACCAGCAGCCATTCCGTCACCACCTCTCAGTCAGCGTCCTCCGTGCCATCGTACACCGCTCTCGCCCTGCCTCTTAGTAGAGTCCCCAACACCACCGCCTTCGCCCTCTGCTCCTTGACTCCTACCAGCTCCGCCACGGCCTCGAACTCCTTTAAGAAGCTCCTTACATCTCCGTCTTCAAACTCCCGAGGCCATGGGATCTGCATCCTGTGTAGAGGCGCTGACACCAACTGAGAAGACTGAGGCAGGCGCGGAAGATTGTATTATGCTAACTTTCACTCTGATTCAATTAAAAGCGAAAACATTACATTGAACACTCTATTTGCACACTATCTTTGAGTCGTGACTTCCAACACTCCATCCTTCTTCCATTCCTGTTGTTGCTTCCTTTCCTTCATGTTGGTACTCCATTTACTTCTTGCTTTTGCTCCATTTGCTTTGCGTTTTCCTCTTCTGACCGTGAGACGTCTTCTTCTTTCACGTCCCTTATACTACTTATATCGTTCGTATAAGTAGCACACACCACAGTATTTGATAATCGGTGTGTGTCTTCGAAGTATTGTTGATGTATCCTGGGACCATCGAATGAGCAATGTTGGATTTGGGAAAAAGGATACTAGCTAACGATGTCAAATCAAATCGTTTTCAATGATGCAAGTGCATTGACTCTTTGTGTTCTTTCAAATCCTAATCTTCTGAATTGGTCGACACCTCTACCTTTGTCTGTCTAAACTTATCTTACTGAATTATATACTTCTTGAATAATATCTTCAAATCCTAATCTTCTCCATCACCAGTAATACTTCCTTCTACTATCTCTACCACTATGGGATTTGAACTGACAATTGCGTCTCTGTGCTAATGTTGTGGTATGGCAACCTGAACTAATGTACTTATGTACGAAGTTCGTCGGTGTAACTGACTGACTGTCAAATCAAAGGATGAAGTAGTGAATCTCTATAAGTTAAGTCGGTTGGAACATGTGTTACGCATGCCCAACCATCAGCTATCTCAACGAGCAATGTTTTCTAATATTGAGGTGGGCCAGAAGCAAGCTAGGGGCGGCCGGACCTAAACATGACACAAATCTATCTAGATGCTGGTTACCTGGTTGAGGTCGTTGAGACCAATGGTGAGAGAATTTGAATGACTTGACTTGAGATCGTTTGCAATGGCGCATGTGCATCCCTGACTTTGCCTTCGCTCAAATTCTAATCTTCTGAATTCCTCATGATCTTTTTTATTTTCTGTTTTTAAATTTATTTCACTAGATTATACTTCTCTTATCATCTCTTCGATCCCTAATCTTTTCGATTACCACTAATACTTTTACAACATGTAACTATAATAGGATTTAAATTGACAGTTCGATCTCACTGTGTTGATATGGTATAGCAACCTGAATCGGTGTACGCACATACAAAGTTCTCCTTTGTAGCAGCTGACTAACTGAAGCATGTCAGCTACTTATGTAATTAGTTATTCTGAGTCAATGGTCGACCAAATCTCAATACAAATTCAAAGTATCCACTTAGATTTGGCCGTATATCTACTATATATAATATTCTCTACGATAGAGTTTTCTCCATATTACTTTATGTTAACCACCTATGCAAGCTGAAGAGTTGCTCAGCTAAACAACAGTATGATCTATAGATTTCTGTAAATTATAAGTGGTGTTTGGTGGAACTATTCCATTCAGATTAAAATGGCGCTTTGATCGATCCATGAATTCATGTGTGTATCATTTGTTTTGTTTTGTTCTTCAAATTTTCATTTCAGCATCGTGCACAACGTCCAAAGTTTACTTTTAATTTACAAAAAGGTGATTATAAAGTTATTGCACAAGTAAGAAATACTACTGTTTTTTTCTCACTAAAATATTTGTTGTTATTTCGAATTTTCAGTATTTTCAATCTTACATTTCTAATGATTTGTTCGGAAATTCATCCCATATCTTGAGAGAATTATTGGTCAATTCCTATTGGTTAATTTCTACTGGTCAGTTTTATGTTCGTCCTAGATATCAATGTCACGTGCTCCAATCATGGTCATCCTGAATCTCAATGTCACTTTAAAAGTTGTTGCTTATTGGTCGTCTTAACTGTCAATGTCACAGACTTCGATGATGTTTCTTATTCGACCTAATTGTATAAATGCGCATTAGTTGTAAAGTTTTATGACCAGAACCCGGTCCCAGATCCCTAGTCTGGGACGCTGGTCTTCTTCTGGACTCGGACCTCGTACTTTCCGGATGCTTGTACAATACTTGTTCAAATCAAGTCTTCTTCTTTGACTCAGTGGGGGTTAGGGACATTCGGATTAGAGTAGCATGTCGTGTTGCCGGATCCTCGATCCTCTCTCTCGTTTTCCGACTAGGTAAACTCGTAATAGTTCAAGTATATCAAGTTGACGTGTTACGTGCAGGCGTAACATGATTATGCTCAGTGAATTTTATTGTCACCATTTTTACGTGTAATCTGAGCCATGTCGGAATATTTGGGCTACCTGTTGCTTGACATTAAAATATTCCTTTTCTTTGTTTTAACACATCAACTTTGTCTATTGATCATGTAGTCTATCTAGGCGCGAATATGAAATGTTTACAAAAAATTCTAACCAAAGTCATCGCAGTGGCTTACAGTGTGCTAAGAAATGAATGAACGTTTATAATGTGTCGATTCTTGAACTGAATACATTTAATAACCAATCAGTGATTGTTTTTTAAAAGAAACCTGTGTGCAAATATTCTATTCTGAAAATTCCATATTTTACTAAACAAACAATATTGGATAAAATTATTATTATTATTATTATTATTATTATTGTTATTATTATTACTAGTACCTGGAATATCAGCCATTGATTGTACTGCAATGTGACACTGGAAAAGTATTTTTTTTTCACTAAAACACAGTATCTTTCAGACAATAGAAGAGAAGTTCAGAACAAGTTGATTAAAAATAGCATACTTCACCTTATCCTATGGATTTCTGATTCCAGTTATATACTTCTGACCGTGCCCTCACAATAATAAGTAGTCCGTCTGTTAAGTTCGTCACTAGGTACGCTTAAAACTATTACAGGTTCACCTTAGTCGATAAACGCGAACGAGACAATGAACCAGCGTCCAGGTAGGCTGCATTGATCCCAAAACGGCGAAAGAGAAATCTTGATAAGCGTAGAAAGTATATTCTACAAACACACAGCAATCACAGTACAATCGAGCACATAACTCTCGTTTATTTATACATCATAGAAACGTTCTTGGGATAGTTACCAAAATAGCACACTAAAATACACAGCAGCCAATCACAGCCATAGGTTTTCCTGATGGGAAATGAAATCTCAAGGTCAACTGATCAGCTCATGCTGGCAAACGTGAAATCCAAAGCTAGGGCATTTATCAAGCGAGTTCTGGGGATCTAACGTCCTTACTACGGTCAGTCAGCTACAACGTAGAACTTCATATGTACCTACTAACATCAGTTCAAGTTGCCACATAACATTAGCGCACAGAGATCGAAAAGTCAATGCAAAGATTCCATAGTAGTAGTAGAGTTAGTAGAGAAGTACACGATGTAATGGAGAAGTACAATACCGAAATAAGATACTACAGATGTTGTCATTAACTTTTGAAGAGCAACATAAATGTGAAATCTTAACTGGACCCATATTCTTGAGAAAAATAAGAACACAAAAATCTTCAAATGAATTAAACATCAAAGTAATCAACCCTTTTTGCCTTTGTTTATTCAACTTATTATATTAGATTTGTCATGAAAGTGGTCCATCTTTAAAACGTGGACCGCTGAAATCATTCACTGCTCCTTCATCTCCATCAGGAAATGAATTATCATTTATGGCAGATGAATATAAAAATGTAAATTCTTTCACAATCAATTCCAATTGGTCACCATTACAGTCGTTACAAAATATTCCAATCATAGTAAATTTTCGTTTAACTGGTAGTATGGAATTAGCCAATGGTAAACTAGGCGGTTCTTGTTTAACTGGACAAAGTATTGTACAATTTGAATTCAGTGCATTTCCTTCATCGCTTAATTTAAATGGTACTAAATTTTGTTCAGCTATGGATCATTTAATATGTAATACAAAACAACATTCAATGTTCAATACATCAAATTCAATGACCAATGATCAACATATTGATACTATTGAATCAAATCGATTTGAAATGATCAAACGTTTACCATGTCTTCCTAGTCATATTGATGCCTATGAAACAGTTAGTATTTTTTTAGGTCTTATAGATGAACGGTAAGTGCTTTATTTCTTTTAAAAAAATCTGTCTATACAATTGTTATCCTTGAATTCATTCATTTCAAGAACTTTTTAAGTAGATGTTTATGTGAGAATTACCATTCTTTTTCAATGTTCAATAGATGTGAAAGTGCAATTTTCACTGGAGATTTTCTATGTCAGTCATTTAAAGCTGTCGTTTGCGAACTTACTTACTTACTTACGCCTATTACCCGTTGTGAAACATAAGCTTCCGATCAGCTTTTTCTGGTTAGTGTATTTTTAGCGAGTTGGTAATGTATGGGATGACGTTGCTAACCCCATGCTTAACACTCCTCCTTTTTCCGGGCTTGGGATCGGCGGTAATCCCAAGAACAGTTAAAGGCGAAGTTACTTTTACGAACACACTACTGTGTAAATCATCCTAACTGGCTAAATGAAAATGAAAAGCTAATCAAAATTGAAAGCTAAGGTTTGAAATGATATTAATGAAAAGGATTTTATGGAAGCACTAGATGACCGTTTCACCTGAGTATGGGATTCCTCAGCAATTCTCATCCACGACCCTTACACGCATGAATCAAACACGGGACTCTGGTTTTCACCAACGAACGCCTAACCTCTAGACAACTTTAGTTCCTAGGTTCGATACCTGTTTGCATGGGTCGCGGATGAGCACTGCTAGGGAGTCTTAGAAGTTTTTAGGCTTCTTATGGTGGTCTAGCTAAAATTAGTTCATGATTTCAACTAGCAAATGAAATTATCAGTAAATATTTCGCTTTCATATGCAGCACTAACTCACTAGCTAATTGAAAAAAGTTCTGCTAGATGTCTCACACTTATTGGTGGTCATTGAGAAGCCAATGCGCTACAAATTCACGAACACCATCTCTATTATGAAATATTCTTCTTCATGTCAACTACTCACAGCGTCTAATGATTTCCTAAAGCAACATGGAGACTAACGGTCTCGTAATTAAACAGATAAGTCTGTGGTTTCAACCCTGTTCCTCCTGGCTAGTTGGTATCAATCATTAGAGCGGTGGCTCACTAGTTAGGACATTCACCACAGGTTCGAATTCCGTTCCATCTATTTTAGTTCATTCCACTAGGTAATATCATTATATTCAGCTTAAACGGAAGTATACAAATTTTTTTCTTGATAAATAAGCTGCACTAACAAGTTATTAGCTTTCACTAACAAAAACTTTGTCTCAAGACCAACTAAGGTATACTTGTACTAGTGTTGAACACAATTATCACAGGATCGATTGAAATGAAAATTTTATAACGTTAACTCTCAACTCCATTGGTCTGCAAACTAAGCGTTTATACACAAAAAACCAAAGCCCCTGGGTTCGATCGCTGATTGTTGAGTTGTGAACTTAACATGGCTGAGGGGTCCTGTACACCAGGAGTTGAACCACTGTCCAATGCTTACAGATTTTCAGTAGTTGTCTAACTTAGATCATTTCGTGATTTCAACAGTCTGTTACAGTTTTTGATAGCTCATCTTATGAAAGAAATCAAAAATATGAAGAAAGTTAATACCTCAGCTGTATGATTTTAGTGCAGTTTCATTCATTCTGAGCTTGATGTTTTTGGTTGTGGAGTTTTCATCATTGTTCTTCTGAACAATATCATTAGCACAAAATTCAGATAGAGAAGTGAAGTATTTGAATTACTCCACGTATGGCAGAGAGAGCAACAGGTCAGAGGTTAATAACAACCAATCAAGATCGAAATCAACAGCAGCAAAGGTTACGAGTCATAGCCAGAGAAATGCGAATACTTCACCTCTCTCTACTTGAAGTTTGTGCTAATGATGATTTCGTGTTCCGAAGAAGAACGACAACAATGAATTCTGCACAACCAAAACATTCAGCTTCGAGAATGGAACTCCACGTAAAATCAAAAGACTAAAACTTGTTATTACGTACTTCATTGTCATAAAGTTTCATATTTCAACTATCGAAACGGTTGGTTGATGGATGATTATGTGTGTTCTTTGCAAGCATTCCATTCACAATGTTATTCTTCTTCTTCAGTTTGTATTTCTGATTTCCTCTCTTAGTAAGCCATTTTGTGAATCTTTCAAAGACACTTTTTGTATTGTGGGCGGCCAAACCGAAATATGACACAAATCTATGAAGTCACTGACAACTGCATTGAGTCTATAGTGAGAAGACTGAGGCAGACGAGAGAGATTGTATCATGCAAATCTGCACTCTGGGTCAGTTAAAAACGAAAACATTACATTGAACACTCTATTTGCACACCATCTTTAAGTCGTGACTTCCAACACTCCATCCTTCTTCTTCCATTCCTGTTGTTGCTTCCTTTCTTTCCTGTTGGTACTCCATTTACTTCTTGCTTTTGCTCCATTTGCTTTCCGTTTTCCTCTTCTGACCGTGAGACTACTTCTTTCACGTCCCTTCTTATACTACTTAAATCGTTCGTATAAGTAGCACACTCCACACGGTGACTTCCTGGTTGTTCCTTGTGCTGAGGCACGGTGTGCCAGCAAGATTAATGGTAATTCTTTCTCCCAGTTACCCCCTTTAAATGCTAGCCATTCCTTTAGCGTTCGGTTATTCCTTTCCGTCTGTGGATGATACGGCGTTGTTCGTACTCTCTTGATACCTAACTGTTTTAGACGGGACTTGAACTCATCGCTCTCGCAACAGGGACCTTTATCGGTTAATATTATCTTTGGTATTCCATGGTCCGCCACAATGTGCCGCACTACCGCTTCAGTCACTGTCCTTGCACGTTGGTCCGCTATCGGCACGGCATTTACCCATCGTGTGGCATGATCAGGTGCTGGTTACCACTGCGGGAACGGTCCCATAACATCTACTGACCACAAATCACCAACTGCTGTTACTGGAATTGACTGCAATGGCGGTCGTATGCATCGATCCCCTTTCATTAGTTGACATCGCTGGCACGCTGACACATATCGTGCAATATCGTCTCTCATACCTGGCCAGTACGCACTTTGTCGCAACAAATCAGTTGTCCTTGCAATACCTGTGTGCGCTATCTGGTGACATTCACGAATCATCTCCTGGCGCAGATCTTTTGGGATTATTGCTACCCGATTCTCGTCATCATCCCGTCAGGTCAAGGCTCCGTCTCCGTTCACTCTCAGTCTAACCTTCTGCCTCAGCAACACTGTTAATTCTTCGTCTGTTCCACTTTTGTCGACATCTCCCTCTCTCATCACTCTGATTACCTCTCGAAGGTTAGGGTCGGCTTTCTGATGTCGGAAGAGTTCTAGTGAGTCTCTCTCTAGGCCGTTAACTGTACACGCTATCTCTGGAAGTTCGGCTTCGGTGTCCGGTCTTGACAAATAATCTGCCATTACATTTTCCTCCCCTGGCACATGCCCGATGCTAAAATCATACTCCTACAGACGCAGCATCCATCGAGCCAACTTCCCCCGAGGGTCTTTTTCTGTTTTCAACTATTGTAGGGGCTTATGATCCATCTCGATGTGAAATCGCCAACCCAGTAGATACGGTCTCCATTTGTCTACCGCCCATACAATCGCTAAAAATTTTTTATACTGTGGAATACTTCTGTTCCGTCGGCGTAAGGACACAACTGGCATACTCCACCACTCTGCCAGACTGCCTCAAGACGGCACCTATACCGTGATCGCTCGCATCAGTGGCCACTGTAAATGGCTTCTCCGGTTCCGGCAGTCTCAGCGTCATTTGGCGGTCATCTAACAGCTCTTTGATTCGGTCGAAGGTTTGCTGAGCGGTCTCTGTCCACGTAAACTTCGCATTGCTTGTCACTCTATACAGGGGTGCTGCTATATCGTTGAAGTTCTTCACGAATCTGCTGTAGAACGCCGCTCTTCCGAGGAACTGTCTTAACTTCCTTTTTGAGTTGGGAGCTGCAATATTCCTTATCGTTAGAATCTTCTCCGGCAGTGGTTTTTATTTCTCCATTGCCTACTTTATGCCCCAGCAACGTGACGCTTCTTTTCGCTATCTGAGACTTGTCTTTGTTAATTCGTAAACCAAACTCATCAATCCGCCTTAGGACCGCCTCCACGTGCCTCACATGTTCTGCCTCTGTACGACTATATACGACCAAATCATTGCCATACACCTCGACATTCTCCGGATTTCTGAGCAGCAATGTCATTAGTCTTCGAAACGTAAACGGCGCACCCGCCAATTCAAAGGGCATTCGTTTAAATTGATACTGCTTCTCCCGTACGGTAAATGCCGTTTTCGCTGCGATCACTGTCTTTTATTGGTAGCTGCCAATAGCCCGACCGTAAATCTAACACTGTGAACACCGTAGCACTCTGTAGACGATCTAATGTCTTCGCTATTGTTGGCATTGCACATGGTTTTAGTTCTGTCACGTTATTCAGTTCTCTAAAGTCAACACAGAATCTATACTTTCCATTTGGCTTCTTTACCAAAAGTACCGGTGAGCTGTACGGGCTATCTGCTTCTTCAATTATACCTGCCTTTAACATCTCCTGTACCTGCTGGTTTATCTCAGCTTCCAAATGTACGGGGACCCGTCGTGTTGTGAAGATGGTCACTTCTTCGTTCTTCATCGGAATTTCATGTTTAACTTTATTACAATCTCCGTACGGTTCTCCGTCTCCCGTGAACAACTTCGTATATTTCGTGAGCACCTTGTTAATGTTCTGTTTCTTTTCATTGTCCTCTTTTGCTACTCTAACTTCAGCCACCTCGCTGCTTTCATGTATTGTCAGTGTGCCGTACTTTGAAATCACCTTCTTACTTCTTGTGTCAATAATTGTTTCTACTTCTCTCAAGAAATCTGCTCCTAGTATTGGTCTCGACAAGTTCGTAGTTACCACAAAGGGAAACTGTATTTCCGAATTGCCGATTTTCACGATATCATTTGAGACTCCTAGGATTTTTAACACGTGGCCTCCGATGGTGTTAACAACTAATGCACTCGGCCTGATACTTCTACACCGCTCTTTGTCTATTAACGAAACTGCCGCCCCTGTATCAATCAGGCACACTACCTCTCGCTCATTTATCCCTACTCTCGCATAGACCGCCCCCTATCTACTACTGCTGTGACCCCCAGTTTCACAGGACATAAAGAACACCATGCATATGGTCTAAAATGTGTACGTTTTCGTCTTGTTGGGCGATTCCTCTCCCAATGCCCTGTTCCTCCGCAAATATAGCATTTATTATTATTTCTTCCACCCTTTATTCGTAACGCTGCCACCTCGCGTTGTAATTCTTCTATCTTCTCCGCGACATCATCAGCCTGTCTTTCACACGCCACTGAGGCGACTGTTGAGTTCATCAGCTGTCTTTTTACTTTAGCCAGCTCGATGACGTCCATTGGTTGTGCGGCGTTCACCAGTCTCAACTGTCGGGCAACCTCTGCAGGCACACTTTCAATGAATTGCGACGCTAGCAGCTTTGCTTGCGACTCCTCATCCAAATTCGGCAGACCCCGGTGCAGCAATCTTGTCAACACCACAGCCAGCACGAGTGGGTCGCCATCCAACGTCAATCTCGCCTCTCGGAAATTTTGCAGTGCGTCCTGCCTATCCGCCGGGCTGACGAACTCCACCAGCAACCTTTCCGTCACCACCTCCCAGTCAGCGTTCTCCACACCATCGTACACCATTCTCGCCCTGCCTCTTAGTAGAGTCCCCAACACCACCACCTTCGCCCTCTGCTCCTTGACTCCTACCAGCTCCGCCACGGCCTCGAACTCTTTCAAGAAGCTCTTATATCTCCGTCTTCAAACTCCCGAGGCCATGGGATCTTCATCATGTGTAGAGGCAGCGACACTAATTCGAAGCAGTTGAAAGAAAGTTAGCGGCGGCCGAACCATAACATGGCAGAAATCCATGAAGTCATTGATGAGTGGACTTAGCCATCTCGGTAGTTGTCGGCTACCTAGTTGGGGTCCGCGAGATGATAATAATCGATGGTTAGATACCCTGAATGACATGGCTCAAAATCCTTTGCAATGGCGCCGGTGCATTTATTCTTTGTGTTCTCTCAAATCCTAATCTTCTGGATTCTTCAACCCCTCTAGTTTTGACTTTCTAAACTTTTCTCACTGAATCATATTTCTTGAATATCTTATAATCCTAACCTCTCCGATTACTTCTAATACCTTTACTACCTCTTCTACTATTGGATTTGAATTGACAATTACATCTCTGTGCTGATGTGGTATGGCGACATGTACTGATGTACTTACGTACGAAGTTCTACGTTGCATCTGACTGACTGACTGACTGAAATATACACTGTTCCATATCTTTTCTCCTCCTCCTCCTCCTCCTCCATTTTTTATTGCTTTCAATAAGTGTTTTGTTCTTCTGCGTAGATCTACTAATTCTATTGCATTCAATTCACAATCTAAGTTATTGTTTTTCACATGTTGTTGTTATTGTTGTCACTTTCAGTTTTCCAGCTTATGCAGTACCAGGTTCGTATTTTTGTGGTGCAATTGGATTTTATCATTCGAAATTATTACACAATCTAGTGAGTGTATTTTTAATTTGATTGTTTTTATAATGATTTAAATCCGTTTTGTTTTTGTGAATTTTTTAAAATTCAGTTATTTACAAAGAAGGTGGTTTGATTTGGACCAATTTGGTCTCATGTGCAGTTATAAGGGTATTTGGGCGGTTGTCAGTTCCCGGCTGCCCACATCGTGGAAGATTGTTTCTTGAGGGACCTGAAAAGGAAGATAGATTAGTGTTGGTCTTAGAGACCTGGGAGCGTGGCCACAGAGTCCAAGGGACAACTGCTTGAGGCCGGTCACGCATGGCCTTTTTATGAGAAGTTTTTTGAGTGTTAGCTCCGCACTTGAGAGCCCTTAGTGGGCACGCTTACCGCCGGAGACGGAAATCCGTGAGGTAGGGTGAGGTGTGATATTTTTAGGGTCGACCTTTTCTAACCCTTCCTTCCTTGTGAGAAGGCAGCATCGCTGCAGATGCTGGTTGTCCGAGGGGGAGCACCTTACTGCTGTCACACCCCTCTGCAGTCAGTCATCAGTACGACTTCGCTCTCAGACCTTGAGTAGCTGCTTTTAGTCTCATCGTTCTCCAATCGACCTGCCTGGTATGGTAGGACCTTCAGGAACATATGTTCCAGCCAGTATAGCTCGGTTGGGTCATCACGATAGTCAAGCCCGACCACCACGTCAAGGTAGCAGCTACGGTCGGGAAAAAGAAAGTGGTTTCCAAATTTGATTAGCTGTACAAGCTATTTGTTACGGCCAAACCAAACCATGGCACAAATCCATGAAATCATTGACAACTGGACTGAGCTATGTTAGTAGGTGGAGACTAGCAGGTTGGGATCCGCGAGATAATAGTCATCGATGACGAGAGACCGTGAATAACATGCGTCAAAATCGTTTGCAATGGCACAGGTGCATCCATTCTCAGTGTTCTCTCTTGAATTCCTCATTACTGGGTTACATTTTTTGTAATAATAACTTCAAACCCTAATCACTTCGATTACCGCCTATACTTCTACTACGTTTACCACTTTGAGATTTGAATTGGCAATTCAATCTAAGTGCGCTAATTTGGTGTTGCAGGTTGAATTGATGTACGTACGTACGTATGGTGTTCTACGTTGAAGCTGACTAACTGACTAATAATCTATTTGATGGATGCTCTGGTTTAGTTGATTTGGTCATACCTTTTGAACAAATGGCATTCTCTACTGTATATTGTTTCTTGATGCTAGAATTTTGAAAATACAAGTGAACATATGTCATGATGGTTTCATCGCACCTCTATCAGTAAAGTTGAAATTAACACAGAGCTCACAAGCCTAAGATTTCATCAAATATTACTTAGAACAAAAGCTCGTAAGTGAAATTCATCAACGATACAAAATGCTCAGCTGTCTTTTGTCAACTTGTGTCATTTATGGTTTAGGCGAGATATCCGTCCGCTGACCAAACGATGAGTCTACAGCATATCAATTCACAAACAGACAGACAGAACTTCGTACGTAAGTACATCAGTTCAGGTTGCCATACCACATCAGCACAAAGACGTAACTGTCAGTTCAAATCCAAGAGTGATAGCAATAATAGAAGTATTAGCAGTAATGGAGAAGATTAGGGAGCGAAGATATGCTTCGAGAAGTATAATTCAGTGAAATAAATTTAGAAGGAGGAACATAGAGAATATGAGGAATTCAGGAGGTTAGAATTCGAGAGAACACAAAGAATGGATGCACGTGCGTCATTGCAAACGATTTTGAGCCATGTCGTTCAATTTCTCTAACCATTGGTGACTTTCGTCTCGCGGACTCCAACCAGGTAGCCTACATCTACCAACATGATTCAGTCTATTCTTCAGTGACTTCATGGATTTGTGCCATGTTTTGATTTGGCCGACCCTAGCTTTCTTCCACATCAATTCACTCCGTCATACTATACCGGTGTGAAACATGGCCATAAAAAGTAAAAGGTATTCGTAGGCTATTAGCATTCGAACAAAGGTTTCTTCGATTCATTGCTCTTATATCCTGTGACAATTGATTAAGCAATGCAGTTGTTAGGAAATGGATACTAAGTTAGGATGGCATATCAATAGATGAAGTATTGAAACTTCATTAATTGAGGTAGTTAGGACGTGTGTTAGTTACGTATGCCTAACCACCGTCTACCTCGATGAGTTCTGTTTTGTGGTGTCGGGTTTGGCTGAAAGAAAGCTAGGGGTGGCCAGACCAAAACAGGGCAAAAATCCATGAGGCCACTGACAACTGGATTGAGTCGTGTTGGTAGGTGTAGTCTACCTGGATGATGTCTGCAAGACAATCGTAGCTTATGATTAGAGACGTTTGGTCATTTAGCTCACAATGGCGAGTAGATACGTTATCCATTCTTTGTCTTCTCTCAAATTATAACATTCATCTAACTCTTCTTAAATCTCTTTTACTGGATTATACTTCCTGAATAATATTTTCTAACCCTGAACTTTTCGAATACCCTTATATTGCTACTACCATAACCACTACGGGATTTCAATGCACAATTGCATCTCTGTGCATATGGCAACTTGAACTGATGTACGGTACTTACTATGAAGTTCTACATTGTAGTTAATTGAATGACTGCACTTACATTATATCACATCTCCTCTTTCAATCCATCAACACTTCTTCCTCTTTACAGGTAACTTATCCATTTCGTTTAATTTTGGATAATTCAAATATTTTCTCTTCAAAACCGAATTTAATTCCTACTTCAACGGCTACCAGTATTACTACTACTGCCACTACTACAACCACCACGACTGCTGCTGCTGCTACTGTTACGTCTACTACTACTTTTTCATTGAAAAAATTATTCATTAGTTATATCGGTTTAAGTATGGAAGATTTACAATGGATACAATGTTTAGGTGAATTATTCTTGTTCAATTCCAATTCAATGAAATCTCAATCTAACAAGAATGTAAATTCATTTAATAATAATAGTCATCAGAATAATAACAGTGATTATGCCAGTGAACCCACTGTACATACATCAATTCAATTAAATCACCAATTAGAAGAATCTCATGCAATCAATCATCATTCCTCATTGGATTTATGTAAAAACTTGGTAAATGAAGTGAAAACATTGTCAAATAATCATGAGATAATTACGAGTGTTGCAGAAGATTTAACTGATGAATGTAAAGGTAAGGCTTTAATGTTATTCTATTTGTTTGTTTGTTTGTGTGAATGAATTTGTGGAGATTTTTAAGATTCATTAAAATCACGAATCAATCAATGTAAGTGTTGTAACGCTTGCTTAAAAATAATTCCCAGCTAAATCCTATTGCTTAGTATTCTCTGACCACAATACACTGGACAAGTTTCAAAGAATCAAAAACACGGTTGAACAGGAAAAGATTATATTCCAAATAGCAAGGTTAAATGGAATAAGAAGCCAAGGGTGATGGCGAAGGCGAAGGCAAGAAGGCAAAAATTAGATACAACGTTAGTCTATTTATAGCATTTACATGAGAAGCTTCTGGATAGAAATTCACGTGATCGACTGGATGAGATTTAACCAATCAGCACTCAGCTAACAATACGAGAATTTTCTACCCTGTTCTCCAAGAGTCGATCAGGCGCTGATTGGATAGGAAATTAGCCAATCAGTGTGCAGCTGACGCAGTCATGTTTTATTCCATCTATGTCCACCTAACAGTAAGGTTATCATTAGAAATTGTGAAGCATTAGACGGTCATTTCGTCCTAGTTCGCGGTTCATCAGTAGTGCGCATCCATGAATCCTAATCTTCTGGATTCTTTAACACCTCTAGTTTTGATTTCCTAAACTTATCTCACTGAATCATACTTCTTGAATAATATCTTCTAATCCTAATCTATCCGATATCTGCTAATACTGCTACATCCACTACTATAGGGATTGAATTGACAATTACATCTCTGTGTGCTAATGTTGTGGTATGGCAACATGAACTGATGTACTTATGTATGAAGTTCTACGTTGCATCTGACTGACTGACTGACTTACTTACAACTTGGTTGGCATTCAATGGTATAGTAATTGAAAGACTGTGTTTGGGAAAGTCGTCATCAGAAAATGTGACGAACAAAGCTCACTTGCGGTAGATCATAAGATAGTCATACACTGATAACAGTGTATAATCATGACAATGAACATAGGTTGAAAATATAGGCCACTAAACAACAATCATACCTCGATTCATTACTTCGTTTGTACTGGTTCTCTTTTGATCGGTCTGTAATGATGGGAAAGCATTTGTGTAATGTCTCTCTCTCTCTTTGTCCCCCTCTTGTCGGATTACCGATTATTTCAGTTTTTCAATTGCTAGTAGGACGGGTGACATATTATTTACCCATTTGACACATTGACCAGGGAACAAGAACTAAGAACTTAGCGTATACTGGTCATCGAACTCTTTATAACCCAGCAATCAAGTAGAAGACAATGATAAAGACCAGATTAGTTCTCTTTTGCACTCAGTTTATTCAAATATATAATTAATCTACTGTTCCACTATTACTCTTGTTTAAATTACCCAAGCCTCCTCCTTTATCTGGAACTGGGACCGGCAGTAGCCCCAGAGAGGCTCCAGTACAACATTCTATGGATCTGTTTACTGCGTACGCTTGTTACTTCCAGTAGAGTATAGGCCGCTGACCAGCATTCTGCAACCTACTCTGTCCTTTGCCTCACTTTCCAGTTCTTTCCAACTGTTGTTCATTCTTCTCATGTCTATCTCAATTTCTCGGCGAAATGTGTTCCTCGGCCTTCCTCTTTTCCCCTTTGTCTGTGAAGGTTCTAAGTGAGGGCTTGCTCTGTGACGCCTAGAGCCCCTCTGGGATTACTCTTGGTCCCAAGCCTGGATAAAGAAGGAGGGTTGGTCGTGGGGTTGTTATGTTTTTTTCAGGATTACAATCATATCTGTCAATTCTGACTAGGTAATTGTAATAAGCTTTTGTGCTACTGATGAGTGATAGACAGATAGGACCTCATGTCATTTACTCAACAGAACTAGATGTAACTGTTTTCTAACACTTAAGGGAAACTTTCACTACTATCAATCCTTAATAATACCTTCAAACCCTAATTTTTTTGGTTACCGCTAATACTTCTACTACATCTACCACTATGATATTTGAATAGACAATTGCAACTCTGTGCTAATTTGATATGACAACCTGAAATGATGTACGTATGTTCGAAGTTCTGCGTTGTGGCTAACTGGGTAAATCCTTAAAATAAGTGTTTCAAAGCTGAGTAAACCTGGGAAAAAAATTATCGAGCACACTTTAAACATTGAAATCATGAATCGATAAAGTTAGATCATCATTATAAACCTGCAAGCACTGGACGGCCGCTTGTTCCTAGTATGAGACTGTTAGGACAATCATCCAATATCCTAAGAGAAATATTCCTCAAATCTTATTGGTCGCTTTCTATCGGTCAAAATTATGGTCGTTTTAACTGTCAAAGTCAAATACTTCACTGTTGTCTCTTATTGGTCATCCGGACTGTCAATGACATTTCAAGTGTTACTTCCTATTGGTTGTCTTAACTATCGATGCCACAGAAATCGATGCTGTTTTCCTATTCGACCAAAATGTATAAATACGCATTATCTGTAACATTTTATGACCACGGCCAGGACCAGGACTCGGTCCCGGATCCCTAGTCCGGGATGCTGATTCTCTTCTGGTTTCGGACCTCGTATTTTCTGGATGCTTGTAGAATATAGGTTATACTTCATAACACGTCTTCTTATTTTAACTAAATATGGAGTTGAGATAATCGGATTTGAGTAGCGTGTCGTGTCGCCGGATCCTAGACCCTCGCTCTTGTTTTCCAACTAGGTAAACTCGTAATAGTTCAAGTATATCAAGTTTTCGTGTTTACGTGCAGGCGTAACAGAGACTCTTAAGCAGTGCGCGTCGACGACCCTTGCTTGCGGAAATCGAACTCGGGTTCTTTGGTCAATAAACAGCAACAATCTCCATAATCCTATGATGAAAAAATTGTAAAATGTTCTCTATATTGACCCTGTCGAGTATGGGCGATACCTACCGAAGAAAATGGGTGAGTGTTGGGGACGTTAGATCACTAGATTTCACTTGTAAAAGGTCCTAACTGTATAATTCTATTTTTGGAATGTTATGTTCTCGCACCGGAGACGCTTATTATAACCTTCAGCTTGCATTTCCCACTCCGAAAGTCCTTGACTGTCATTGGTTGATGGATTATTGTAGTACGCTATTTTGTGACTCTCCCAAGTACATTGCTATCATTGTATAAATAAGCTTGATTTGTGTACTTAGCAAGCTCGTATTTTCTGGGTGCGTGTAGAATACCTTTTCTACGCCTTATCAAGACTTCTTGATCTAGTTAGCGGGACATAGGACAAACGGATTAGAATAGCCTATCGTGTCACTGTATCGTTGACCTTCGTTCCGTTTACTACCGAGTAAGCTGAACTTGTCATAGCATTCAAGCCTATTATCAATTGACGAGCATATCAGTCGAACATTGATCGATTCAAACCAATTTTTTTCTCATTGTTACGTATTGTCTCTGTCAGTTAAAAAAAAATTACAGATACATACTAATTAATCTTTTCTGGCTAAAAGGGAATCTAGATGTAAAATCACTTACTTTCAACTATTCTCAATGATTAACACACACATTTAACAAGTAATCAATACACAACAGTATTATTTAACTATATAAAGTCATTTTTATGATTTTCGTTCTTATGTAAGTAAATTACTTATAGTTGCATTCTATTCATTTCATTCTTTAGATTGGAACTCTGTGACGTATTCAAATCATGATGTAACTATTGAACAAAAGGTAATTGTTTTACTCACACACACGCCCACACGCACATTTAAAGATTGTCGTCTTTTCTCTGTGTGTGTGTGTATTGTTGTAGGATTGTTTTTATATCTACTGCAGTCCTGTAGAATGAAATTTTTGTATTTTTACAACATTTTCTTATACTTCTTTTGAAAACTAAGAGAATATTTTGTATTCTTTGAATGGGCCCTCTGGTTTCCGGCTCGCTGATATTGTAGGAACAATGGAATATGCGCTATGAAACAAATTTTGCCTTCTGAATTTCGGTATATTCTATTCTATATACTTCGACAAATCCTGTTTGTTTGACGATGATAAATAAGAAGTTAACAAAATACGGATTCACAATTGGATGAGTTTATTTTATGCAATCGATCAAGCAGACAGAATATGTCAGTCAGATGCAACATCGTTTGCATTTGCGGTGCAGTCAGATAAGGGAATGTGAGTAGAGTTAGTTGTGGAGAGAAGAGAGGTGTGTGTGGGTGTAGGAAGGATTTGATTTTGACCAATTTGGTCTCTCGTGCTGTTACGGGTATGAGGGCGGTTGTGACTTCCCGGCTGCCCACACCGTGGAAGGTTGTTTCTTGAGGGACCTGAAAAGGAAGATAGATTAGTGTTGGTCTTAGAGACCTGAGGGCGTGACCGCAGAGTCCAAGAGACAACTGCTTGAGGCCGGTCACGCACGGCCTTTTTATGAGAAGTTTTTTGAGTGTTAGCTCCACACTTGAAAGCCCTTAGTGGGCACGCTTACCGCCGGAGACGGAAATCCGTGAGTTAGGGTGAGGTGTGACATTTTTAGGGTCGACCTTTTCTAACCCTTCCTTCCTTGTGAGAAGGCAGCATCGCTGCAGATGCTGGTTGTCCGAGGGAAACAGCTTACTGCTGTCACATCCTTCTACAGTCAGTCAGCAGTACGACTTCGCCGTGAGACCTTGAGTATCTGCTTTCAGTCTCATCGTTTTCCAGTCTACCTGCCTGGCATGGTATGACCTTCAGGAACATATGTTTCAGGCAGTATAGCTCGGTTGAGTCATGACGATAGTCAAGCCCGACCACCACGTCAAGGTAGCAGCTACAGTCAGGAGACAGAATATGAGAATACATAGAGTGTAAAAGCAAAATGAAATGAGTGATTTGGCGAAAGCCAATTAGCCAACTCAATGTGATGAGGCATAACTAAGTATTTGCAGTAGTGAACTGAGTCATGTCGGTAGTTGTCGACTACCTGGTTAGGGTCCACGAGATGTTAGTAATCGATGGTTAAAGATCTTGAATGACATGGCTCAAATTCGTTTGCAATGGAGTAGGTGCATTCATTCATTGTGTTCTCTCAAATCCTAATCTTCAGAATTCCTCATCATCTTTTTCTTGTTAAGTTTGTTTCACTAGATTCTATTTCTTGAATAATATCTTCTAATCCTAATCTCTCCAATTATTGTTAATACTTTCACTTCCTCTATTACTATGGGATTTGAATGGACAATTATATCTCTGTGTGCTAATCTGTTGATATGGCAACTTGAACTGATGCACGTACGTACGAAGTTGTACGTTGCTGTTGATTGAAGTATTTATAGTCAGACGAAAAGCAAGCAAGTAATGCACATACAAAACAGTGAAAATTTTTAGCGAAAAATTAACAAGATTAAATAACATGCGAACAGAGATTTGGGAAGAAAAGCTTAACTCGTTTTTCCAAACCTTGTGACAATGTTAGTACACACATCAGCAGTGCACATCTATGACCTTTGGGTCGCATGCACGATTGCTTCATCTGTTGACTACTGAGCTAACAGCACACAATGGTTTTAATGTCTAACTTTAATCGATCGATGATGCTGCTTCTACGATGATCTTGTCTATTGTTTTCAGTCGATAATCGCCTGACTTCCGACACAACTGAAACCGTGACCAGTTGTGGGTTCAACCGTGTCGAATGTGATGTGGTTACCCAATGAAAACAATAGACGTGGTCGTATGTTCTTTGCCTGAATCGCCACCAATGCGTTTACTACTTCTATTACTCTGTTGACTTAGAGTTTTGCCCTGTTTACTCGTAATTTATCTTCCCCATTTTGTTCATAATTATATTACCATTCTATACTTATTTTAAATATCATTTCTGTCAGTCAGCAGTGATGTAGAACTTCGTACGTTCGTAAATCAGTGCTCAAGATGTCATGCCACATTAGCACAGAGAAGCAATAGTCAATTCAAATCTCATTGTGGTAGAGGTAGTAAAACGTATGAGCAGTAGTCGTAAAGATTAGGGTTTTGAAGATATTTTTCAAAGAGTATAATTCAGTGAAGTAAATTTGTGAGTGATAAAGAGGCACCACACAAACCAATTATATCTGGCCTAGGATACTCCCTGGATGTCTAAACCAAAGCCGACAGTACAAAGAAAGAGCCACTTTTATCGATGTCGGCACCGCGGCCACTGTTGACTGAATCGGCTTGCGGCTCACTCCATATGTGAAAGTTTTAGAGCTATGTCATTCTAGGGTCTCTAATCATCGGTTACTAGTATCTCGCGGACACCAACCAAATAGTCTACACCTGCTAGGATGGATCAGTCCAGTTGTGAGTGAATTTATAGATTTGTGTCTTGGTTTGGTCGCGCCATAGCTTTCTTCCAACCTACTAGGGGCGGCCAGAACAATATCATTTCTAGATTCGCCCCACATCCAATGATAACTGATAGAATACTTACTTACTTACTTACGCCTGTTACCCCCAATGGAGCATAGGCCGCCCACCAGATTTCTCCAACCAACTGTGTCCTGGGCTTCCCTCTCCAGTTCTGTCCAATGTTTGTTCATTCTTCTCATATCTTTCTCTATTTCTCGGCATAATGTGTTCCTTGGCCTTCCTCTTTTCCTTTTGCCTTGAGGGTTCCATGTGAGGGCTTGTATCGTGACGCAGTTAGGTGCTTTTCGTAGTGTGTGTCCTATCCACTTCCACCGCTTCTTCCTCATTTCCTCCTCCACTGGAATCTAACTTGTTCTCTCCCACAGTTCGTTGTTGCCGATGGTGTTTGACCAACGAATACGAAGTATTTTGCGTAGACAGCTGTTAATAAACACTTGTATCTTCTGGATGATGGCTTTCGTAGTTCTCCATGTTTCCGCTCCATACAGTAGAACTGTCTTGATATTTGTATTGAAAATCCTGATTTTGGTTTTGGTTGAAAGTTGTTTGGAGTTGCAGATATTTTTCAACTGTAGAAATGCAGCCCTCGCTTTGCCAATCCTCGCCCTCACATCTGCGTCCGATCCACCTTTCTCGTCGATAATGCTGCCAAGATATGTGAAGGTGTTAACGTCCTCCAAGGTTTCTCCATCAAGCGTGATTCGGTTGGTGCATGTTGTGTTGCATCGGAGAATTTTGCTTTTTCCTTTATGTATGTTGAGACCTACTGCTGCAGAGGCTGCTGCTACACTGGTCGTCTTCTCTTGCATTTGTTGTTGAGTGTGCGATAGAAGAGCCAGGTCATCTGCGAAGTCCAGATCGTCCAGCTGCATCCTAACTGTCCAGTTGATACCGTGCTTCCCTCCAGATGTTGACGTCTTCATAATCCAGTCGATGACCAGAAGAAAGAGAAAGGGTGAGAGTAAGCAACCTTGCCTGACACCGGTCTTGACCTCAAAAGAGTCTGTTAGCTGTCCTTCGTGTACGATTTTGCAGTTGAATCCATCATAAGAATTCCGTATGATGTTAACTATTTTCTCAGGTACACCGTAGTGTCGAAGAAGCCTCCACAGTGTTTTCCTATCCACGCTATCGAATGCTTTCTCGTAATCGATGAAGTTGATGTAGAGTGGTGAGTTCCATTCAATTGATTGTTCCAAAATGATCCGTCATGTAGCAATTTGGTCAGTACATGATCGATCCTTACGAAATCCGGCCTGTCGATCTCGAAGTTTGGCGTCTACGAAGTCCTTCATTCTGTTTAACAATACTCTGTTGAAGACTTTGCCTGGTATTGAAAGAAGAGTGATGCCTCTGTAGTTCTCACACTTGCTGAGATCGCCTTTCTTTGGTATTTTGATGAGGTATCCTTCTTTCCAATCTGATGGTACTTGTTCCTCATCCCAAATCTTCTTGAAGAGGATGTGAAATATTTTCGCAGTTGCTTCTACATCTGTTTTCATTGCCTCTGCTGGAATGTTGTCTGGTCCTGCTGCTTTGCCGTTCTTGATTTGTCTGATGGCCATGCTGATCTCCTCAATCGTAGGTGCGCCAATATTAATTGGGAGATTCGTGGATGCTGCTTCGATGTTGGGTGTGTTCAGTGGAGCTGGTCGATTCAGAAGTTCCTTAAAGTGCTCTACCCACCTATTTCTCTGTTCTTCAGTGTTGCTGATTATTTTCACTTCCTTGCTTTTCACCGGTCTTTCTGGTTTACGATAGTTTCCGGCGAGCTTCTTTGTTGTTTCGTACAATTGTCTCATGTTTCCTTCTCTTGCAGCCTTTTCCGCCGTCATTGCTAGATCTTCCACATATTTTCGTTTGTCAGCTCTGATGCTCTTCTTCACTTCCTTGTTTGCTTCTGCGTATGCAGCTTGTGCTGTAACTTTCTCTGCTCTTGTTCGGCTGACATTCACTGCTGCCTTCTTGTTCCTCCTTTCTTGAATTTTTTCAAAAGTACCAACAGAGATCCATTCCTTGTGATGGTGCTTGTTGCGACCAAGGACCTCCTGACATGTTGAAGTGATTGCCTCCTTAATCCCTTTCCAATTGTTCTCCAATGTTGCTTCCTCTCCATTGAGTAGATCCTGAAAGGCCTGGAACCTATTGGTGAGGGCTATCTTGAATTCGTTGAGTTTTACGGTATCCCGAAGAAAGGCTGTATTAAACTTCTCTGATGTTGTCTGCCCCGTTGTTCAGTGCTTCTTTAGCTTCAATCTCATTTTGGCGATTAGCAAGTGGTGATCTGAAGCTATATCAGCTCCTTTCTTGGTTCTCACATCCTCCATGGTCCTTCTGAACTTTTTGTTGATACAGATATGATCAATCTGGTTTTGAGTTGTGTGGTCCGGTGAAATCCATGTGGCTTTGTGAATGCGTTTGTGTGGGAATATTGTGCCACCGATGACCAGTTTGTTGAAGGTACATAGGTTTGCAAATCTCTCACCGTTTTCGTTCCTTTCTCCCAGTCCATGTCGTCCCATGATGTCTTCATATCCAGTGTTGTCCATTCCAACCTTGGCATTCAGGTCTGCCATAAGAATCGTCAAATCCTTTGGTGAACATTTATCGACGATTGACTGCAGCCTTTCGTAGAATTGATCTTTAACGTCGTCATTGTAGTCATTGGTAGGTGCATAACATTGGATGACGTTCATTGTAATGTCCTGTTTCTTTGTTTTGAAGGATGCTTTAATGATCCTTGGTCTATGAGATTCCCATCCTATCAGTGCCTTTTGTGCATGTGTAACTCCTTGTGTATGTGAAGCGTTTTCCTCTTCATGACCAGAGTATAACAGCAGTTCCCCTGAAGCTAGTCTCAGTTATCCTACCTGTGTCCAATGCGTTTCACTGATTCCAAGCACCTCGAGATTGTATCGTTTCATTTCTGCCGCAACTTGAAATAGCCTTCCAGTCTCCCACAATGTACGAACGTTCCATGTACCTAGAAGAATGGTTGCTTTGGTTGTCAGAAGAGGCATCAGCCCCGTGACTTCCGAGGGAACTCGGCTTTCATCACGAGACATCATAATTCTTCTTCCAACTCCCAGGGCAGAGTTAAAATGGTTTGAATTATTTTTTCTGGTTAGCGTTTTTTTGGCAAGTGAGATTTCAACGGAATGGGGTCGCCAACCCCATGTCCAACCCTCCTCCTTTATCCGGGCCTGGGACCGGCAGTAGCCCCGAAGGTTCTACTGGCGGAGTTGATAGAATACTGGTTTTTATATAAAATGCAGAGTCTTCGGACTACCCTAAACAACAATGCAAGCATGTTCGGGATGCGGTTTTCCCCCTCGAAATGCAAAATGTTGCTTCAAGATTGGGTTTCATCGGCACCTGAACTAGAGATAGGGAGTGAAGTAGTCGAACGTGTAGACCGCTTCACTTATCTTCGGAATCTCATCAGTGCTGATGGCCTGGTGACTGACGAAATCTGAGCTCGGATACAGAAGGTTCGATTGGCTTTTGCCAACCTGCGTCACTTATGGCGTAGGCGAGATATCCGTTTGCTGACCAAAAGACGAGTGTACTGCGCAGTGGTTCGCTCCGTCTTACTTTATGGCTGTGAAACATGACCAGTAAGAGTAGAAGATATTCGTAGGTTATTGGTTTTCGATCATAGGTGTCTTCGAAGCATTGCTGGTATATCGTAGGACACCCGAGTGAGCAACGCTGTTATTAGGAATCGGGTGCTAGGTAAGAATGGCAGATCAATCGATGAAGTATTGAAACTTCACCAGTTGAGGTGGTTTGGACATGTGCTGCGTATGCCTAACCAGCGACTGCCTCGACGAGCTTTGTTTTGTAGTGTAGGAATAGGTTGGAAGAAAGTTAGGGGCGGCCAAACCAAAACATGGCAGAAATAAATCCATGAAGTCATTGACGAGTGGACTTAGCCATGTCGGTAGTTGTCGACTACCTGGTTGGGGTCTGCGGGATGATAATAATCGATGGTTAGAGACCTTGAATGACATGGCTCAAAATCGTTCGCAATGGCGCCGGTGCATTTATTCTTTGTGTTCTCTCAAATGCTAATCTTCTGGATTCTTCAACCCCTCTAGTTTTGACTTTCTAAACTTTTCTCATTAAATCATACTTCTTGAATAATATCTTCTAATCCTAACCTCTCCGATTACTTCTAATACCCTTACTAACTCTCCTACTATTGGATTTGGATTGATAATTACATGTCTGTGCTGATGTGGTATGGCGACATGAACTGATGTACTTACGTACGAAGTTCTACGTTGCAACTGACTGACTGATATAGTTCATGCACAAATCCTATTGATTCGTATTTGCTATTCGATCCTATTGATTCGTATTTGCTATTCGAGTGTATGTTTCAGATTTTTTTTCATATTTCAGATACTTTATCAATGAGACTATACGACTTATATACTTATATATCAGATTATCTAAAATAACTTCTTTTTTCTTCGGGTTTCTTTCATTTTAGACAGAACTTAATACTCTGACACAATCATCAGTCAATGAAACATATTCACAATTGAATGAACATAACACCTCAGATTCAATGAACAATATTATTGTTGAAAAACAAATTGACACCGTGAAAATATCCAACACTATCGAGTGTAATGATAACACATCCATGAAACAAACCAATACATCAACATGTTCACAATCATTGTCTGAAACAACAACACCATCATTGAAATCAACAATAGAATATGGAAAAAATCCAACATCATGCAAAGTGAACAACAATAGTTACACTTCGGATGAATTCAGTGTGATTCTGTATAAACTTCATTTAGATTTATGCAAGCTGGATAAACCGTTCACAGCTACCATGAATAATGACGATAACCATGATAATACCATTGATAGAAATAATAATAATAATCTATGCACATTGTTAAGAGAACGTTTTAAATTATGGTATGATGTAGATTGTTTAATCAATAATGGTCAATTGATCAATTCCAATGAAACATTGAACCTATTGAATGGCTTTTTTGACAAATTCTCTTCTGAATCTTCTATACAAAAAAAGACAACCACACCATGGCGTCATTTCGATATTCCGATCACGGATTCATCGACTTGTGTACAAGAGAATAATTTACTTTATCATTTATTGAATATTTCATTACCGGCTAGTAATAATAATTCTGTGACACCACCAACAAAGAAAACTCTTAAAAACACTAATTCAGCCACTATCATGATTGATGCTTCTAATCAATCTGCAAGTTCTTGTAGTGTTAATCTGTCATTGAATGTTGATTGTAGACAATCGTCTTCTCCATTGTCACAATTGGAATCTTTGGATGGAAATGTTAACAGTCAAACTACTCAAAGAATAGCTAATTCTGTGCCGTAAGTGAAATACTTGGAAATCCAGAATTTTTGTTTATATGTAAATATATTACATAATGGGGTTGGGAAGATTTTTGAACTGCACATTTGGAATTATGAATCAATCATTGTTAGACCAGCATTAGAAACCTGCAAGCACTGGACGGCTGTGTTCGTCCTGGTGTGCACATCCACGACTCCCGCACCTCGCAGGATTCGAACCCAGGACCTTCGTCGGTCTTGAGCACGAATGCCTAACCTCTGGACCACTTTGCCGGTATCTAACGGTATTAATGTCTAACCTCGATCAATTCACGGTCTTGCGCAACCTCATACACTGTCTTCGATAGTTTCTGTCTACACCCGACCAGGTTGAACTTCACTGGTCACGTCTTCTCACTAGAAGTCAGAGAAGATCCCTGCTGATGAGTCCCGTATCAGGACGTAAAGGCCGTCCAGTGCTTCCAGGTTTCTAATGGTGGTCTAACATTGATCGATCCATAATTTCAAATTATATATATATTAGTAGTACGTTTAAAGATCGTGGGAGTTTCACCAGTCCTGAAGGCCTGGCGATTGACGAAATCTCAGCACGAATGCAGAATTCTCTGTTGACCTTTGTCAATTTACACCATTTATGGCTTAGGCAAGATATCCGTCTACCAAATAAAAGACGAGCCTACTGAGAAGCAGTTCACTCCATCCTAATTTACAGGTGTTGAACATGACCAGTAAGGGTAGAGGATATTTGTACGTTACTATTATTCTATCATATGCGTCTTAGAATCATTGCTCATATATCCTGGGATAATCGAGCAAGCAATCCTGGGATTAGGGAAAGAGTACCAGGTAAGGATGGCAAATGGTGAATCTTCATGTGGTACGTATTTCCAACCACCGACTGCCTTGATGGACTTTGTATAAATGTTTTATGACCAGTTAGATTGTGACAAACATTGGAATGTAGAACACATATCTTGTCTCGCTGGTTGGATCTCGCTGTTCACAAAAAAATCTTGAACTCAACACATTCTCCTCCGAATTCTCATCTGAGAGAGAGCTATTGGGTCATCATGTCTGTTTTTTTAAGAAACTCAAAGAATTCTTGTTCATAGTTCATGTTACGCCTGCACGTACACACGTCAACTTGATATACTTGAACTATTACGAGTTTACCTAGTCGGAAAACGAGAGCGAGAATCGGGCGACACGACATGCTACTCAAATCCGACTATCTCAACCCCCATATTGAGTAAAAGAAGACAAGACTTGATATGAAGTAGAACCTGTATTCTACAAGCATCCAGAAAGTACGAGGTCCTAATCCAGAAGAGAATCAGGACCCTAGACTAGGGATCCGGGACCGAGCCCTGGTCCTGGTCATAAAATGTTACAGATAATGCGTGTTTATACATTTTGGTCGAATGAGAAACAGCATCGAAGTCTGTGACATTGACAGTTAAGACGACCAATAGGAAGGAACATTTGAAGTGACGTTGATAGTCAGGACAACCAATAAGAAACAACATTGAAGCACGTGACATTGATATCTACTAGGACGACCATAAAATTGACCAGTAGGAATTAACCAATAGGAATTGACCAATAATTGTCTCAGGATATTGGATCAATATCCTAACAGTTCACTGTTCAAATTAGTCGATTTCTCTGAATGATTTCTAATCAAGACAGTATTTCGTCTTCTTCTTCTTCTTCTTATTGACAGCAACAATCACCAAAAACCTTTAAAAATTACATCGAATGAATTTAAATTACGTCTCATTGATGTTTTAACACGTTATGGTCGTATTATTGCTGAACGTTTAATTTGTTTAAATTATCTACAAAATCAATTGATACATTCAAACAAAAACCATTGGTCATTGTACAGCTATGTTCAATCACAAATTAAAATGATATCATCTTCAAATAATCACTTGGATCAACAATTGCCATCATCATCATCATCATCGATATGTTGTTTTGAATTAATTCAATATCTTGATAAAATCTATGAACGTTTAATGAAATTAATCACTCAAACCATTGTAAGCACCGATTCCATTGGTTTCAATGTTCAATTAGGTAATCAAGCTCTACCGAATTGGCTACTTCTATCAACTGATTATAAAACTACTGATGATGATAATGATGAAAAGCTATCAACAATGAACGCCGGTTCAATTGGTGGACGTTTAATGATATTCTTAATTTTATACATGATTATTAAACAACAATATGCTGAATTGATTTATTATTTTGTTCGTGTATTGTATCAAGTAAGTAGGAGGACTGTTTAGCAGTGTTTACAATTCCGTCGCTGAAGATTAAACACATGTGTTCAATGTTCAACATCTAAGTCTACTAAACCCGGTATCTATGAATGTACAATGTCTAATTTTTTTTTTAATTACTTCCTGATGATGATGATGATGATGAATAATAATACACATTCATCATTGATTGGCTACAATGTAGATAATCTTGTCTCATGCACACTTGACACAGGGGTCGCACAATCCAAATGGAATTATGGATATGATTGAGTTTCATTGAAATTATGAATCAATCATTGTTAGATTACTATGACTTACTTAATTACTTACGCTTGTTACTCCCAATCGAGCATAGGCCACCCACCAGTTTTCTCAAACCAACTCTGTCCTGGGCTTCCCTTTCCAGTTCTGTCCAATGTTTGTTCATTCTTCTCATATCTTTCTCTATTTCTCGGTGTAATGTATTCCTTGGCCTTCCTTTTGCCTTGAAGGTTCCATGCGAGGGCTTGTCTTGTGATGCAGTTAGGTGCTTTTCGTAATGTGTGTCCTATCCACTTCCACCACTTCTTCCTGATTTCCTCCTCCGCTGCAGGTATCTGGTTTGTTCTCTCCCACAGTACGTTGGTACTGATCGTGTCTGGCCAACGAATCTGAAGTATTTTGCGTAGATAACTGTTAATAAACACTTGTATCCTCTGGATGATGGCTTTGGTGTTCTCCAAGTTTCCGCTCCATACAGCAGAACTGTCTTGACATTAAATTAGAAACCTGAAATGCATTGATGGCCGTTTCGTCCTAGTATGAGACTCTTCAGCAGTGTGTATCCAAGACGTTGCAAACTTAATGGCTGAAAATTGAAGTCTTTTAGTGCAATCAAATACCACCATTGCACTTCATCAGGGGATTTCTGACAAAAATCTAAATAAAATATTTTACAGATGATTAAAACGTTAACAGAAAAGATAGAATAATAATTATTTTGTTAAAATGAGGCTTTCAATTAGGGTTGGATATATATTTACCGTATATCTGATGTCTGGTAATGAGAGTAAAATATTTTTGGCCGTTGAGTGTGGAAAAACAGACACTTAGCCTGCTGACTGTTAAATTAGCTTCATTGAGATCTTGAACTGACCAATATTAGAGCTACATTGAACTACGTATGGGACTCCTCAGCAATGCACATTAATGCATCGAACCTGGGGGCTTCGGTTGTGTGCGCAAACGCTTAACGTCTTGACCACTGAGCAACGGTGTTAATGTCTAACTTGAATAAATCCACGTTATTGCCCATCTATCTCACACGCAACAACAAATTCAAGAGAAGACGACCAGTGTAGCAGCAGTCTCTGTAGTAGCGAGTCTCAACATACATAAAGGAAAAAGCAAAACTCTCCGATGCAACACAACTTGCGCCAACCAAATCACTCTTGATGGAGATGCCTTGGAGGACGTTAACACCTTTACATATATGGGCAGCATCATCGACAATCAAGGTGGATCGGATGCAGATGTGAGGGCGCGGATTGGAAAAGCAAGGGCTGCATTTCTACAGTTGAAAAATATATGGAACTCCAAACAACTGTCAACCAAAACCAAAATCAGGATTTTCAATACAAATATCAAGACAGTTCTACTGTATGGAGCGGAAACCTGGAGAACTACGAAAGGCATCATCCAGAAGATACAAGTGTTTATTAACAGTTGTCTACGCAAAATACTTCGGATTCGTTGGCCAGACACGATCAGCACCAACGAACTGTGTGAGAGAACAAACCAGATTTCAGTAGAGGAGGAAATCAGGAAGAAGTGGTGGAAGTGGATAGGACACCACTACGAAAAGCACCTAACTGCGTCACGAGACAAGCCCTCACATGGAACCTTCAAGGCAAAAAGAGAAGAGGAAGGCCAAGGAACACATTACACCGAGAACTAGAGAAAGATATGAGAATACTGAACAAAAATTGGACAGAACTGGAGAGGGAAGCTCGGGACCGAGTTGATTGGAGAAAACTGGTGGGCGGCCTATGCTCCATTGGGGTTAACAGGCGTAATTAATTATTGCCCATCCATCGCATTCGATGGTAACTGCTTCACATCCAACACTAATTGAACCCCATTGATCAGTGCTTTTAACTAAAATTGTAGGATGTTCACTCACTGGTCTAGAGGTTAAGTGTTCGTGTGTGAAATCGGAACCAGCGCTTATAGATTTCCAATACTACTGTAACATTGGTTGGTCTATAATTTGTGTTCCTGGACATTTTTGTGCAGCTCACCCACGAATTCAATCATTTTTATGGTGCACATATATTCAGGTGCTCCTTCGTTCTAATGTCTGTGTGTTTAAATCTGTTGGGAACGTTAGATCGCCAGAACTCGCTTGATAAATGCCTTATTTTGGATTTCACGTTTGCCAGCATGGGCTGATCAGTTGACCTTGAGATTTCATTTCCCATCGGGAAAAGCCTTGGTTGTGATTGGTTACTGTGTTATTCTAGTAAGCTATTTTTGTGACTCTTCCAAGGACGTTTCTATGATGTACAATTAAACGAGAGTTGTGCGCTTGATTTTATTGTGCTTGCTGGATGTTTGTAGAATATACTTCCTACGCTTATCGAGACTACTGTTTTGCCGTCTCGAGTCAACAGACCAGGGTAGCCTACCTGGACGCTGGTTCATTGTCTCGTCCGCGTTTATCGACTAAGGTGAGCCCGTAATAGCTTCAAGCGTACCTAGTGATGAACATAACAAAATCGGTGTGTAATAAATAAAAATAGACTGAATTCCGAAAAAGTACAGCCTTTACAGATTAAAAATTCACATTGTTTAAACTCAAGGTTGTCGATTTTCGTAGATTGTTCACGTTGTGATGCAGTTTCGTCCTCTGAGCTGGATGATTTAGTGATGGAGCTTTCATTGTTGTTCTTCTGAACAACATCATCGACAGTACGAAATTCAGGTAGAAGAAGTGAAGTATTCGAATTTCTCCACGTATTTATGACTCATAGCTTACTTATCCTGTCGACCTTGATCTTGATTGGTTGTTGTTGTTTTTGTTGACCTCAAACTTGCCGTTGTATGTGCATCCATCACAATCATCCTCCTGCACCATCTCAAAATTGTTCACGTGGTTTCAATCACTTTTATATACTATAACTTGTTTATCTGTTCATTATTCATGTAGATTGTTGAACCGCCTGTTGGAGCATTCAAAGGAATTGTAAATTGTGGATTTCCATCTTCATCTACATGTTCATTTGGTGTACTACGTCAATGTCATGCTACTTTAGAAAATTCTTTAATGATAATGAAATCCACTTTTCCTTGGTTATTATGGGTATGTTAATCAGGATTTATTGTTATTAAATAAATTGTTTCTTAAATTTTAAAATACCCGAATGTAGCAGCTGCTACCTTGATGTGGTGATCGGGTTTTGATTATCATGATGACCCAGCGGAGCTATACTGGCTGGAACATATGTCCCCACAGGTTCTACTATGCCAGGCAGGTCGATTTGAGAACGATGAGACTAAAAGCAACTGCTGAAGGTCTGAGGGCGAAGTCGTACTGCTGACTGTAGAAAGGTATGATAGCAGCAAGGTGTTTCCCGTGGACAGCCAGTATCTGCAGCGATGCTACCTTCTCACAACAAAGGGAGGGGTCAGAAAAGGTCAACTCTAAAAATGTCATACCTCACCTTACCTCACGAATTTCCGTCTCCGGGGGTAAGGCCTTTCAAAAGAGGGACACTTGCCGTTGCCTCGTCATTATCTTTGCCTACTCTCCCCTTGGTTGCATCCCGGACGACGTAAAAGATGAATTTTACAGAAAACTCGGACTTTCTTCAAAACGTTAGGCGCTCTGATGCAGCAGCGGTTACTGATGACTTTGATTCTCAAGCAGGTAGACTACTCAACAAAGAAAAACACCTTGGTGGTTCTTATGGTGTGTCGTGGCTCAAAGATCAGATATTATGGTGACTGTCCACCGTAACTATGTTTAAATAATCGCTTATTTCTAGCGCATACTGACCTTAAGCATAAGGGAAAACACTTTATGACATATCAACCGCCAGAAGCGACCCGACTAGATCACATTGCTATCAGCCACAGTTGGAGAGGCTCCACTGAAGACTGTCGCTCGTTCTGCGACACATGTTTAGATTCAGATCATGATCTAGTACAAGTGCGTATTTTTTTGTCACTTACTGGACGTAGGAAAGACACCGCAAGGAAACCTGTTAAATTTCTACTCACTGATAGCATAGCTAAGAATCTATTTGAGGAACAAATAAAAAAACAGTTAGGCAGCGACTTAAGTGATGCCTAACGCAAGGTAACTTCAAATGATATCCAAAAATCTGTAAAAACAGCAGTGATATCTGCTAGTAAGGTAGACCATAATGTTAGGGAAAAGCATTGGGTCTCAGTAGCACCCACCGAACGGTCGAAAACTCATTCCACCTGGCTCCGAACCTGATGAAGAGCGAAGTCAGCTTAAGCACAGGCTGATAAAAAGCCTACGCAACGATCGCGCAAGAGAGATCTAAAAGGCAGCGGCGATAGGCAACACTGGACAACTATTCTGACTTATCAAGGAAACCGGTGTTAAGAATCCGACTGTTAGCGAAACTATGTTGGAAAAAGATGGGACTATTATTCATTGCCAATTCAGTAGATTGGATCAGCGGTCAGAACACTTCGAGGATCAGTTCAACTGGCCTTCAGCCACACTTCGGTTGTCCACAATCTCCAGTCATCCTTAGTGGCAAATCGATATAAGTCCAATGACTCTTGATGAAGTTGAAAAAGCCCTAGGAAATCTAAAGCGAGGTAGAGCAGCATGTCCTGATACGCTTACCCTTGAGATTTTTAAGGATGGTGATCCAGTTTTAGCAGCTAGGTTGACTGAGATCTTACGTAGAATCTAGGAACTGGTCGTAATCCCATCCGACTGGTCTCAATCACTGATTGTCCCAATCTATGAAAAAGGACAAAAGTCTTCTTGTGACAATCACAGGAGAATAAGTCTAACTAATATAGTATCTAAAATATCGGCCTCAATGATACTCCAACACCTAACGAAAGCTCGTGAAGAGCAGACTAGAGAAAACCAGTCTGGTTTTCGACCTGAACGTGGATGTATAGACCACATTTTCACACTTCGACAGGTCCTGGAACACAGACACACATTTAGGCGTGCTACAATAGTTGTGTTCCGGGACCTTAAGGCGGCATTCGACTCTGTCGATCGTGAGGTTCTGTGGCAGTGTCTGTCATTGAAAAGTGTGCCAAGAAAGTATATTAACCTTATACAAGCTCTCTACTCGAACGAACCTCACTGGTTGAGTGAGAGCTTATAGCGAACTGTCATCGGAACTGATTACTTGAAGTGATGTCCATCCGGGATGTCCACTTTCTCCAGTTTTGTTAGATTTTGTCGTTGATCTGTTTCTATATATAACATTTTCATCGTCTAACTTTGCATTAGTGGACCTTCTACCAGGAGATTCATTGGTTGAGTTAGAATATGCCGATGACATAGTTCTACTTAGTGAAGACGCTGACAAAATGCAATGTCTCCTGACTATCCTAAGCAACAATGCAAGCATGTTCGGGATGCGGTTTTCCACGTCGAAATACAAAATGTTTTGTTCAAGATTGGCTTGCGTCGGCACCTGAACTGCTTATAGTGAGTGAAGTTTTTGATCTTGTCGACCGCTCCGCTTATCTGAGTAGTCTCATCAGTGCTGATTGCCTGATGACTGACGAAATCTCAACACTCATACAGAATGCTTGATTGGCTTTTGCCAACTTGCGTCATTTATGTTGTAGGTGAGCTATCCGTCTTCTAACCAAACGACGAGTGTACTACGCAGTGGTTCGTTCAGTTCTTTGTGGCTGTGAAATATGGCCAGTCAGAGTAGAAGACATTCGTCGGTTACTGGTTTTCGATACTTTACTTACTTCTATCCGAAATTTGTGCTGATGATGTTGTTCAGAAGAAGAACAATGAAAGCTCCACAACCAAAACATGCAGCTCAGAGAACGAAACACCACCACAATCAATTCACCTAAGCTATAAATTTTCTCCACTATCTCAAAATCATATAAGCGTGACTTTAACTTACTTACGCCTGTGACCCCATATCGAGTTTGTTTTCTACAGGCATGGGATCACTAGCCCCCATTCTCACTCCTCCTCCTTTATTCGACCTCGGGACCGATAGTAACCCTAAAAGTACTCCTTGCCGAGTTATACCAAATATACTTACTTACCTTACATTTTGAAGAATACAGTTTTCTTTTTAAAATCTTTATACCTTACATTTGTTTATTTAAGTGAACGATATGTTGTATTTTTCAACTTCTTGACAATAAAAATCGTATTTTTTTTTCTTATTTTAGCTTCTACACCAAATTGACTGGATTGATTTAGCCAGTTATTTAAATCAACAAGCACCAATGTTATTTCCTCAAAGGGATTACAGTTTATTAAGTGACAATAATGATAACAATAACTAGAACACTAATTAATTAATTAATTACGGTTCAATATGAATGAATTGAACTAGTCTTTCAAGCTAATATATTCGAATTGATTGAATATTGAATAATCTATCTCTTTTATTTTAATTGATGGCCATTTTAGACTATCATGTTTGAATATATTGATTTTTGTTAATGAACAGTTGTATTCACTCGACCATCGACTTTGGAATAATTTTTTTTCCGTGTAGAATGTTTTGTTTTGTTTTGCTTTTTTTAAACAAAGCGCCTAATATTTTATGCATCGATTTGTTTGATTGCAATGTTTTTAAACTGTCAATTGTAATTTCTTGTGTATATTCAATTTTTTAAAAAAAAAATTTTTCTTATATTGACTTTCATTTTTAATTTCTGCATGTTCAATTTGCTATTTTGTTCTAAAAAAATGTTGAAAATTGTACAATAATGAAATGTACTTCCGGTTCATGAACTTAATATATATATATATATATATATATATATATATATATATTGCTATCATGTAGAGTTGTGTTGAAGAGTTTGTAAACATGAAACATTTCAAGTCGACAGATACTGTTCTTCTTCTTCTATAGTTATCTCCTTTCTGAATACCTGTAGTTATGTTAAAGAAACGCCATGCTTGGCGGTTTCGTTGAATATTTTTCTGTTAAATTGATATTAGACCACCATTAGAAACCTGAAAGCACTGGACGGCCGTTTCGTCCTGGAATAGGAATCATCAGCAGTGCGCATTCACGACGGTTAGGGCGTTCGCGCACAATACCGAAGGTCCTGGGTTCGAATCCTGCGGGGTGCAGGAGTCGTGGATGCGCAATGCTGATGAGTAGTCCCACAACAGGACGAAACGGTCGTCTTTCAGTGCTTCCAGGTTTCTAATGGTGGTCTAACATTGATCGATTGATGGTTACAAATAAAACTTAACAATCTTCACAACAACCCCGCAATGCAATTACATGTGTCCACTAGTGACTAGCTTTGTGAGGAATCTTCTCCGAGTTCTAGTGGGAAGTCGTGACCAGTGAAGTTCAAACCTGTTCGGATGTATACAGGGTAGAAGGTTGCGCAACTCTGTGAATTTGATCAAGTTAGACATTAATACCGTTAGATACCGGCTCAGTGGTCTGACGGTTAGTGCGTTCGCGCACAATACCGAAGATCCTGGGTTCGAATCCTGAGGGGTGCAGGAGTCGTGGATGCACACTGCTGATGATTAGTCTCATACCAGGACGAAATGGCCGTCGAGGGCTTCCAGGTTTCTTCTAATGGTGGTGGTCTAACATCGATCGATTCATGATTACAAATAAAACTTAACAATCTTCACAACAACCCCGCAATGCAGTTAAGTTGATAGTTTTAGATTAAATTCAATACCCAGTACACCTTGGTTTACAGTGGATATCTCAACTAATGCTAATAATAATCCCATGTAAAAAAAACAGTGTTTTAAACATCCTACTTACCACTAGTAGATTACAGATATCAACCTTACTTCACTACGAACAATCAGTTGATATTACTGATTATCAGTACTTCATACATACATCAATAACTTCTACTAATAGAATAGGTTAGTGAACTATAAAAAATTTATGTATTTCAGCTCACTGTAACACTGACGATCACGATATCATCATGTAGAAGAGTCGTGTTGAAGAGTTTGTAAACATTTCAAGTCGATAGATAATACTATTCTTGTCATAATATGATGATGATTTTTATACGTTTACAATTTATCAATTACCAATATGAATGGATAATACAACAACATAAAATGTCTCAATCGTACAATGTCCAATGATCAATGTTCAATAAATAAATAAATAGTCAAGTATTATATATCATTTTCAAAAAAAAAACAATGTGTTATAAATGATGAATTGAAAGAGTAATGTTTGTTTTTCTTTGTTGTTGTTGCTGCTTATTTTCAATTATTATGTTCATGCACACAAATTGACTCTTTTGTAACAGTAGTAATCAATCAACATCATCGTCGCTGTTGAACGACACTGAACATTGAACAATGAACAAACAGTTTTTTTGTTTTCTAGCTGCACCAATGTCAATTTACATAATACTACTACTACTACTTACTAATCAGCGTATAGAAAGAATCATTGATTATTTGTGTGTGTTGTAAACTTACTTATATATGAATATGACAAAGACAAATATGAAAGGTAATATATATAAAAATTGGTTGAAAATAGTTTACACTATATGTTGCCAACAATAACAATAAAATTTGTTTTACTTAAAGATAATCTGTGGCGGGCAATTAATTGATTGATTAAATTTTGTAGTTGAAAATTAAATTAAATAACCATGTTGAAAATGTAGTAAAAGTTAATAATAATAATTCTAATGAAATTATGATACACTAACTGTGTGTATGTGTTAAACTTCATTTTGAATATATATGAACGACACTGTAAATTCAAACAGACAAAGCAAACAAACATGTTCATGAACCTGTTGAACATTTTTTATTTGACTAAAATGAAAATCTAAAGCAGAACAGAACAGAAAAATAATAATACTTGAAAGGGAAAATAGAAATAAAAACGATAGAGATTACAAAGGGGAGAAGGAAAATAAAGCAATACCAACTTTTCAAATTGTTGAGAAACAAAGAACAAGAACCTCTGTTTTTTGCCAATAATTAATTATTTTTCATTTCTATCATTCGATTGTATACTCATTGGTAAATATGCATTGTTTGTTGGTGATGGTGATTCGGATTCATTGACTGTTGTAGACTGTTGAGTTTGTGGCATCATTGTGCCAAGTGGTGAGGCGTTCTCTTGCAGACGCATTGCAGCAGCTAAACTCATACGTTTCTTATAACTATGACGATTTAAACTAGATGAATTGTGATGATGTTGTTTATCACGATCTGTTGTTGTATGTGATAATTCACGTGTGTACTCTTCAACGACATGATCTATTTCTTTATCAATTTCAGCATCTTTTTGAATTAATTCTTTATGACATAAATGATCTACAATGCCAGCTCCGACTGCATCACCCATGACATTGATTGAAGTACGAATTCGATCACTGAAAAGATAGATAGATATATAAAATATTTAGGAGGTAAACTTCTTAGACCGCAGTTTGAATGTTTAAATTATTTGTATAATTTTACACAACAGTCAACTAACTTGTTGTATGTACAAAGGGAAGTAGAAATGTTGACAAGTAAATTTTTGATGCAACTATTTGAACATCCGAACATGTTAGGATCAATAATGTTTTTTTTTTCGTTTAGTTTGTGCACAATAAGTGTATAGTAGTGTAGATCCCAACACACAAAAGAGAAAAAGTAAGATCCTCTGAAACAACACAACATCCACTAACCAAAGCATACAGTCTGTCAACAACAACATATAACTTTGTACGCTTGTACATCAGTTCAGTTTGCCATACTATATTAGCACAAACGCAGTTGACAATTCAAATCACATAGTAGTAAAAGTAGTAGAAGTATTAGCAATAATTGGAGAGATTAGGGTTCCAGGATATTATTTATGAAGTAAAATGCAGTGAAATAAACTTAAAAAGATTGACAGAACAGAAAGAATTTTCAATACAAACGTCAAGACAGTTGTTCCATTGTATGGAGCGGAAACTTGGCGGACTACGAAAGCCTTCATACGGAACATACATGTGTTTATTAACAGTTGTCTACGCTAGATTCCGAGGATCCGTTGGCTAGATACCATCAACAACAATCTACTATGCGAGAGAAGAAACCAGATTCCAGCAGAGGAAGAACTGCTGGAAGTGAATAGGACACACATTGAATAAAGCAGCCAACTGCCTCATAAGCCAAACTGTCACTTGGAACCCTTAAAGTCAAAGGAGAAGAGGAAGACAAACAAAAACACAATACGCCGAGAATTGAGGATAGAAACGAAAAGAATGATCAGCGATTGGGTAGAACTGGGAAGGAATGCCCAAAATAGAGTAGACTGGAGAATACTTACTGGTCGGCAGTCTATGATAATCATCATATCAACCTTACAATATATTAACTCACATATAAATGAAGTAATTAATTACAAAGTCAATTTGCAGTTCAAGTCTTAAAAAAATGGAATAATCTCCATAAATATAGACATATTGTGAGATTTAGTCGTAATTCTAATAAATCTATTTAGTGAATCAGATTCCACGGACTGTATTCAATATAACAGTTACATAATATCGAGGATCGTTTAAATACAAAGACGTTGTCTGTAGGATGTGAACTTGATAAGAGAAAAAAAATACGTAACGCATTCTCCTCATGGCTTGATAATCTTTGCTTTGATCTTCCTAGATGGAAGTCGAATGTGCATGCACACTGGTGAGGATCTTAGTAATAACATGATTCAATGTTCAGCATTGTTTCGTTTCTTGTTTAAATAAAGACAATCGGTATTATAAACTACAAAATAATTATGTCATCATTATCAAAAAAAAATGTACCATTATTGACCATTCAATTTGTTTAAACTTACAGTAACCAATCAACTGCCAAAATTAAAGAAATATCTTTTGTAGGCAAACCGACAGATGTAAGCACTAACATCATAGTGACTAAACCAGCGCTCGGAACACTTGCAGCTCCTATTGCTGCTAACGTTGCTGTTAAGCTAAATAAGAATTATTTTTGCAAAAAACAAGTAAAAATATATTTGTTAAATGAGGCAATGAAAAATAAACGTATTATGATTTGTATTAGAAGTGTCAAATCACATTGATCTTCCTTAGTTAATCATTAGTCATCTGCTAAGTAAGTAACATGGGGTGAATATATAACATAACACAAAGTTAACAAGTTTGATTATAAACACTTATGTCTATTTTCAGAAGTTATAGTGATTATAAGGTTAAAATCAGACAAACACTCTAACAGCATTGTATTCCTTCTATTCAGGCAGTTGAACGTGTTCAAACATTAAACTCAAACAACTGTATATTGAATTTTTTACATAAGCTTCATTTATAAACAATCTGAAAATTTTTAAGTTATGGACTCATTGTAATTTGCGTTCAAAAAATGTGTCTACTTAAAATTAATAAGTAGAAATAATAAGTTGTCTGAAAAAATTCGATCAGTGTAAAAGAAGACAATAATATTACAATGACATTTCAATAAGTTGAAATTGTAATGCTTGCTGATTGCGAACAATCAGTTAGTTACTGGACCAAAAACATTTCTGTCATAATTTTAACACCTGTCTAAAATCAATCTATATTTCCCGATAATTTTATGATTTAGTGAGGCGGAAAGCTAAGTGGATTGGAAAATCACATTATTCTTGATTCATTGAGTTCTCATGTGAAACTCACTCCATAAACTGTTTGTTATGCAGTGAATAATTTGTTTAGATAAATGACTATTCTTGATTTACCTTGCATGTTTACTGATAGTTAAGTTAGGTGGTGGAGAAATTTACGTAGCTCATGTGGATGATTGTGGCGGTGTTTCGTTCTCAGATAGAAATCTATCTGAGGTTTGTGCTGATGATGTTATTCAGGAGAACAATGAAAGCTCTACAACTAAAACATCCAGCTCAGTGAATGGAATACTACCATAATTACTGATAGTCAATTTAGACAAGTCTTCACAGTATTCAAAAATCAATGATTTGAAATAATGGAGGATACCTTGTTTTCCGAAAATCAAAGTGTTAATTATTTATAAGATATGTAGGTTCTTCATTTCGTGAATATTTTAACAGTTTGTATTGATTAAGATTACAAGTGAGACCTAGGTACATGAGCTTTGACTCCTCAGTTAATACTTACTGCTGATAAGTCTCATAGTAGAACAAAACCACTATCCATTCCTATCGGGTCTTCAATGGTTGACTAAATTAGCAATCAATTCATACTCTCAGTAAAACAGAAAAAATTGTACAATCCCCTATGGACAATTAATATTTGATTTGAATTTCTGATATGCTCGTCAGTTGCTATGCTTGAAACTATCACGTTAGTCGGTAAACAGAGCGAAGACAAATAATGTAGAGTGACACGATAGGCTAATCTAATCCGTTTGTCCCCGGCCTGGCTAACTATATCAAGAAGGCTTGATAAGGCGTAGAAAGTGTATTCTACAATTACTGAGAAATACGAGGTTAACCAGCACACAAAGCGAGTTTATACATGAAAGAAACGTTCTTGGGAGGGCCGCCAAAATAGCGTACGAAAATAACCCATCAACGAATAACAGTCAAGGATTTTCCGAGTGTGGAATGTAAGCTGAAGGTCAAATAAGCAACTTACGCACGAAAACATAAAAAAATCCAAAAATTAGGACCTTTACCAAGTGACTTCTGGAGATTTAGCGTCCTCAAAAATTTCAAAAGTAAATAATTTCTAACTTCCTTCTTCATTTTGATACACATTTCATCTCGAGCGCAACTTAACCTAGGATTATTTATTTCACTCACGTTTCTGATGGCGATCTAACAATGACTGACTGGTGATTTCAAATGTGTAAAAACACTAATCTCGATAACTCTAATTGAAAATATCTTAAAATGTGCTCACTAGTGACTAGCTTCGTGAGAAAATTCTCGGAGTTCTGACGAGAAAACGTGACCAGTGGAGTTCAACCCTGTCTAGTGTGGGCAGTAACTAAGAAAGATAAATGGGTAAGGTCTCACAAAATCCCTAGATCAATCAGGAGTAGACATCAACACCGTTGGATGGCGGCGCAGTGGTCCAGAGTTTAGGCGTTCGCTCACAATACCGAAGGCCATGGGTTCGAATCCTGGAAGTAGCAGGAGTGATGTAAGCGCACTGCTGATGAGTCCCATACCAGGACGAAACGGCCGTCTTTCAGTGCTTCCAGGTTTCCTATGATGGTTTAACAATGATTAATTGATGATTTCAAATGTGTAAAAACACCAATCTCCATAACTCTAATTGAAAAATATGAATCATCGATGTTAAGGTTGAAAATTTGTCAAAAACAAAACATGATACTGTTTTCACCCTAGTTCGCCGTTAGATTATTTGCAGCGAGAATGTTAAATCAGTCAAAACTATTTATTATGAGTCAGTGATCACAATCAAAAAGGTTACGTAACCAACTACACATAATTTAATAAAAGTACAAGTTGATAGTAGGAAGACAGTTTGACGTACTATTACTTTTAATAGTGAACTATTGACATAAAAAAACTTTTTTTTATTGGAGTTAATCATTCTTACCACTACTAACAATACACACCTGTCTACCTTTCATCAACTTGTACTTTTATCCACTCTATGTAATTACATTATCTATTGCATTGTGACTATTGACTCATCATAAATTGCCTTGATGGGTTTCAACATTTTCATCACAATAATATTGTTACACATTTTTGAAACCATGAATCGATCAATGTTAGACAACCATTAGAAACCTGGAAGCACTCAATGACCGTCTCGTGATCAAGTTAGACATTCACACCGTTAGATACCGGCTCAGTGGTCCGATGGTTAGGCGTTCGCGCACAATACCGAAGGCCACGGGTTCGAATCCTGTGAGGTGCAGGAGTCGTGGAAGCGCACTGCTCAGGAGTCCCATACCAGGACGAAACGGCGGTCCAGCGCATCCAGGTTTCTAATAGTGGTCTAACATTGATCGATTCATGGTTTAAAAAATGTCTAACTTAACAATATTCACAACCCCGTAATGCAAATAATATTGTTCACTTAATATCAGTGTTGTGTTGAATATTCCTAATGAAAATCTTCAGTAGATTAAACGTATTTCAACAATAAAAAGTGAAAACGAAACGGGATTTCAGATAGCGAAAAAAATAAGTTATTCAATCAATAAGTACTTAAGTAAAAGATTGTTTTTTTAAAGAAAAAACAACATCAACAACAACAACACATAAATGAAACAATGAAATGTTGTTCAATAATTGTCAACTCTTATCAATTGCTTTTGTTTAAGTGTTTTCTTTTCAACATGAATGATGGACAAGTTAGAAGAAGGCATACAATGTAAATTGATATACATCACATTGTATAAAGATCATTTATTCTTTGTACATAATTTCAAAATAAATTAAATTTGAATACTGAATAGACAAGAAGTTTTGCTGTTTTGAAATGAAGTAAACCTTTTGTGGTGCGCACTACTTATAAGTAGTATATGATGCGAGTGTAAACGTAATGTCTGGAAGCAGAACATGGGGGAAGATCAAGAAAGGAAGAGTGGGAACACAATGGAATTTGTATGAAATGCATGAATAGTGAAATGTCACACAATGGATTGATGATAGATTGAAGATTTGCAAATTAACGGTTACGATATGGTTTTCCTATTTTACTGAGTAACTCTGTAATTTTCGCTAAAATACAATTCGGTTGCCCTCACCTGTGTTCTCCTTCACTACACTTTAATTGAATAACAGATTACTTATTTTCAGTATAATTCACACGATGTTCATTGAACGTAGACACATGAATGACAAAAACTGAGTCTGGTGCTATTCTAGTGTTATAGCCGGTCCCAAGTATGGATAACGAAGGAGTGGTTAGGCATGAAGTTAGTGACCCTATCTGGGTGAAGACCAGCTGGTTAAAAATTACTCACAGGAATGCTCAGCCGCCAAGGCTCCATGAGTGAGTGGTAACAGACATAAATCAGTCAGTAAGTTCATGAATGAAAGTTGGTGTTAGGAGTGGGTGAATATTTTCGAAGACGATTGATATCATGAACTGATAACCACTAACAACCTAAAAACACTGTACAACCGTTTTGTATCAGTTTTTAGAGTCTTGTCTAGTAAGTATATACACACAAAACGCAGTCGTATCATGAATATCATCATTATTATTTTGAATCATAATTTTGTGTGAGAATTAGATTGACCTTCATAGTCAACATAAATAGTCCAATTTAGAAATAGAGAATTGTTAGAATTAAATGTTCTGATGATACCTAGCGTGACTCATTTTCATTAAATCCTGTAAATAACTTCATCTAACCTTGACCGCCTAATCGATAAGTGACTAAAAATCGCCGGCAATATTATTGACAAATCTTTTGAATTCAATCAGTTACTGCTAACAATTATGTGATTATTTTATAAAGCCTAAATTATATGCCAAATAATTTGGTCCTGAATAGTTTTTCCGTTCACTTGGAAGATTTATTTCTATCCTCTAACTGATAATAACAATAGTAATTATAAAATTGTGTTTAGAGCTAAGATATAAAACTCATTTACTAGTGAAGCAAATCGATTTTGCAAATTGTTCTTTTAGTTAAAACTCATAACTTGTTCTAGAAGGATCAATTTTCAATAACAACAATTACAATAAAAGTTGGAATCTGTAAAATTCCTACTGAGTTTCAATTGTAAAACATTATTGATTAGAAATTATATCATAATGGCCTGAATGATTAGAGTGATTAACTCTTGCAGTACTGTTGGGGATGCAAGATCCCCAGAACTCGCCTGATAAATATCTTTATTTTGGATTAATTTCATGGGCTGATCATTGTACCTTGAGATCACATTTCCCACCAGGAAAATCCTTGGTTGTGATTGGTTACCGTGTTATTTTAGTGTTCTGTTTTGTGACTCTCCCAAGGACGTCTCTATGGTGTATAAATAAACGCGATTGAGAACATTATAGTTGCTGGTTGTTTGTAGAATACACTTTCTACGCTATATCAAGACTTCTCAACGGTCAACGGATAAGAGTAGCCTACCTGGACGCTGGTTCATTGTTTTGTTCTCGTTATTCGACTAAGATTAAAGCATACCTAGAGTTAAGTGTATCAATTAGCGATGGCGTTTTGGCAAACAAGCTGGTGACACATACACCTCTATTTGCTCACACTATCATCAAAATAGTCAGTTAGTGGTGTCATTCATATTTTTTAAATTCGAAGTATGTTATGAAATTTTTAAAGTTAATGTTCTTAGTTCTCTTTTGTTGCGTAATTTTTAATCAATCATTACAGACTGATGTATCCAGCAGTGATTTCTAATTGGTGTTCTCCTGATTCAAAGTATTGAATTTACAGTTTATTTCAGTTTGATTATATTTCGCATTATGATTCGTTGATTTGGTTTTACGAAGTATACAAGTTGGCAGTGATATAAAATTTATAGGCTAGCCGTTTAATAAGTTGTCAATCGATCGATATCTTTCACTGAAATCATGAATCGATCAACAGCAGACCATCATGAGAAATCTGGAATCACTAGATGATCGTTTCGTCCCAGTAGGGGACTCGTCAGCAATGCAAGTTGAAATCAAACCCAAGACCTTCAGTCTTGTGATCAAACACTTAACCTCTAGAATCTCATACTACTGCAGGATGCCCTTTCAGTATTTCCAGGTTCCTAATGGTGGTCTAAGATTGATCGACTCATGACTGAAATGAGACTCGACTAACTAATGCATCCACAGTTCACGAGCAATTCACACATCTCTCGACCTTGACTATTATTCGCTCATAACCTTAGTCGTTTTTATTTGAGTGTGTGCGTTGATTGTTTAGCGCGCTTATCGTCTGACTATAAATCCTTAATCATGTCTCGTTGCATTGAGTTGGCCCAGTCGTCTTCTCCGCTTCGCTTCCCTTCGCTTTCGCGCTCCTTACACTCATGTCTGTCTGCCTGAAAGATTGCACGAAATAAACTCATCCAACTGTAGATAGATTTGTCTTCTTATAACCTCTGTCACACAAACATAGTAGGCCTAAGTAAGATCTGTGGATATTGAAGGGGAGATTTATTTCATGGAATATTCAGTCATTCGTCCGAATCTGTATCAGATCTCGGGGCCACTAAACAACACTCTTATTTCATATTTTCATACTAAAAAAGTTATACCGAATAATCCTAAAGCTTTACAATTATAATCCTTCTATATATAGTTGATATTCAGTAATGGGAGGAAAACGGATAACAAATTGAAATTTTGACCATACTTTAAACCAAAATGTTATTGATCCACAGATTTTTTTTCTAAACAGAACTCACCTCACAATAAATACTTCAATAATAGTTAAATATTTTCCATTAATTTGTGCAATAAAAATTGACGCGACCGCTTCATACAATGCAGTTCCATCCATATTGATTGTAGCACCGATTGGCAGAACAAAACGTGTAACACGTTTATCAATGCCCAAGTTTTGTTCTAAACAACGAAATGTAATCGGTAGTGTAGCTGCACTGGATGCTGTGCCCAATGCTGTAATCCAAGCCTTTTTATTATATATATGTGGGGGAAAAAAACAGATAGAAATTGAATCAAAAATACTATTTGTTTATGAATGATGATATAATATAATCTTAGTCAAATGAGATCTACACATTTTATTGAATGTTAGACATTGGATCACATAAAGGGACTTACTGTTGGGGACATTAGATCTCCAGAACTCACTTGATAAAGGTCTTAATTTTGGATTTTATTCATGGGTTGATCAGTTGACCTTGAGATTACATTTCCCACTAAGCAAATCCTTGACTATCATTGGTTGATGCAGTATTTTAGTACGTTTCTATCTTGTAAAAATAAACTCGATTTGTGTGCTTGTAGAATACACTTTCTACGCCATATCAAGATTTTTTGATGTCGTTAACAGGGTTTCAGATAATCGAATCGGAATAGTCTATCGTGTGTCACTGGATCATTTGTCTTCGCTCTAGTTTACCGACTAAGGTGAACTGGTAATATTTTCAACCATGTCAGTTGACGAGCATATCACTTACTTACTTACTTACTTACATAAGCCTTTTACCCCCAAAGGAGCATAGGTCTTTAACTACTAGCATTCTCCAACCTACTCTGTCCTCGTCCTTTCATGTCAATTCTACCTAATCGCTATTCATACTTTTCGCATATGTCTCCAATTTTCAGAGGAATGTAGAGTTTCGTCTTCCTCTTCTTATTACTGCCTTGAGGATTCCAAGTTAGGGCTTCAACCGTGAAGCAGTTGGGTGCTTTCTTCCGTGTACGTCCTATACAATTCCAACGCTTCTTCCTGATTTCCTCCTCCGCTGGAATCTGGTTCATTCTATCTCACAGTAGCTTGCTACTCATGGTATCTGACTAACGGATTTGAAGTATTTTGTTCAGGTAACTTAATAAACACTTTTATCTTCCGGATGATGGCTTTCATGGTTCTCCTCATGCGGCATTGAAAATTGTGACTTTCTTATTGGTTGGTAGTTTTTTTCGAATTCCAGATGTTCTTCATTTGTAGAAATGCAGCGCTTGCTTTGCCGATCCGCGCCTGCACTTTTACATCAGATCCACCGTGTTTATCAATGATGTTAAGATTTTTACATCTTCCAAAGCTTTTCGTGAAGTGTGACTTGATTCGTGTTGTTGTTGTGTTGTGTCGGATACATTAAGGAAATGAAATAGGCATTCCATATTACTAATAAATCTTTTACGAAAGTGATTAATACTACTGTAGTGAAGGAGAACACAGGTGAGGGCAACCGAATTGTATTTAACGAAAATTACAGAGTTACTCAGTAAAATCGGAAAACCATATCGTAACCGTTCATTTGCAAATCTTCAACCCATCATCAATCCATTCTCTGACATTTCACTATTCATGCGTTTCATACAAATTCCATTGTGTTCCCACTCTTCCTCTCTTGATCTTCCCCCATCTTCTGCTGCCAGACATTACTTTTACACTCACGTCATATACTACTTATAAGTAGCGCGCACGACACTGCTACTACGTGTCTCCGGAATAATAATTTTTTATAGTCAGCTACTTGAATAAACATTCCGTCACTAATATAATGAGCATGATTTTCTAATCAGTTTCACCACAAGCATCTAATTTAAACATACACCTGTTTGGTAATCTCTCTTGACTAATTCAATATTTTAGCGTCGTGATAAGACCTACCTACAGTAAATGTGTATATTTATTGAATTTTGAATCCTTATTCTAAGAATTAATTTCGTTTTTGACATTTATATAAACGGAAAACAATAGACAAGATTTTATTTTCTGCTTATGTGATGATATTTTTAAGGTGATTTGTGGATCAATTTTCAACAACAACAACAATGATAAAAAAAAACTGCTTCTCACATTTTAATATTTAGCAAAAACAATGAATCTATCACAAACTTGACATTTCTTTCTACCTTCATTATTAGATCAATAGGAAATAAAAAAAATCCCTATTATTTTAAACAAACAACAAGGTCAAATGATGAATTCTGACATATTTAAACAATAAATAATTCAACATTGATATACATTTTTTTAGTCAATGGTAAACTGAAAAATTGAATGTTTGTCAGTAGTAGTAGTAGTTTGATAGACATACTATAAACAACAATATTATCAACGTGAACCTATCACAATTTCTTCATTTGAATAATAAAAGAAGTCAAACTTGATTTCCCAAGATAAAAAAAATGGTGATATTGATAGGGAGAAAGAACAAAGAAACAAGTAAAATTATTCTTTTTTAAATTCAATGTAATGATTGTTTTAATGTAATGTTTATTTTATTTTATGTTCAATAATTTATTTGTTAAATGTTTCAATCAATTTTATTGAAACCATGAATTGATTAGTGTTAGGCACTGAACAACCGTTTCGTCTTAATATGGCGCTCATCAGCAATGCACATCCATGACCAGCGCTAGTACGAACTCAACCCAAGACTTTCGACGTCACGTGAACGTTTAATATTTAGACCAATGAGCCGATATTCAACAGTGTTCAATGTCTAACTTTAATGAACCCGTGATGCTGCGCAACCTCACTCACCGGTCTTCGGCTAGGTAACCGCCTACTCCCAACATGGTTGAACTACAGTGGTCACGACTTCTCACTAAAACTCTGGGAATATATTTTTATAGTTTTCACAATGGAGTTGTGAATCGTGTTTAGTTTTATTGGAATCATGAATCGATCACTGCTAGACCACCATCAGAATGCTGGAAGCATCTGGAAGAAACAGCCATCCAGTGCTTCCAGGTTTCTAGTGGTAGTCTCAATAAACTTCACAACTCTGTATGTAAAATCATTCGAGAATTGGGTTATATTTATGTATGATTTTGATTTATTTTAATTCTTGTATTTCCCACTATAATTTCTTTGGATTCAATGTTTCAATAATCGATGAAAGCCAGTTAAGCAATCAGTCGACACATGAAGAGTCAAACAATATTGGGCAATTAATATTATCCTTATTGCTTCCTCAAATTTAATCTCACATATTAGATTCAATATACATGCGTAATAGTTCACTGGTTAAAAAGTAGACTAGTTTTATATATAAAAAACTTTAAATTTGGTTGAATAAAGTTTTTTATATAGAAAAACTAGTCCTCTTTTTTACCCAGTGAACTATTTACGCATGTATATTGAATCTAATATGTGAGATTAAATTTGAGGAAGCAATAAGGATAATATTAATTGCCCAATATTGTTTGACTCTTCATGTGTCGACTGATTGCTTAACTGGCTTTCATCGATTATTGAAAACATTGAATCCAAAGAAATTATAGTGGGAAATACAAGAATTAAAAATTAAATCAAAATCATAACATAAATATAACCCAATTCTCGAAGGATTTTACAATACAGAGTTGTGAAGTTTATTGAGACTACCACTAGAAACCTGGAAGCACTGGATGGCTGTTTTCTTCAGATGCTTCCAGCATTCTGGATGGTGGTCTAGCAGTGATCGTTCATGATTCCAATAAAAACTAAACACGATTCACAACTCCATTGTGAAAACTATAAAAATATATTCCCAGAGTTTTAGTGAGAAGTCGTGACCACTGTAGTTCAACCATGTTTGGAGCGGGTTACCTAGCCGAAGACCGTTGAGTGAGGTTGGCGCAGCATCACGGGGTTCATTAAAGTTAGACATTGACACTGTTGAATATCGGCTCATTGGTCTAAATATTAAAACGTTCACGTGACGTCGAAAGTCTTGGGTTGAGTTCGTGCTAGCGCTGGTCATGGATGTGCATTGCTGATGAGCGCCATATTAAGACGAAAACGGTTGTTCTATGCCTAACACTAATCAGTTCATGGTTTCAATAAAATTGATTGAAAACATTGAACAAATAAATTAGTTGAACTGAAAATAAAATAAAACATTACATTAAAACAATCATTACATTGAATTTAAAAAAGAATAATTTTACTTGTTTCTTTGTTCTTTCTCCCTATCAATATCACCATTTTTTTTATCTTGGGGAAATCAAGTTTGACTTCTTTTATTATTCAAATGAAGAAATTGTGATAGGTTCACGTTGATAATATTGTTGTTTATAGTATGTCTATCAAACTACTACTACTACTGACAAACATTCAATTTTTCAGTTTACCATTGACTAAAAAAATGTATATCAATGTTGAATTATTTATTGTTTAAATATGTCAGAATTCATCATTTGACCTTGTTGTTTGTTTAAAATAATAGGGATTTTTTTTATTTCCTATTGATCTAATAATGAAGGTAGAAAGAAATGTCATGTGTGTGATAGATTCATTGTTTTTGCTCAATATTAAAATGTGAGAAGCAGTTTTTTTTTATCATTGTTGTTGTTGTTGAAAATTGATCCACAAATCACCTTAAAAAAATCATCAGATAAGCAGAAAATAAAATCTTGTCTATTGTTTTCCGTTTATATAAATGTCAAAAACGAAATTAATTCTTAGAATAAGGATTCAAAATTCAATAAATATACACATTTACTGTAGGTAGGTCTTATCACGACGCTAAAATATTGAATTAGTCAAGAGAGATTACCAAACAGGTGTATGTTTAAATTTAGATGCTTGTGGTGAAACTGGATTAGAAAATCATGCTCATTATATTAGTGACGGAATGTTTATTCAAGTAGCTGACTATAAAAAATTATTATTCCGGAGACACGTAGTAGTAGTAGTGTGGTGCGCGCTACTTATAAGTAGTATATGACGTGAGTGTAAACGTAATGTCTGGCAGCAGAAGATGGGGGAAGATCAAGAAAGGAAGAGTGGGAACACAATGGAATTTTTATGAAACGCATGAATAGTGAAATGTCAGAGAATGGATTGATGATGGGTTGAAGATTTGCAAATGAACGGTTACGATATGGTTTTCCGATTTTACTGAGTAACTCTGTAATTTTCGTTAAATACAATTCGGTTGCCCTCACCTGTGTTCTCCTTCACTACAGTAGTATTAATCACTTTCGTAAAAGATTTATTAGTAATAT